TTTTTTTTTTTTTGAAAATATTATATTAGATTATCAATGTTTTTAGTCGTTTTTTTACGCTGAAGCTTGAAGCGGGACATAATTTTTTCCGCCCACTTTAGGGAAGGGCCCCAAAAGTGGCGGCGTCAAGTCCCACTATTAAATGAAATGGGACACTCGCTTGACCTACGGTCGAACACTTGCATATCCTGACTGGTCCCAAGAGCCCGCAGGTAAAAAAGGTCAGCGCGCTGGATACGGTACGGTACTATACTACGAACTCCATAAAGTAAAGTAAAAGCAAGATGAAAATTCAAATCAAGTCAGATAAAAAGAAAAACGAAGAAACAGAAGAGAGTCAAACTCTTGTCTATCTATCCATCCACCTATCCATCCCTCATCTATCCATCCCTCATCTATAAATCCATCCATAAATCAATCAATCAATCTGTAAATCTATCCATCCACCAGCAGCTTAACTTCCCCATTTCCTCTTCTCCCACCCACTTATCCATCCATCCCATTTGCACCATTTACCAAACAGAGAGAGCGAAAACCAACCAACCAACCAACGAACCAACCGACCAAAAACCAATAAACCAACCAGCACACAATCATGCGGCAAGTGAAGAAGAGGAGCAGAGACCGAGGAGCAGGGCAGAACAGGGCGCGCGCGCGGCAATACAATACAATCTATTATCCTTTCGACCTCGCTTTGCTTGACTGAGAAGGAGATGATCCCCCCCCTGCAAGCAGACAGGCTTTTCTGTTAATCTAACCTGTCTTATTACTTCTTCGTCGTCTTGTTCTTCTTCGTCTTCTGGCTCTTCGACTTCGTCTTCGTCTTCTGCACAACAGCGAGCCGTCGTGCAACAGCGTACGTAGATACATACACAGGTACACTTCTGCAAGGGGAAAGAAAAATGGCAAAAACAAAAAACCCCCTCCGGTGCGAGTAGCAGTATTACTCGTCCTTCCGAACAGACTTCCGAGTAGACCACGGGGGCGAAACATGACTTGCCGATCCCTCCATGCCCTCTGTAACGCCGTGCCGCTAAATGCTTACAAAAAGGAACGCCGTGCCTTGCCTTCACCTCCCCTTCCCCCGCATCCATATCTGGACATTCGTTGCCAGGTCGCCGGGTTTTTATGTATTGGCTCCAACAGTCAGTCCTGTCCGCATTCCATCATCACGCCACGTTAACCATCCCAGCCTTAGTAACCTCTCCCCTCGTCTCGGCCGTCGCACCACCCGCGTACGCCTTCTTGCATGATTCAAAACTCGTGTACCCCCACTGATCCGTCCACTCAGTCAGCATTTTCAAGACAAGCGGATCGTTACCCCGATTCGTCTTGATGAAAATAGTATCGTACGGATGGATGTCCATGCCGTAGTATCTCCCGTGGCCCTGCACGTCATGGCCGCCCTGGCACTCCTGCTCGTAATGCGTGCTGCTGTGATATGCTATCATTATCGGGTCGACTTTGTACCCGGCTGTTTGGAGCAGACCGGTCGCGTACACCTCAATCGCGACTGCGTCCCAGTAATCGTGCGGGCAAGAGTTGATTCCGGGGACTTTCATCTTCGGGACCGGTTTGTGATCCCTATCGCCGAGAACGTCCTTGTATTTGGCGATTAGGGCTTCGGAGGGGAAGAGCAGGACCTCGAGACCGACGCGGTCGGTAGCCCAGATCATAGACTGGACGTGGACGCGAGGGACGCAGTTCATGGTCATGCCCACGAGCTGTAATTTTCTACCGTCAGCCAGTCGAGTGTGGGGTGGAAGGAAGCAAGGGGGAAAACCAAATTGCATACCTTCGTGTCCGCCGTGATCTTGCTCAAATACCGCTCGCTCCAGCAATCCGTAGCCCAGTACGGGAAGAAAGGACCCCGGATACTGCTGTTCATCATGATATACTTGTTGTACTTCTTGTATAGATCATTCGTCGTAAGCACCTCCGCGAACGCCCCCAAGTCAAAGCAGTCATTCTCCCTGTGCAGGAATCGCACATTCCCCGCTACCGGCAGCAGCGACTCGGCATCAGTCTCGCCGTTGAGGATGAAGAGAAAGTCGGCCTCGTTGTGAATGGCGTGGCGAAGGAAGAACTCGAGGTTTGTTCTGGCGAGCTCCGTCTCGAAGAAGGCGTACAGGATCAGGGGCCGGTCCGAGACGAAGTCGCTGTCGTCCAGATGGTCGCGGATCGAATCAAAGGGATGGAATTTAGGGACCGTGGGGGTAGCTACTGGGATGGGTCCAGCGACTGCTGCTGGGGCTGAGCCAACGTGACCGGAGGGGCGTTGTGACGGTGTCTTCTGTCATCACAATCAGCTTTGCTCATCCAAGCGAACGGAACAGGAGATGCGAAGAGAGAGAGAGAGGAACTTGCATTCAGCAGATGCGTTGGGACAGTATTCAGTCCTATGCCCAGAGACCAGAGCGACCATATGAGACAGAGGGAGCCGATTGCTGTGAGCCACGGGATACGGGCCTTGGTTTGGGTGAGGAGAGAAACCATGGTGTAGCGTCGGCGCGATCCGCGATCACGTCTTGTCCTGCCTGTCCTGTGTCCTCGTGTGCTGCTGATAGGGAAGTGAGAAAAGGAAAGGAAGGAAATGGAGGATTGGCTTTCTCCCAGTCGAGGCAGCAAAGGATATGTAAGGATGCAAAAGGTGTCCAGGCCCGGAAGATGAGAAACGAAATTCGAGGCATTGGACCCGAGCGACGGAGAGCAAATGGAATATGAAGGAGGAGGGAGTAGCGGCGACCGTGGCATTGGGGGAAGCGCCCCGACCAAGATCTGGCACGACCTGTGGCATTGAGGATAATATCTCCCAGGAAGATCTCTTTCTCTTTGCCCTCTTGTTTGTCTCGACCCGGGATCATACGAGGGGTTAGAGTTTCACTCATCTGTGAGAATAGGGAGAGCACGGAGAGCACGGGGAGCACGGGAGAGCACGGAGTACCTACTCCGTGCTCTATGCCTCACTTTCTTTGGCCGGGGGGGCATCGTGGATAAGATAGTTTCAGCCCTGGAGCGGGCTCCGGCTGGCTATGGCCATGTCAACAAAGCCGTTATTCCCACTTCAGGTGCCACAAGCTCAGTAAAGATGTGGCTCGCTTCAGCTGGCTGGATGTAGGGATCTACTACTATCTCCTAGGAAGCTGTAAAGGTACCGTAGAAATAGACATGCCGTGCCCCCAGACGAGGGCAGTTTGATTTTGCGACAGTATACACTGTAGCGTAATAGCAATGGCCGTCCGCCCTCTGCCCTCTGCCCTTTAACAGCATCTCGAATCTTCCATACGGGCGTACGTAGGATGAAAGTGCCGATCGAAGATACACACATACCGTACCTACTCCGTACCTACTCCGTACAAACCCGGGTCACCGAAGACCACGCCCCTGCACATCCATCTACCATACCCTGGGTAGATATCACGGACATTGCGCCGCTTTCAGAACGATCTAGCGGAATCAGCCTTTACTGTATTACTAGTACATATTACATTACAGTAACGGAACCCGACTCATGCCGCGCTACTGTAATACTACTATACTTGTACAGCCTTGCGGATCGATGCCAAGGGGATGGTAAGAGCAGTGATTGGATCTTCGATGGGTCAGGATTCTAGAACCTGGAAGGAATCCTGAGCTGAGATGAGATCTCCATCCGCTTCACGGGAAAGAGGCCTTGCTCGTGTGGCGGCTTTGGCCGGCGGCCGTCGGCGATAATTTCCATCCTCATCTAAAGGGAAGGCTTCCCTATCCTACCTACCTACTACGTATTTGACCTGAGTTGATCGAGGCTGACTCCCGACTTGGATATCCGGAGAAGATGGGGATGAGAACACCATGCACATATTACGTAATACATGGACGAATGTTACCCGTGTATCGAGACATTCGTCAACTCACGTGATTAGCCTGAGATCATGTGTCGGGCCTGGACTGGAGAGTCGAGACAGGCCTGGTCCATTCTCGTGACTTTCTTGGCTGCTTTCTTCTTTTGCTGGGTTGGAGCGCAAGATAGTAGTAAGATGCACGTACGGAAATTAACACGAGAGCGACTTTTGATGGATGGATCCAGTCACATACCGGTACTGTAGGTAGGGTAAGGAGGGTAAGGAGGGTAAGGAGAGTCCAGAACACAATTCCAGCAAACATGGATTCTGCCCTAGCAGAGAGAACAACTGCCGTCGAATCGATACAGATAGCATGACAACAATCTACATACCGGTAGTATAGCCGTATGCATAGTGAACGAAAGATGCCTGCCTGCTGCCTGCGTGTGAAATTGAGTGTTGATAGCGCATCTCGAGAAAGCAACATGTCGTCGTTCAGACTACGCCTCATATTATGCCTGCTAGGAACATCCCGCGCGCTCTCTCGGAAAATGAGTAAAACGAAATGAAAGATATATCCGCATCACGATGCCTCGACTCTTGCTATCACACATCCTCAGTCTCGGTCGCGGTCTCGACAGGCCCAAATCTTCCTCCATTCACGGAGAGGTAAAGGCCTCCTCCGCGACTCGACTTCCATCACCAGACCCAACACTGACAAAGCCTCCACGCGTTCCCGTCAGACACGAGGCCCTTGGCAATCGAAACAGAAGCGTTCCAATTGCAGTTCCAGTTCCAGATCCAGTTCCGGTTCCCAGAATAAAACACAAAGAGAGCGCGGGGACCGGGGAAGGCGATTCGAGGCTGTGCTGTGCCTGGCTTAGATCAAGAGTCAAGAGTCAAGAGTCGGGAATTAAGAGTTGAGACGCTCATCCATTCGCCTTGGCCGAAAGAAAAGAAAAGCCGGGGATGCCGCCAAGGGACGAATTACGACGACGGGGTGATTGCAGAGTATGTAATCTATGGATTGATGTGGTCTGGTCTGGTCTGGTCGAAGATCGCCACGGGTCAAGGTAGGACGGAGGAAGGGAGATACTTAGTAGATACCTTCAAGGTAAAGAAAGAAAGTAACAAAGAAAGACATACATACATCCATTATATTTGTTTGGTGAGAACTTAAAACATCGGCGACAACTGAATTGCTGGTACTTGGCTTTTATACCGGTACCGGTACTCCATCTCCCGACTCTGTACGTACACTTCGATCTGCTTTCACCACTCGAGAATCGAGAAGGAAGCGAGCTACGAAGTAGCAAGAAAGCCAAAGCCAAATTTAGAAATCTACGGTACGGACCCAGAAAAAGGCCCAGAAAAAGTCCGAGACGCATGCCAGAGGCCCAGAGCCGAAAACGTCGACGTAGACACCACGCATAAGCTGCCAGGGCTGTGTAGCGACGACGACCAGAGAAGCCACTTACAAGCTCTCTTTCCGCCAGAGTCCGTTGCGTCCGACGTCGCAGACAACGACGACGACGACGACGACGACGAACACAAAAACATCAACAACACCGACTCCCGCTCCCGCTCCCCTCTCGCTCCAACTGTAGCTCCAACTCCGACCCCAACTCCGGCAACAACAACACCACCAACACATATGAAGGCCATGAAGAGAGTGGGCATAAACCGGGTGTTGGGCTCCATCCGGCGGAAGAGTAAGCACAGAAACACCCCTCCGGAAATCTACTGGACTGGAAGACTCTCCATCTGAATAAATATTTGAAAAGCTAATCGCGAGACCAATCCAGCTTCGGCCGATACGTCCCCCGAAACAGCCCTCGACACGCCCGAAGCCAACGCGATACGGAATGCGGTAGGTTGCGGAGACACCCTCCCGCGCAAAACGAGGCTGACCACCCGCAGCGACTATTCTGCGAATCCGGCGGTCCCAAAGGCTCGGTACGTCCTCCTACATCTTGCGACGCCGAAGGACGCGAGGGCAAGGCTAATATGGGCAGCAGGCCGAGGAAGTACTCTACCTACCCATGATCGTCGAGGCCTGCGAGTCTTCCCCCTCGGCCGCGCAAGAGGCCTCCCTCGTAATCCGCAAGTTCCTGTCAAAAGACAACTTCACAAAGCCCTACGTGCAATACAACGCTATCATCCTGATCCGCATCCTGGCCGATAACCCGGGCAGAACGTTTACCCGGAACATTGATGCCAAGTTCGTGGCGACGCTTGAGGATCTGTTGCAGGTGGGCAGGAATCCAAGCGTCAAGCAGCTCTTGATGGAGACGCTGGAAACATTTGGACGCGAGAAGAGCCATGATGAAGGGTTGGCTTTGCTGGGCGAGATGTGGAAGAGGGAGCGCGAGAGGATAGCTAAGGAGCACGTTGGTTCCCCTATACCAAACGTCATGAGAAGGGTCAATGAGCTGACAAGTAATCAGGGCCCGCCGGAACCACGAACCCCCAACGTGCCACCTCCCGGCCAGCAGCAACAGCAGAGTCAACAAAGCTATTTCTCCCGCAGCCACAGCTCGCGCCAGCTGCCCACCCCTCACGAACTCTCCTCGCGCATCGAGGAAGCGCGTACCTCTGCCGACCTCCTCTCGCAAGTCGTGCAGTCGACACCCCCCTCCGAAATTCTGCACCATGAACTCGTCCGTGAATTCGCAGACCGGTGCCAGAGCGCCAGCAGGAGCATACAAGCCTACATGATTGCCGAGAACCCCAGCCCGGACAATGACACTATGGAACAGCTGATCGAGACCAACGAGCAGCTCAACAGAGCCATGAACCAGCACCAGCGCGCCCTCTTGAGCGCACGCAAAGCAGCAAGCCAGGGGGCTAACGGCGCGTCCACACCACCCGCCGCTGACCTCCACGGCGCTTTCGCTCCCCCGGCCGGTCCACCACCAGGCCGCACGATCTCAAGGACCAACTCCACACTCGCGCGCAAGCCGGTGAAGACAAACTCGCAGCGTTCAGTCGCTCAAGTGCCCGCCGGCCCCGAGGCCGAGAAATCCTCCTCGGCGTGGAAAACCGCGAACCCGCCTTTTCCCAGGGATGAGCCTAGTGCGGCGACGGGCCAATTCAACGACCGAATGGGCGTCGAGCCGTATCACCCGGGCTTCAGCTCGACGCCGAGTTTTACGGGGAGGCCACAAAGCTCGATGGGCAAGGTGATGATACATACTGCTGCGGTGCCGGAGCGGGATGAGCCGGATAGCGATGATGATGATGATGGTCGGAAGGAGACGGTTACGACGACTGCTCCGACTATTCCGGCGAAGGAACCCGTTTATCGGTTTTAAGAATGCAGAGTGCCGAAGGGTAGATGTGTTGGGGCGGAGTGGAAGTGGAAGTGAACGCGGGATGGGTGGCACGAGGACCCGGATAAGGGGTGGCATAAGGTATAGATGGGGAGGGGAGGATCTACTACTCTTGTGTTTTTTTTTTCATTCCTCGTTCTTCCTCTAGTATTCTTGTACGGTCCTGGGGGTTTTTCCCCCTTCTCCATTCTGGGGGAAAAGCGGCCTTTTCCCTTTTTTCCCTCCCTCACTACCCCCCTTTTTTTTGATACCATTTGATGATGAGAGAAAAAATAGATGGAATAACGAAGATGGACGAAGGCCTTTTTGCATTTTTCTTTTTTTCTCTCTCTCTTTGCAGACTCGAGACTCGAGACTTGATCATCTTTGTCCCTCCCCGTAAGCAAAGCAGGTAGGTATGTAAAGGGCCTCTTGAGCTGCTTGCTGCTTGCTTGCTTTGGTCCCGCGATGTCGACTTGACTTGACTTGACTTGACTTGACTTTGATACTTCTTCCTGGGTGGGTCGGTCGGTAGGTCGGTAGATACGTGTCTCTGTCTTCCTTCGCTGTTGGAGGGAGGGGGATTCTTAAGGAGAAATGAATGAAAGGGAATGGAGGAGGGGGTGTGTGATGGGGAAGGGAGGTATTGGCTTGTGGCTTGTGGCTTGTTTGGATTGGATTGGATGGATGGATGGATAATGGATACCAGGAACGACCTCATCTTTTTTTGCAGGGCGGGCAGGGCGGTCAGGGAGGGCAGGGAGGGCAGGGAGGGCAGGGTATAGTAGGGAAGTAAGCAGGTGAGTATATGAGCTGGCTAGCTGGCTGGTTGCTGGTTGGGGAGGGGAGGGGAGGGGAACAAGTAGCTAGTTAGATAAGTAGATTGTGTGGAGGATTTACATCAATAGGTGGGTAGAGTAAGGAGAGGAGAGGAGAGTAGAATAGAATAGCACTTTTCTTTTTAATCCAAGGTAGTTTTGAAAATTGAAAGCTGTACTTGCTTATTGTAAAGAAGATATCTTGCAGTTTCCCAAGACGCTACTAATCGTCGGCTCGCTTAAGTAGACCGACCTCCTCATATCCTTCCAGTCTTAATCGGCCTAAGCGATCGCGGATCGGAAGCGAATGCAGATTTTCCCACTTTATTATCAATGTCTGTATATAAAATACAGTTTACAATATCACTTTTCGATTTCGAATCGCCTATTAGCATTTTACAACTACTCATAACCCGAAAACGCACGTATCCGAAAAAAAAAGCTTCCAAAGATTTTTCAATACAAAAGCTACGCTTAATCAGGTTGTCTTGATGCAATTACAGACCTGGCGACGGGTTTCTAATGCGCTATAGTATCCTTATTCGAACACTTGTAAGAGACATAGGAGATGGCCGCGCGTGGGTACGATCTTAATAAGCCTACGCAAAGCTGAGCGCGAGCGGAAAAAGACTGGACGAGAACGCTCTGCTGCAAGCTTGGTTATTGAAGATGACGATTTCATATATATCTTAATTTTCACTTCGAAGAGAGATTTGATGGTTGCAATGGTTATTTAAGCGTGAGGTTTTGCGGCTTCGTAAAAAAAAAAAAAAAGGTATTCTTCGATCAGCTTTCTTTTAATCGTCGGTTTCCTTAAATTTTAATTCGAAAGAATTGACCGACTTGCTGTAGCAAGTCGGCACTACTAAAGCGGGACACCCAGCAAGGCGGGACAGTAAAATTTGCTCCTTTTTAATAAATAAAAAATCAACCAATTGTTATATAATAATTATCTTTGTATAAAAAGATGCGCCGTATTGAGTTTGATATTAATCAATTAATTGAATTTTAATTACAAGTTGTAATTCCTTTATTGTGTTGAGTTAAAGTAATAAAAATAGTACTTTTAGTATATTCTTTTCGATTTTTGTAATGCGTGTATATCAGAATTGCCGCGTATATATTAGAATAAGCGAGGAATACGAAAATCGGACTTTTATTCAAATCTATCAAAAAAAATACGTGCATCACTACCAACTTTTATTTAATAATTAATACCTTTAGCAATATAATATATTAAGTCATTTATTTTCGATCTATATGACGTTTTTTTGAATTAAGGTTGTGGCTATTAAGATATTTGCAATAAACAAGTAAATTTGAATTATTTAAGATAGTTTTTGACCATTTTTTTATTACATTTCAATGTATTAGATTACTATAAATCAATGGATTTTTATAATTTTAATTCACGTTTATAAAGCAAAATTTTCTAAGCATATAAAGATTTTTTTTTATATTTTTAATGATAATAGTTGTTGTTTAATAAGTGGTATACCGTTACTGTCCCGCCTTGCTGGGTGTCCCGCCTTGGTGGTGCCGACCTGGCTGCGCCAGGTCGGGATTTTTTACAAATTAAATTCAAGGCAACCGACGATTACTTTGTATTCTTTCTCGATGGCGATTATTTTACATTTATGGCCGATGTTATTAACGACATTTTTTTATAACAAGATCTTTTTTCTTTCTCTTGATATTAATATCGATAGCGATAGATTTAATTTTGATAGTAGTAATAGTGGGCCTTGACGTCGCAACTTTTGGGGCCCTTCCCTAAAGTAGGCGAAAAAATTATGTCTCGCGAAAAAATTATGTCCCGCTTCAACGCTAAAAATCGCGGGGAACGTAGACACTTATATTGCTCATAACATTGCTCACAACGTTGCAATAATATATATATATATATATTTAATAATATTATTCATTCTTAATTAAGCTACGAAAAAATTATTTCACCGCGTGTCCTTTGAATTGAATTAAGAGATGCTACAGATCGAATCGATATCGAATCTTCTTTCTCTTCAAGCTCTTTTTCAAGCTTTTCTTACTTAGTAAGCATCATTTTTGCTAAAGGAGACGAAAGTAAGGTATTTAATCTTTCATCTTCGTCGTCATCGCTAATTTGAATGCAAGATAATAGGTTTTGTCTAATTCGAAAGCGTTTTTCTTTTGTAAGGATTTGAAGATCGATTGAATACGAAAGGTCCGCGAATGTAGCAAGATCTCTTTCTTGAACTTCTTTTAACGCAGCTTTTTCGTTTGCAATTGCGTCTCGAAAAGAAATCAAATCAATATTATCAGCTTCTAGTTCTTTTGCTATAAGTTGCTTTTCGCGGTCTCGAATAAGGACTTTTCGTTCGGGTAGAATGTGTATAAGAATCCTTCGACCTTGTTGCTTATACGCTTCGTTCAACCATTTCTTTCGCTCTTTTTCGGCTTTCCGATCAAGAACTCCTTGATTATAACGATCGTTTCGAATTTTAATCGTTGCTAACTTGAGTTTAGCGTTCGCTATCTTAAGACTAGCTTCTTGCTTTTTTATCTTTATAGCCTTGACTTTTTCGAGTGCTTTAAAAGCTAGTATATTCCTTCCCGTTTGCAAACTCGACCTTCTAATCAGCTTTTTCCGATGTGTATCGCGCTAAAGCTTTTGATTTTTATCGAGTTCTGCTTGATCAAGGCTTCTTCGTAACAACTAAGTCTCAGTACCTTGTTTCGCGATATCGAAGCGTTGGCGGCTAAAAGAAGAAAGAGTTATTTTAATCTTATCGTTCAGATCGTCGAGTTGCTTTACGCAATCTTGAAAAGATTAAGGAGGTCGAGGTAGCGCAAGAAGAAGTAATTCGTTAGGTTGCTTATCGATTGAAAAAGAATATTCATCTTCTTTAAGATCAGACGTTTCTCCGTACTCGAGTATATGCAATCCCGCTTCTTTTTTACTCTTTTTACTATACTCTTTCAATTTGCGTTGAATTTAAGAAAAGCTGATCGGCCACATTCTTGCATCTCGAAAAGCGTGTTTGATATTCCGAGTTGTAAAGGTTTGCTCGCGAATTTGAAGAAGGTCTCGCATAAACGATAAGATAGTATATTCAGCTTCGAAGCTTCGAATAGCATCTATGATAGCATATTGTTGATTATGTTTCTAAGTGCGAAAGCAGCCGACATCGAGAGGTTGTAAAAGATGAGTTTAATAAAAAGGGAATTTGATAAGCTATATACGATTTTGTTTAGCTAGTAAAATGAAATTTGAAGCTTCGTAGCAAAGCTGACCATCAAGTAATAATATTATCTACGGTTTATCGGGTCCTTGATCGGTATGCTTAATAAAGTGCTTAAGCTACTCTATAGTAATCTTATCGTTCGTATAACCGGATTCGAAAACAGTGACAACTTTATGTCCAGTCATCTTTTCGGAAAACCAAGACGCTATAATTTGCTTTCCGGGCACAATAATCATTAGAGGAATAGCTTTTCTATCGGCAAGAATAGCTTCGATCACAGTTACGAATAGTCGATTTTCACAGATTCTTGTATACATCTCTTTGATTCCGATAGGTACGATAACTTCTTCTCCGGCCGGCATACAAATCCGCGCGCTTTTCTCATTTATATTTGCGATTCTATGCTTATCTTTAAGCCCAATTCCGCAGAACTGGATAGCAAGAACAAGCTCGGTATAGAACCAGTTAGAGAGAGATTTCTCGGTATGCATATCGACGCGATGAGATGCGATTGGTTTGGTCCGTATAGCATAGAGTTCTGCTGTATTTCTTAACTAAGATTGAAACTAACGCCAAGAAGGTTTTGGCTTATTTTCTTGTATTTTAAAGTAGCAAATGCATCGATAAAGCATACGCTTAGTAGCTCCTTTCCCTCCTTTAGTTGCTTGATCTGCGGCGTAGATTAAAACAGCTTTATGCTGTGCTGCTAATAAAACCATAAGCCTTCTTACTTGTAGCGCTTTCCTTTCTTTCAATCGAGCTTGTTTAGCTTGATACTTATTTTATCTTCGCTTTAAAGTATTAAGCTTCTCTATCATATAAATGCGACTCGCAATAAGAGGTGTTTCGGAAAGGTTTTCGAGGAGCCATTCGAATGCTAGCTGTATTCGCTTATGTTAAGAAGCTTTTAAGAGCTTCTGGTATTCAGAATTAGGATCAAGAGGTGCAAGAGCGCGCGCGCGTTTTTTGCTTATTTTTATTTGGGTACGTAGGTCAATGTTTGATAGAAAATGTTGTGTTGAAGTGTTGTTGAAGTGTCTACGTTCCTCGCGATTTTTGGCGTTGAAGCGGGACATAATTTTTTCGCGGGACATAATTTTTTCGCCCACTTTAGGGAAGGGCCCCAAAAGTTGCGACGTCAAGGCCCACTATTAAATGTTTAAACGATTTATTACGTGGGGTAAGAAACGGATCAGACTCTAATGAAAATAGTAATCGATAATCACATCTTTTATCGGATCATACGATTCTAGATTTTTCGAAAGAGGATGTACTCGTAGATTCATTACTTATGTAGATATTTTATAATTATAGTAATAATTATTATAATGTATTTTTTTTACGAAAAATCCGCATTCGCTTCCGGTCCGCAATCGCTTACGCCGACTAGGACTGAAAGGATATAAGGATGCCTACTTAAGCAAGCCGACGAGTCCTTCTTCTGGAAGGGGAAAGTCGATCAAATTCCAGGGGCTGAATTGTCACCCTTGCGGAATTTTTTCAGAGGCCGCTTATTTGGCTATTGGTAGTTGGTAAATAAGACAAATTCTGTGTAAAGTCAATCAGAAGGGGTTTTCTTTTGGAAGTATGTCTGTCTACTTGGCATATTCATCAGCCCGATGAACCTAATTTGAAATCTGCCGGATCCAGGTATTTGTATCTAGCATGTCATTTTACGATTAGTCGAACACTTTATTTCCTCTCGCTCTTTATGGCTATTCTATTTCTTTCTACAAAAGCAGCAAAAGCAAAAGTAGAGACACAAGTAAAAGTAAACGGACGCTTTCACCGTTACACCTAGCACCGTCATGTGTGTCAGAAACTCGGCTGGTATGTACGTATAGCTTTGCAGGACGGTACACCGAGTACAAGCCACCCGCCCCTATCAGTGTCAAGCCCAGCCCGCCAGCCAGTCAATTTCCAAGTAAACATACGTCTGGCGAGAAAGCGGGAATGCATGCAATCAATCTATTCTATTCTTGGCTGTCTGCCTGTCCGCATCAAATCAAGCTTCCGTAAACTTCAAGCTTAAGCTTAAAAAGGGGCGAAGAGACAAGAATGCCAGAGCTGAACTCAGCTCAGCCTTATGTGTACCTTTCTCTGCAGATCTCAGCGGCACAGCTAGCTAGTTGCGGCTGAGACCCTAGACTTGAGCATCTAATCCCCCCCCAAAAAATCATCAGCCCAAAGAAAAGCAGCAGCCACTCAAAAGAGCAGCCGCAGATGAGCGGGAGTACAAGACACGGCGGCGGGTACGAGAGAGGGACGTTATTATTATATAAACAGGACACCTCCTTCCCCCGCCCTGAGGCCGACCGTCCGGGTCTGTAGCCAGTCAGTCAGTTTTCATTCAGGAAAGAAAGAAATCATCAGCTAATCATATATCGATATCGCTATCATCTCATCCAATCGTATACATACCTACCTACCTACTTACTTACTTACTTACTACTACCCCCCTATATATCATCAAAGATGGCTCTCGCAATCGGCGGCGCCGCACTCGTCCCTCGCCTGAGCGACTTCTTCGGTCCCGGCATCACGCCTCGATTCGAGAATGCCGCTGCTGGACATCTCCTCCAAGCGCGACAGTCGTCGAACTCCTCGTCCTCGTCCTCGTCCTCGTCCTCGTCCTCCTCCTCCTCTTCAGATTCCACCGTGAACCTCTTCATCGACTCCACGGACCCGGACTTCGAGTACGCGGCCTCGGTCATCAGCGCCTGCCGGGACGAGACGGTCTACGCGCTGCAGTGCACAGCCGGGCCCAGAAACGTGGGCGGCCAGACGTGTGGGCCTAATGCTGTTGTGAGTTTCCTTACATATATATATATATATATATATATGATGATGAGGATGAAGACGAATAGCTGATGATGATGACTGATGATATTAGATCGCCACGCTCACCAACGGCGCATCCACCTACGGTTTCTCCAGCGAAGTCACGACCACGACGCAGGGCGTAGAAGTGAAAGCCACAGTCATCGAGTCCTGCGCTCTAGCAGCTACTACTGCCGCAACCTGTACGCAGACCCCTCCCCTCTCCCCGAAACCAAACCCAAAAAAAAGAAAAAAAAAAGAAAAAGGAAGCGAAAGCCTTGCCTCATCACCTTTGAGCATCGTCGCGGGACCTACCACCCATTAACATCTCCCAAAACAGGCACCGCCACAGTCAAAGGCGAAGCAGACGGCACCAAGACCTCAACCTCAACCACCACCATCCTGTCCGGAAGCGACTACATGCGCTTCGACGTCGCCATCACCGGAGGCGCCGAGAAGACCGCCGCCGCGACGGGCGCGTGCGAGAGTAGCGCGGCCGCTGGGAGGACTCTGGGCGCCAGCAGCGGTAACGTGATGCTGTGGGCTCTGGCGGGCTTTGCGGGCGCGGCGAGCATTCTGTCGATGGCGTAGTGCCAGTGTAGTCGGTGCGGTGCGGTGGATGGGGATTGGGATTGCGATCGGGATGGGATTTGCGTCTCATCTGGTACACAGAATGGATACTCGTCTATCGGCGCTTGCTTGCTGGCTGGCTGGCTGGCTGGCTGGGTGGCACGCTTAGGAAAGTAAGAAGCGAAGCGAAGCGAAGCGAAACAGTTGGGGGGAAATCCATCCATCCATTCATTCATCCATCCATTCATCCACATCTTTTTTTTTTTCTTCCCTTCTTTCCTCCTCTCTTTTCTCTTATTCAGCAAGCCGGCAGAGAAATCCTACACCCCCGAAAAAACAACGCAAATTTCGACATCGAAAAAAGATACTTGTTTTTTTTTTTAGCGTGAATGATAGTAATGATAAAATGTTTACGTTTACACTCAAAGGAGAACGCAGGCTATACAACCTTCAATGCCTTGAAAGGCTGCCGGTATGTTACAGGATAAAGAAAGACCTTTGATCAGACTGGTCTCTATTACAGTGGTACTCTCCCAGAGCTACTTATGAGTCCTCAGCAGCGATCGATTGCTGGGAAGTCATTTTCCCCACCCGCCATCCCTGGCCACACTTCATGTACCGGTACCTATTCAGAATGGCCCTCATGAGGAGCGTTTAGGCTTCTCTGAGCTTAGCTCAATTTGCTGATACGCAGCTGGCTTCTTAAGCAAGCTACACGGAAGCTTGCTAGCCAGCTCTCAATCACATCAATCAAAGCTCAAGGGCGCCTGTCAGCCAAAACTCATATGTTTTCACCTTTCCTTCCTTCTTCCAAGCAATCGAGTTTGAAGATAAAAGACTAAAGAAGAAACAGCAGCAGCAGCAGCAGCAGGATCTACAAGAGGAGACAAAACAAGACAACAAGTCAATCTATTCTCTAGTACTTCATTTCATTTCATCTCATTTCATTTCATTTCAACTCATCTATCCATCAATCGCTAGTCACCTAGATAAGATACCTCTAACCTACCGATCATTATCTCAACGAGCGCTAGCCTGTACGCAAGGGTTGTATTCTCCGTAGTGTGCTTGCTGTCTTGTGTCTCTGAGCATATATACATATATATATGTACATATGTACACACACACACACACACAGACACACACACACGCACACACGCACACACATATATATATATACATATATACACATACACATACCTGCATGTAAGTGACTAATAAACACCAAACCAAACCAAAAAACCAAACCAACCCAAGGCTTGCTTTGTAGTAGGTGTCAGAGTATCAAAGTAATTCACTCTAGCCGAATACCGAATCCTGAATACCGCATACCGCATACCGTCTACTCATATTCATTCGCCCCTATCCCGACATGGGTCTGTCGAAGATGAGAAGGAGGAGACCGATCGATCATAGGTACACACAATGCAGTAGGAGCTTCTTCAACGGAAAGCGCCCCGATCACGTACGATCTGACCAGCGGAAAGAAAGCATAGATGAATGATCTAGACGTCTAGAGGCAGGAAGGATTGGTATTTCAAATTATGCGCCTCCCGCTCAGGACGCGTCAAAGGCCCCCTCCCTCAACCAGCCCCCTTCTACTATCCCAGGACACCTTTCCCAAGTGCACCCAGACTCATCTCGTATCGACCGGGACTGTGATCCAGTAGCATACTTCCACCGAACCGGATCTCACCAAATCGCTTTTCCACATCGCGCACGTATTTCAAGACGCTTCTCGTAGCCGGCCGACCCAGGTCCCTCGCCTCGCCATTACCGCCAGTCACGAGCGCATCTCGCTGCAAGACCGGCATGGTCTCCACCACAAAGACTTCTCCCGGCGGCAACAGTTTGGCCGATAACATGGATGCACGGAGGGCTTTTAGAGCAGAATATGCCCATTGGTCGTCGTCCTCGGTGTTCATTCCCGGAGGACGGTTGGCGTACCAGTTATCCATGAATGTGCCGGTGATCCCCGCCCATACACGTTTTCGAACTTCACCCTTGGCGCCTGAGTCGTCAGTCTTGAAGGCAAGAGCTACAGCTTGGAGATCATGAAGCACGCCAAGAGAAAGGTAGGGGACCAGATCTTGACCATTGATGATCGTGGTGATTAGACCCCGAGTGGCGAGTCGGAGCGACGGGGAGAGGGTGGCTGGTGGGCCGTACGCGTATACATGCACTCGCCGACCTGGTGGAAGATGTATTCTTGACGGAGCGGAACTCTGCTCAGTCTGAGATGAGCTGAGACGGAGATGCGATGACGTATAGTTAGACGATGTGAAGAAAGCCGTCGACGAGGAATCAGAGGAGGGCTCGGAGATAAGAATGGCGAGTAGAGCTGTTACGCCTCCACCAAGGGAGTGACCACACATCACCAGCCCGTAGTCAGGGAATTCCTCCAAAGCAGCTGTGATGGTGGCCATTACGCGTCCACCACCACCATCAAGGAGTCGCCTAGCTGAAGCATGCATGCCCCTGTGAACCTTATATGCTTTCCCTCTGTACTCGAGCTCGTCGTAGTCGCAAGTCATGTCGGTCAGAACGTCTTCGAAACCAAGTGTTCCACGACAGGTGAGGACTACGGCTCTGGACTCGTGGTCGAGGGAAACGAAGTGTACCATTGGAACACCCGTATTTGTGTTACCATTCGCGTCGGTACCACCTTGGGGATCTACAAAAGACGATAACAGAATGGTCGAGGGCGGCAGCTGAGTGTGAGTAGAGAATGAGTGGTGTTCATGATGATGGGACGTTTCAATCTCTTTCGCTGTCGGACCTTTCGAAGTCACGATGCCCATAACGCGAAGAAAACTGGCCCCATATGAAGCGGATGCAAACCGCACGAATCTAGTGATATTCCGAACGATATGATGCTGTGGGAACAATCCATCAATGAACCCAGTGTGAGCCAGAGCTTCAAGCGTCTCGGAGCTTTCGAAAGCGCTGCGACTTGGTTGGCTCGCCAGGACCAGTGATGTTGCCGAGTTGTTCGCTCCGAGTGTATATATACTCGGCACAACACTCTTTGATCTTCGATGCTGGAGAATCGGAGAGACTGGTTGCTTCACAATGTTCTTCTCGGACCGTGCCCTTATCAGATTGCTCTGAGCTTTCAGGTGAGTCCTGAACGCCGTTGGCGATCCAGGCCGTGTTTCAGCCGAATGTATAGAGTAGGTGTCAGTTTGAGAGAGTAGTGAGTCTCGTCGTCGCTCGTGGACCGAGTAGTAACTTCCACTCGAGGGACTCCTTTGAGTGTCGGCCGGCTGCATCGAGCCAAGGTCCCGGGACGAAAAGTAATTTGGGTCGTCTCGCTGCGGAGGCTTAGGTGTATCCCGGGCAGAAATCATGCCAGAGTTACGATGAGGAACTGGAAGGTTTGATTTTGAGGCCGACGATGGACCCGAAATTTCCCAGCTAGGTTTCATTGGAGGTGGTTTGGTCTTTGACTGTGCAGCGCTGTCTTTATTCCAAAAGTTTGGAAGTGCTGTCCCGGATCCCTTTCTGAGAACATTTCGGAACGAACCCTTCTTCTCGGAGGGTTTAGTGGGCGGCCGCTCCAAAAGAGGCTTCTTCGTCGCCGGAGGCTTCGCGGCCACTTTCCTGAGATGGGGGAGATCCGAAGTCGAAGATGCAGAGCTCATTGGTCTGCGAGTCCGCTTCTGGTTCGCAGCATGCTCTGGAGACTTCGGGATCGGTATGGACGAGAATCCAAGGAGATTGCCGAATCCCGGTGCAGTTGATCTAGGCGAGCGATCCGTGTTCATGACGTCGGAAGATAACTTTCTCGACTTACCCTTCCCGGGTGGTTCTGGCGGCAAATCAGGAAAAAGCATTGACGGTTTGCTAATCTCACTATCCTCGAGGACTCTTCTATCTTCTGTAGCTGGGAGATTTTCTTCGTCGTCGCTCTCCTCAATTTCGTTTTCCTTACCAGTCTCTTTTTTCCGCTCAATGTCGGTGCCTCGAAATGTGCTTCGAGCAATCCGATAGACCACTCTATACCTGGGAGTCAACGAGCCGTTTCTCGGTTCATTCGTCAAGGCATGGCCATCGAGATCTAACTCTGGCGTGTGATGAACATCCTCTTCCACAATCTCGACACCGTGGGGCGGTGACAGATCCAGAGGCTGTGCCCCAGTGATCTCCACTGTAATCGTTTTCGTAGTGGTAGTTTCTGTGGTAATTGACACCGAAGCGTCGGCCGGCAGGGACCTCATGATCTTTTGCCTGAGGTTGATCTCCGGCAGGTCATCCTCGGACTCGTCTTGTAACCTGCTCTCTCGCTCGATGGTCTGGACAACCTCATCTCTACCTGGAGCCACAAATGAAATGGAGTGCGTCCTTGCCACATCCTCTTCAGCATTCGGTACATCGTCCTTGCTGATGACATCGGCCCTTCTCCCGTCGTCCAGCACCACGACATCCCATACCACGGCGTCCCCAGTCCCCTCGGCATCTGTGATCTTCTTGCACCACCTCTGCAGCAGTGCTAATCCGCAGATCCCAAGCAGAAGATCCGCGACTCCGACCTTCTCGCCTTCCTGCCCGGTAGCCGGATTTTGAAACTCCCTCCGTATGAGCGTAACAATACTGGCAATGGCCCTACTCGAATCCGTGCTCCCCAGTATGCTGTCCAGCGTAAACAGCAACTGCTGTGACAGGTCTCCCGCGCCGTGTAATGCTGTGGAGGAGATGTAGAAGCCGGTGGAGGCCGCGAAAGATATATTCGTGATGGTGGAATGTAGCGTCGCGATACTCCGTTCCAGAATGCCCTCTGCCTCCACCTTCCCCAGCTGCCCTCTGCTCCGCAGGTATACATCGCGCCCGGCCCGGTGTAGGATGCCTTCAAAAGCTGCTCGACTTACCTCCAGCCCAGTCAAGGTTGTGACTCGTGCGCCATCCAGGGCCAGCCCCCCGATGAACGTCCCGAGGCGGAGGTATAGAGAGCCAGATCGCGTAGCCAAGCTCACGACGTTTGCGATGGGCGCCGGCAGCAGAGTTGAAGATTCTGCGGCTGGTGTGGGATTCGATGAAGCTATTCCGACTTCTCGGCCCTTCCTATCCCGCTCATCCGCCTGCATCTCGACCCGCTGAATGTGGCTGGACGGCGCGTGGAAGTGGAAGTGGGATATGGGGGGGGGGTTCGCGCCTTGTCGTCGGGGTCTTTCCATTCGCGATGGGTATTCGTGGGATTTGTATCCGGTTGGAGGTTGACAGGATGAAGCATTGTTTCGAGGTGGCGTCGTGCAGTTGAGACTTGCATGTATTGGTTTGGTGGTGGTGGGCTAGGGATTGGATATGGTTTCATCAAAGTAACCTGGTCGCCTTGAGCGTTTCGGTGCACCCGAGGCATGTGAGAGGGTGGCGGGGTGGCGGGGTGGCGGGGTGGCGGGGTGGAACACTGAGCGTAAAAACCAACAAACAAATATCATAGAACGAGTACCTATCCATATAGAAACCACGCATTCCGAAATCAAACCATGGAATACATATACACACCTATATACTACATTATTATCAGTTCTTGCAAACATATCAACTAATCAAAAGCTATCTATCATCCACTTCCATCAACAACATCAACATCAAACTAACCATACGAACCCCTTCTCCATCATTCTCACTATTGAACCCTAACCCTTATCCCTCTACTCAACCCATTCCACCATTCAACCCATTCCACTATCCAACCCATCCCAAACAACCACCACCAATTCCACTCCATCCCATTCCCTTGAAGTCTAAAAAAAAAAAGAAAAAAAAAAACAACTACTCTCTCTCCCCATCTCCCCCTCTCACTCACTCCCTCACCCCCCCTCCCAACCTCAGCGTTCGTTAACCGAGAACAAACAAACAAACAAACAAACAACCGAAATGGAGCGACCACACACACATACACACATACTACCTCACCTCACCTCACCTCACCTCACCACATCACCATCACCATCACCATCACCAAGGATACAAACCCCCCGACCCCTGGAATTGATACCAGCTTTGCTTTGGGTTGGATTTCCGTGCGCAAGCAAGCAAGGTCAGGCAGGCAGATGGACAGACAGACGGATAGATAGACAATGAGCCTCTTTTCTTTTGAGGCATGTCGGTATGTAGGTCTATCAGCGTAGTGCACTGTGCCCGCCCCGGAGGAAGCTGTCTTTTTAAATATTGGTATCTGAGATCAGACCGACGAGTTTGTGTTTTGTGATTGGGTGCTGGGCGCTTCTTTCATTTATTTATTTAATTTCTTAAATATTTTTTTTTTCCTTTTTTTTTCTTTTTTGTATAGGATCAAAGGAGTGAGCACGTCAGGACAAGCGTAAATGAATTTGGAAAAATCATGTAAAGAGGAGAAGCATCGATTCATATCGGTCTATCCCTCAAGAGAACCTTTCGAGTATACGACTCCACCAAGCTATCACTGCCCAGCACCGTATCGAATCAAAGGGTATAAAGCCGCGCGCTGAAATACAATCATTACAATGCATCATCATCCACGACCTCCCGCCCATTACATCCTCTACCGCTCAGTCATTATACGTCCCCCCCCCCCCTTTGCCCCTCCTAAAACTTCATGTTCGCAGCTGCGACTGGTGAATCAAGCCGCGGTTGGAACTTCAACGGCATCAACCTTCGCATCAGCTTTATTTTCCACTGCAATACCCTTATCAGTCTGTCCAACCTCAGTGGACGAGACAACGGCATTCTGCTTCTCAACCAATCCCTTCACAATCTTGACTTCGCTCAAAATTTCCTTCTCGAGACCAGCGCTGACGATGGCGGTAAGTGAAGCAGCTTGCTTCTTTGTCTCTTCAGCGACCGACTTCACGCTCTTGACTTCGGACAGAATCTCTTCAGACTTATCGGCTGGTGCGGAAGTAGGGATTGCCTTGACGAGGCTCTCCACAGAAGTGATGGACTTCAAGATCTCATCGTCTTTACTCGTCGGGGCTGGGATAGCCTCAACAAGGGCCTTGACTGATTGGACAGAAGCAAGAATTTCGGCGTCCTTAATCTCTTGTGGTGCGGTAGGTGCTGGCAGGGCCTTGATGCGAGTCTCAATCGAGGCGATAGACTGCAGTATCTCATCGTCCTTGCCAGCAATCTGAGCAGCTGGAGCGGGAATAGCCTCAACGAGCGCCTTGACTGACTGGACCGAAGCGAGAATCTCGGTGTCATTTGTGTCTTTCGGTGCTGGGAGGGCCTTGACCAATGACTCGACCGAGGCGATGGAAGAGAGAATCTCGTCATCTTTGCCGGCAATCCGAGCAGCTGGGGCTGGGAGAGCCTCAACCAGAGACTTGACAGCAGCTACAGATGCCAAGATTTCTTCATCTTTGACATCCTTGGCGGCGACTGGTACTGGAAGAGCCTCGACAAGGGCCTTGACGGAGGCCACTGAAGCCAGAATCTCCTCGTCCTTAACCTCTTTTTGGGTTGCGGGAGAAGGAAGTCCCTCCACAAGAACCTTGATCGAGGCGACGGAAGCGAGAATCTCATCGTCCTTCCCAGCAACCGGGGCAGTTGGTGCTGGGATAGCTTCAACCAGGATCTTGATCTCCTTCACGGAATTTTCAAGACTGGAGAGGTCGACCTTCTCGGAGCTTGGTGCAGGGACGGCGACTACACCCTTGATCTCCGTCAGGTGACCAGTGTGGGACTCGAGGGTTGCGTTCAGCTTGGCTACGGATGACTCCAACGAGGAAAGGTCGGTTTTCTCAACAACAGGCGCAGCAGCAGGTTTAGCGACGAGGCTCTTGATCTCGCTCAAGTGGGTAGTGTGAGCATCGAGAGTGGTGACCAGGGGAGACAGGTCAACCTTCTCGGCGGGAGCAGAGACGACAGCCTTCACGTCGCTGATCGAAGAACCAAGAGTCTGGATTGAACCGTTTGAAGCCTCGACGGCAGCCAGGATATCCGATGTCTTGCTGGCGGAATTCTTGATTTCGGTTAGAGAAGCATCTTGCGCCTCAATAGCAGCGATGATGGTGCCGACGTGGGTGTTGAGCGCGGAAAAGCCAGTACTGTTTGAAGTCTCAAGGTCTGACTTGACGGAGGCAAGCTCCGAGCTGACGTTCTTCAAGCTAGCGGAAGCCGCGGAGTATTCCTTGATAGTAGCGAGCTCCGCAGTGATGGCGTCCAGTTTTTCGGCCTGGGAGGATAGAGCAGACTTCAGGGGAGTAGGGCCCTCGGATTGTAGCACTTGGAGTCCCGTGGAAATGGAGTCTAGCTTCTGACCATGTGCGGCGAACAACGAAGTGTCCGAAGATGCAACTTGTTCCTGAACCAGCTTCAGGTTGTTTCCTAGCTCCACCAGCGACTTCTTTATATCGGCCACAGCGCCATCAAGGGCAGCTAGCTTGCCGGTTGTAGAAGTGTTGGCTTCGTAGTTTTGTCGGACAAGCTGCTCCGTTGATCCCAGGAGTTTGGATTCGATGGCTGAGGGCTCTAGGGCCGACTTGAGGGAAGGTTGGAGTTCGGTAGCAAGGTGTTTGGCTACGGCTCTCGTGAACTCATCGTTGCGAAGGGCAGCCGAGATTGCGTCTGATATCGACTTTGGAAGAGCGTCTGGATCCTGGGTTTGCTGACTCTTGGGAGTCTCCAGAAGTTCTGGCTGGCCAGAGAACCTCGCGCGGAGGCGTGAATAGGCCGAGGTGGACATCACAGTAAAGGTGGATGATGCTAGAAGGACGCAGAAGAGAGTCAATAGCGACGACATGCGGAGGGAGGTGGTGGGAGAAGAAGAAGTGAAGATGGAAAAAGTTCAGCATCTTCTTATTCTGCACGAGCTCCACACTCCACACGACCCATGCAGGAGACACGGAGACGGTCGCCGGTCTCACTTTGCTGGAGAACTCATTTCGTGAATCGCAGTCGGAGTGGGATTTGTGGGATTTGTAGGGATTTGTAGGGATTTGAAGGGAATTCAAGGGAATTGTAGGGGGGAAAGAAGGTTGGCAAGGGAAGGGACGGGAAAGGGGACGGGAGAGGGAAGGGAAGGCGCGGCCCGCCAGTCAGTCCGTGCTAGAAGCCTGGATCTAGACGTCCATCATTACCTACTGTACAGTACCTCGTGGAAGTATTGGAAAGTGAATATTTTATTTATACTTCTACCAGGTGGACCTTCGACTCCCCTGATGAATCCAAGCGACGATCTACGGCACAGAGTAGAATGCCGGCTTTGAGCGTTTCCTGCGGTGCAACCTCTCTGCTGGATCTGGGGATCAGTGAGCAACGCCGATCCGGCCGCCAGCTGGTAGTTAGAAATGTACCACGCATCTCATGTTTGCCTGTGCCTGTCAAGTTGTCCGGGTCGCCAGTCCGAAGGGTACGAGTCATTACGGAGTATCGGTTTGTGGTTTCCGAATAACGTTTGCGCGGCGTTGCGATGAGAAAGAAGCCGGGCTAGCGCGCAAATTTTACATACGAAGTACTAAGACTACCTACTACTACCTACTACAGTACAACAGTATCATACCCATGCAAAGGTTAAGAATTCCCAGCCTGGAGCCAATTTCCGCCAGAAACCAAGTGTTCGGTAGCTAGAAAAAAACGTTTGTCTAATTTTAAATGTTTCAAAATGGTTTTTTTTTTTTTTCAATGTCAACGTACTATCCATCTGACACGACGATCTCCATCGCGGGCTACCATACCGTAGTTGATAAGTAGCAAGTCCACTGGTCCTGCAGCTACGACTATTTACCTCGCTTGCAAAAGTTACCGAGCTCCAAGCCCCAAGCCCCAAGCCGCATGGCCAGGCAGGCCACACCTCACTACAATGTTCTTACTAGGAAGGCAGCCGGGCAACTCGCCATCATCGCTATCACGAAAAGGGGGCTCTCCATCTCCACCGGTTCTCCAAGTCCCGCTCAGCAACACACACCTCGCACTCGGCAGCTCAATGCCACACAATCCAATGCATCTGAAAGCCCTGCTTCAAAAAGAAAAAGTCGACCAAACGAATCTCTCTTTTTTGTTAAATACGGAAATTCAACTAATTCTCTGCACCCTTCCTTTCCCTCTTCCTCTCCTGTTCTCCTGAGCATGCATGACTATACACATACAAACAACACACATACAAACCGCTTCATTTTACATTTTTTATATCATCAGCTTTACCACATCATCATCTTCTTCATTATATCTCAGCATATCCCCTAAAATACCTCTCAATGATCAAAACCACGTTTTTTCACATCTCCATCCTCCCCTCTCCATCTTTCCCCCCCCGCCAAAAAAGCTGCCATTTCCTCTTAAGGCACAGGCTGAAGATTGATAGAATGCATGCGTTAGGAGTCCGCGCTTTCTCGGCATTTATTTCCAGGGGGCGAGGCGAGGGGTTTTTTTTTAAAAAAAATTATTATTATTATTAAAATTTTTTTTTGCCCTTTCTTTCGAAATCTATATGCAGCGAGTCCGAGCCCTAACGTAGGCTAGCTCCCTCGGTAGCTCATTCGCGCTCACTGCGATATCTTTATCCAAGCGTACCAGAACAAAGAATGCTGTTACTTGTTTTTGGGCCTCGTTTGGTTTTTCCACCTACTTTTTTTGGATGCTCATTTTCTGTGTCTTCTCCACCCATCCTGCAGGCTGCAGCATGCCGATTAGATTTCAAATATCTTCAAACTCCGCCAAATAAGGAGGAATGAAAGACCTTGCAGAAGGTATGCACGACGACGGCCGAAACCATTTTCAATTTCTGCAAAAGCCCTTGCAAAATTTATGTATTATACATATCTAAAAAGAGCTTTTCTCCCGTAGTAGACTCGTCATCCACAACCACCAGTCAACTACCTGCCCTCTTCGCTACTTTCCGAAACCCCCTCACTCTCGTCCTCGTCGCAGAAGCACAAAGTGTCTACATGGTGAAGAGAATCAAGAACGACACCATGAGGGCGAAGAGTCCCGTCGCCTCAGCGAAAGCGAAACCGAGAATGGCGTAGGAGAATAGCTGTCCTCGCATGCTCGGGTTGCGCGCAACGCCAGTGATCAGAGCACCGAACACCGTTCCGATACCAGTTCCGGCACCTGTTAGTCGTGGATCAGTTAGCCTGCTGGTGTATTCGTCCACCTTGCGTCAAGCTGGTGGGGAGAAGGGGTTTCAATTTCGATCGCTAGATTGGATAATTGCCTCCTCTCGAGCGGCAATTGTGGGATTCTATGTGTGTGTGTTTGAGTGTGTATGAGTGTACGTACCAATCAGACCAGCAGCGGCAGCTCCGGCACCGATCAGCTTTCCCGCACCCATGATCGCAGCACCGACGGTGATAGTCTCAGTCACGACACCGCGCGTCTGGTGGCGGGCGAGGTTGGCGGCCATGTTACGGCTCATGAGGAGGCCCGAGGACCGAGCAGGTTGGAAGCGGGAGATGGAGGTTTTGGGACCTGGAGAGCAGCTCGTTAGTGCCTGGTTTCAAGCATTGCTTGCATGTTGTTTGACCTCAATTGAACTGGGAGGAGTGATGAAAATTGTTGGCATGTTGGGGTAGTAGTTATCCGGGCTTCGGTTGGGACTGGGGATGGAAGCGGGGAAGTTCGAGACCAGACACAACCAACGGCATCATCGGCATGAGAGGAGAGCAATGAATTGATCGATTGATGCATCTTGGGGGTGAGGGCATTGACGGGCAACGAAGATTGAATGGAATGATGGATGATTTGAGCGTTGGAAAACGGAAACACACAAACACACATACCGTTGGTGAAGGCACGACGAGCAACCGTGTTACCCTGGCGCATGGCAGAGAGGCCATTGGACCGGGCCGAGCGGGCAGCGATCTGAGTGATGGAGTTCATGATGGAACGAGTTGGTGATGTCGAGTGGGAGTGGAGGTTTGGGGTTTGGAATTGAAGCTGTTGATGATGGATTCGGAGGATGGTAGGGGCGTCAAGGGAGCTGGAAGACAGAGGAGAGGAGAGGAGAGGGAGGAGAGGAGAGACGAATGGACTGGAATGTACGGAGCTCTTGGGTATTGGACCGGAACTTCGATCTAGTCCGGATCAGGGAAGGGAAGGTAGTCAGCCGAACCAATAGATGATGGTATGGCAGAACTTGTCACAGATTACTAGCCAGAGCTGCATATGGACCAAAGGGGAATAGGCCGAAGCTCTAGCTACGGGACAGACAGTCTGAACTTGGAAGGCTGCACATCCCTCCTGAATATCTACCCACGAAGCGTAACAGTATCAGGACGTGACGTGACATGTATAATCAACGGATTGAGTTGAGTTGAGATGGGTTGAGATCTCCACACTCCACTCCACTCCACTCCACTCTTGGCGGAGCCACTTCCCCACGGGGCCCCCTAAACCTAAAGCCCCACTTTATTGCGCATCATCTCCATTTTTTATCGCCAATTACCCAACGAGGAAGAAGCAATTATTGATTCGAGATAGAATCGCCACCACAGACAGCTATCTCGTCCCAGTAGATACCTAATTGATCGAGAGCGAGGGTGAGGACCTGAGTATAACATCGAGCTTGCGACCTATCTGTCCAATGTATTGGAGAGAGGTAGCTGCCTACCTGCACGGCTGCTCCTTTAATTCCGCTGGATTTTATTCCCGGCCCTATCCGAAGGAACACTGATTAGGGGAAAGATCTACATAAATACATATATAGGTACATATATGTACATACCTTTATATGATATACAGCAGAGGAGATAACCAAAGAATCTTTCTCTACGAGGAATGCAACCTAGTCCGTCCGATAAAGACCACAATCCAGTCGGTCCCTTTTCCTGCAGCAGCCCTAAATGAAAAGTTGCAAAATAGACTAACTGGTTATTGGTTCGCGGGCTATTTCGGTTTCAAAATGGGCATTTCTTCAGTGTCATATACAATACGATTCTTGGCTATATACACCTCAGGGTCATATCTACAATCTTCTCTTCGAAAATGCCGACACAACACAATCATTACCATACCTGCATGACCGATTCTACCATGAAATTTTGTATGTGCATTGTCCCGCCCGGTGCTGCTGGTCCCTTTTTTTTCTCTTCTCCAAAGCCATGCAAAATCCAAGTCCCCCATGGGACATCCAGCAAGTTCATATTCTCATGCGCCCATTTACGCCCCTTTATGGCAGCATGTCCGCATGTCCGCTCTTGGAAGCCACAACTTTGCTCTTCAACGCATCCATAATCTCCTCCCTCGTCTTGCCCCTCCAATCCTTATATCCCTTGTTGCTCAACGGCCAGAGCGGCAGGTTCAAGTGTCCATTACTCTCAACATGCTGCGCGAACCCTGGAGCTGGGGTGCTCATCATCGTATCCAGCTCCCGGTTTAACTCGGCGCAGTACGCATCGAGAGGTAAGTCGTTGACGTCGTTGCCAAAGGGGTTCTCAAGCTCGTCGCCAATCGTCGCGATACCGAGAATAATGTAAGCGGCGGCAATGGTGCCAGGGATCGTGACCCATTTGAGGGCAGTGTAGAGTTGGAAGGGAAGGAGATAGACGTAAAGGAGAACAACCTGCGAGATGAGGATGTTGTAACCAATTGGGAGAGGTGTCGTAAGGACTCGCTCAGCGTTACCGGCCGTATCGGTCATCCCAGCAAGCGCAGTCACTAATTTTTATCAGCATGATTATTGCAAGAGACGGTCGAAAGGAGGGCCATACTAACTTGTCCCACCATCGCGGCAGATTTCAATTGCCCGTTGTTGGACACCGTTTCGAAATAAGCACTCAGGTACCCCATAATTTCCATCGGCAAGTTTCCGAGCGGCTTATCAGATCTCTTCATCTCCTTTCGCGGATTGCTCATTGCAAACGGTAACCCAAGATGCATACCTAGACTCTTCCACATACTGAGTTTCTGCTTTTGGAGATGCTCCTCCTTGTATGCTGCCTTTGCATACGTATCCAGATGTGAGACTAGGCCGGCTATATCAGGGTAGTGCGCGTAGGGCTCGAAGCGGAGACGGTGCTTGAGGGAGACAGCGTGAGAGAGAATGAGGTTCATGGCTGTGACTTTTTGCAGGAGGTCGTCAATACCTTGTGCGCCCTCGCGCTCTTCAACGTGGATCCAGATATAGCGTGCCAGGTTGCGGGACTGGATCATGAGGGTGCACCAGGATTTGCGGCCTTCTGTGTATCTGGTCGTGTTAGTTGAGTCTATTGGTTTGGGAGTTTGAGAGGTACCGTTCGTAGGCTGTTGAGCTTCGGAATGAGAGGGACAGACCAACAACGAAACCGAGAACTGTGAGAAGAACAGTGTTGACGCCAACTAGGACAGTTAGCATTATTTCGTTGAGAAAGCTGGGATACGCTATATTCCTACGGTCGAAGATCCATTGTGAGATGCAAGTTATCAAAGTTGCCCAAGCGCCTATTCCTACTAATGGCAAGAGCATGCGAGGAAGAACACTTCCATGCATGCGCATGAAATACGGGAGCTTGGAATGACTGTCGAGATTTCGAGGGCCGAACTAGTGGTCATGTCAGTTAGCAGTGGATCGTATAGTACAATTGATTTGTGGCCGACTCACAAAATAGTGATCAAGATCTAAGATATCTTCAGACACTCGTGGTGTATTGGCGGCGGTACTCTGGGCAAGCACATCGAATCCAGACAAAGGTCTCTCAATCTTGACGTTGATCTTCTTCTCTTGCCCAGCGTCGGTTTGGTCTGATGTGTGTCCACCACCACCACGGCCTTCTCCACCACCCGCAGCTGGTGCTCCTCCCGCAGGTACTGGGGAGTCGTCCGACATATTTGATCTTGCAGATACGATTGATTAACTATGAATCTGTATCGGGGACAAAATCCAAGGTATGGTTGTGAAGGAAGGTGATTGATAGAAACAAGACGCGAAGAAGAGTAAAGTGAAGGTGGAGGAGGGGTGAAAAATTCAGAAGAAAACAAGAGTGAAGGCTCAAGGTTGAAGGTTGGAGTTTGAAATTGAAGATGAAATATTAATAAGTAAAGGAGACGCGACGAAAAGCAAGCTTTGGCTGCCCAGCCTTGTCGGCAGGGGTAAACTAAGGCTCGTCCCGAACAGGAAAGAGGAGCAATCGCCGACCGGCCGTTTCTGAATCTGCGCCCGCCCGAACCACCGAATCACAGCGTCAGACGGCCAAGGAACTATGGATATTCAGAGGCCCGTCCGCTGAGACGACGGTTCTGATGAATAATAGTGAGACTTGACGTCTCAACTTTTGAGGCCCTTCCTTATCCCGCAAAATAATTGTATTCCGCGTTGTTTATAAAATAACGGAGAAAAATATATATTTTAATCAAAAAACCAACTAGATAACTTAATATATATATATATTATTAAATCTTAATCAAGTTGAAAAAAAATTATTATATCGCGTGTCTTTCGAATGATGTCAAGAAAAGCTATAGATTAAGGTCGCAGCGAATCCCGTATACTTTTTTAATCTTTTATTCAAGCTCTTTTCATTCTTTAAGCATCATTTTTATTAAAGTGACGATAAAATAATATTAATTCCTGATAATCTTCGTCTTTATCGTTAATACAGATATGAGCTAATAGATTTTATTTATTCCGAAAGCGTTTTTTATCTGCAAAGACTTAAAGGTCGATCGGATACAAGCTTTCGCGAACTCAGCAAGCTCTTTTTCTAAACGTGTTTAACGCAGCTTTTTCGATTGCAATTGCGTTTCGAAAAGAAAATAAATAATCATCAGCTTTTATTTCTTTTTTTATAAGCTGCTTTTCGCGGTCTCGAATAAGGGTTTTTTCGCTCGGATAGAGTATGAACGGAAATTCTTCGACCTTATTACTTGTACGCTTCTTTTAACAATTTCTTAAATCAACTTCTTTTTATATATATCTAGCTAAGCTTTTTAAGCTTTACGGATTTCTATTTAATCAAGGCTTCCTCGCCATAATTGTATCTTAATACTTTGTTTCGAATTGTATCTTGCGAAAGAATTGTATCCTGCGTCGCTTGTAAAATAGCAAAGAAATCAAATATATATTTTAATTAAAAATCAATCATATAACCTAATATATATATATTATTATATTATTAGATCTTAATTAAGCTGAAAGTAAATGTTTGATTAAGAAATATTAATTCAGTGTGGGACACAATTCTTTCGCAGGACATAATTATTTCGCCCACTTTAGGGAAGGGCCCCAAAAGTTGCAACGCCAAGTCCTACTATTAAAAGCTCCGACCGCCCTCGGGGACTTTTGAGGAAAGATTAGTCAGACTCGAGTGAATGGATCCATTACAGTATGAGTGTGATCTGGTTAGAATCACAAATTACCCCTGTCCGTAGTTGTATCACTGGTTGCATATCAGATCGTTATCAAGCTAACTTTTCAGCTGCATTATGCACTCATTGAATGTATAGAAAAATTGCAAGCACTTGGATTTTAGCTTCGATATAACGTTGATTTCCTGTACGAGTCACTTATACCACGTGATCAAACGTTGGATGGACCATTTCCAGTCTAGCCTCAGCCTCCCTGCAACTGAAGCTCCACCACCAGATTTTGAGCCTCACCCCGCCTAAGACAGCTTCGACCACAACAACACGGCGAGTTCACAGCAGAAGCAAATGTGAGCATGTCCGAACGAGGTTATCAACGCGGTGGACGCGGTGGCGGTGGTGGTAGAGGTGTGTGCCTTCTCTTCTTCATCCCATCTCCAATGCGGCTCGAGCTTCAGTGGACAATGCAGTCGAAAGCCGACTCGGATGCAGCTATATACAGCTGAGAGATCAGGACAACGGCTAACAGCTACATGGCAGGCGATCACAGAGGTGGGCGTGGCGGCGGCGGTGGTGGTAGAGGTGGACATGCAGGTGGCTCAGGCGAGAGGCCGAAGAAGGAAAATATTCTTGACTTGGGGAAATACATGGATAAGAAGATTACCGTGAAATTTACTGGTGGGCGCGAAGGTATCCCTCCCTCACTTCCCATCCTTCTTTTCATTCTATGTATGTTTGGGTAAAGGGCTGATATGTTGGGCAGTAACCGGCACACTAAAAGGCTACGACGCCCTGATGAACCTAGTCCTCGACGACGTCGACGAAGTGCTTCGCGACGATGAGGGGAACACATCGAGTCGGTCGCTAGGTCTGGTTGTGGCGAGAGGAACTCTACTCGTGCTTGTTAGCCCGGTGGATGGGAGCGAGGAGATTGCGAATCCCTTCGTGCAGGCTGAGGAATGATGCTGTCATTGAGATGCTGGCGGCGAGGAAAGGCTTAGGGCCGGGAGGAAATGTACCATGAGAGATTTGACTGCTTTGGTACAACGATTTGACGCCTGGGAGAGGAGTCATGGTGGATGCTGGCGAGGACGAGGGACGATGCGAAGTCTCGTTTCGAATATTTCTCCATATGCAAGCGCATATGGAAAGTCACTCACAAAAAGAATGGCGAAATTCACTCACACAGAAGAATCGAGTCTGAATGACACATTTGCAGCATCTCCGCTCTTCGTTCGATCTTCTTTTCCATCTCTTCATGGATAGTGGGACTCAGCGATAGTCTCGACATCTCTCAATGGCTCACATTCAGAGTACCCAACTCCCAGATTACATTACGACTTATAGATATCGAGAACCACAAAAACTGCTCATCCTACAGCTGAGTCTACTCTTCACTCATATCCTCCCAATTCAGAACTGCAGCTCCTCAAGCCCTCCTAGACTCCAAACTCGTGTTCTCGTTTCTCAACCCCAACATCGACTCCAAGCGCTTCTCAAACCGCAGACATGCCCCCTATAGTCTCCTGCGGCTCCCTCAAACAACCCATCAGGTACTCCTACCGGCATATCCGTGTAGATCCAGATCCTGGGGCCTTCAACGGATGCGCCGTAGCAGGAGCCCGGTACCCACAGAGGATATGCGCCTCGGGCTATATCCTCAAGCATCCGAGGATCGTCGATAATAGAAATTGTGGCGACTGTGCCGCAGAAGATCGGAAGAGCAAGAAGAGTAAAGAACGGGAGAGGAGGGAGAGGAGAGAGAAGAAGGGCGGGAGCGGGTGAAGAGAGCGGATGAGAAGGAGGCGAAGAAGGAGAAGGAAGCGGAGAAGAAAGAAGAGGTGCCTAGCGAACTTGAGAAGAAGATGCAAAAGCCTGCTAATTTCCGGTGATAGGTCTTTTGTTGTTTTGGGGGGGGGGAGTGGTAGGGGACGATGGTTGGGCATTCTTCGAGTCTTGGGAGGCAGGAGAGATGGTGATGGGCTCTTGGTATATAGGACGCATGGTTTCCTGATCGGAGGGGCGACGATCTTTGTGAGTATAGCGAGGTTTTTTGGCTTTGGTATCTGGACTGCTCGGGACTCCGAGTCTGAGCTCGTCTATTATTCATAGCTTCTTGTTGTTAATCAACCGCGAAGAGGCCTATTCAGAGGCTTATAGGTAGCCTTCTGACCATCTGAAAGAATCACATCTTCATTTCCCCAACGGTATAAGGAATCTCGCAATTTATCCTATCTTTTTACTTCTCATTCATTCCCCGCTAACGAACGAAGCACATCGTCATCAAAAACATCGCCCCCCTTCGCATCCATTGCCATGTGTACCCAGACGCAAGTCTACTACGAAGCATGCCTACACCACGTCAAAGACGGTCCGCCCACCATGCATCGCCCACCCTGCTCCGCCGTCGTCACGGCCGACCCGCACCAGAAAATCAGAGCCTACTGCCCGACATGTCGACAAGAGAGGCAGGCAGAGCTCGCTCGGATGCTCAAGGAAGACGAAGATGAGGAAGATTCCGGGCCGGGCCCGCTCGGGTACGGCTTCTACGGCAAGGACGACAAGGAGCAGCGCAGGCGGGATGAGGAAGAGAGGAAGAGGAAGGAGGAGGAGGGGAAGAGGGAGGCGGAGAGGTGTAAAGAGAAGGAGAAGAATAAGAAGCCACTTTTCTTTCGCTGAGGGCTGCTTGCTGGGGGGTGAGTTGGCAGGGGAGGAGTGGAGATGGGTGGAAAGGGTTCTCTCCTCCTCTCTCTCTGAGTTGCTTGGAGACTGATGGGCAATAGGTATCACGTGTGTGAGGAGTGAGAGATCTGTCTCTAGTCACTCTCGTACTTCTCGCGCTTTTTTCTTTAGGCTGTAGTTCTGCTCAAAAGAATGCATGTGGTTCCGTACATGTGGATGCGCCACGGCGTTGAAGTTTAGTATGTAGAAATTGCGTATTTATGCTGGATAACCATGAGGAGATTGTGACCGAGGGATACTTATGGCCATCGCCTCAATCCCTCGCATTCTCTACGCATGTACGATAGATAATAGCTGAGCGTTGTGTTGACTTCACGTTCTGCGAACTTTAAGCGAAGTTCGCCATTTGGCAACTGCAGCCAGCTCACTTCAATTCCAGGCCATGACGTCTCTCATCACTCAGAACGATCAAACCCTGATAGATATCCACTTTCCAAGCTACTCTACTATTTCAACTTTCCGTGGCTAGTTTCCTAAAAATTGTTAGCGCCTCTCATCTCAAATATCAGACCACGCATGCTCAAACACCAACTCACTCACTTACTCACTCACTAATCACCTATCTCTCACGTCTTTCAACCATCATCCACACAAGCAAAAAAGAAGGGGGAAGATGTGCACACGTCGCAGCATGCGTAAGCACCCATTCCCTCCACACCACCACCTTCCCTATCCAAGCCTCGTCACCTCCCCCAACCACCAAACGCGACCTAACGCGAACTAACCCGCGCCGCCCACCCAGGCTACGCATGCACACACATCTATCCCTTCCCCATCACCTCTCCGAACGCAGTCCACCTATGCAGCTTCTTCCTCTCCGACCCCCAATCCAGATACAACAGCGACCCGGCCAGAAGCCCGCCAGAATCCTGCACTCCTACCGTACTCGATACCGCCCACCCGAAACGCAGAGCCGGGCTGTGTCCGGCGTGTCTGCAGGAGATGACGAGGCGCGCTGACCAGAGGAGCGAGGACGTAGCGGGGGAGAGAGACGACGAGATGGTGGGAGGTAACAAGGAGGAGGGTGCTGGGGAAGGTGAAGGTGGAGGGAGAGGGCTGGAGATGAAAGCCGAGGGTGCCGAGGGTCACGGAACGGTGCAGTTTGCGTTGTTTCGGTGACGAGCGGGATTTCTGTATGCCAGATGGAGTTTGCAGCTGGTTTTAACTGGACGATTTGACGATTGAAAGGAGTCTTTTGATAGAGGAAAATCCACGGAAGTGTGAGCGTTGAGTGAGTGATTAAGTGCAGAAGCAAGGGAAAATATGCTCGTCTTTTCTGGGTCAATGATACGGCATACCCGACCGGCGACTTACTTATAGTCGTTCATGGAATATATACGGGCAAGGGATTGGCGACTGACCAGGTTCCTCCTACCTTACTTTGGTATATAACACACAAGCCACTATACAGATGTACCCTCCAGCCGTGATGCACAATCCCCCAAGCCCATCCTCGAGACACCAACACAATCAAAAGCAGCATGACCGGCGGCATGCTCATCCAGATCCAGCCGCGAGCATAGCGGAATACCGGCTACCCTCTGATCGATATCGAACGATTTACGAACCTGTAATGACCAACACGCTCTGACTCGAGTCTTGAAACAGACAAAAAAAAAAAGGACCGTCCACTTCGTCCCCTTCCTCCCTCTTTACTTCCAATCTGCAATCCGGGCGGTGCGACAACTGTAAGGCCAACTTAGCGGGAAAAGATATAGTCGTGAAGAAAAGGACGAAGGTAAAAGTAAGAGAAAGGGGGAGGAGGCGAGACGAGCAAGCCTCAGCACCTGAATCGACTCGACTACGTATCGTCGGACAACAAGCTGACAACAAGCTCGAGCGTCATGTCCTTGAGTTTCCGCGCCATATCTGCACGATAGCCTGCGAGGCGCGTTATTAAGCATTGATCTTCACACTGCTTGCAATTTCGGCGGACCTACAAATGCTCCAAGAATTCCAAGCTCGCACACTCCTGCCGTCCACATGAGCCTGGCTCAAGGGAATTTGTGAATGTTTTTGTTCATTGCGTGCATCTAAAGCCCTACCGACAATTCATCGCTTTGCGCTCCTTCCTATTTCTCCACCCACCACCCCCGCCGTAATATCTCGTGACTCGTCCGCACTTCCACGTGCCCCATTATCTGAAAGTCATAATGATCAACCTTCCTTCCACTCTTCCGTCCTAGTATCGCTTCCCACTTGGTTTCAACAACTCCCCAAATGCAGCGTCTACTTGCTTCTTCAATTCCTTATACCCCACAATCATACAATCCTGATCATCTCTACTAACGAGCTTGATCTTCTCCGCACTCCCCGCATCAAGTTTATTCAAGCACTCGAGCATGTGCCCCAGGTCGACCACCGGCTTGCCCTCCTGATTGACCTGGTGGAAAACGTAGTCTCTAAACAGCTTGAGGATATATCGTTCCCCGACCTCGCTCCACTTTACGTCACCTTCGTACTCGGGGCGTTCGTTGATCGTGCCTAGCTTGGCAACAAGGCGAAACAAGCGGCCGTTCTCGAGTTCCTGACTCAGGGTGCTGAGAGTGGTATCTTCTGAGTGGAGCGCGTTGTCGTAGGATGCCAGAATTTGGCCAGAGATGCCGCGGATAAACTCGTTTAGGTCTTTGGTACCAGGCGCTACGGCGGGAGTGAGGAGCCATTCGACTGTATCGCGAAACTCGGGGCTGTAGTTTCGTTTCAGGCTTTCCATAGCTCCTTTCAGGGGGGTGTTGCTGGAGACGAGGTTGGAGCTATTTGTGGCAATCGCTAAGATCAGCCTGCCAAACAATATAAAGTCCTCTTGCTGAAGATCTTGGATTGGTCGTCCGTTCTCGTACTGAATGACATCCAGGATAGAACATGCGCTCAGGCGGATCCGATTCTTGTCGGTGACGAGGACCTTGCTTGGGACCATACACCGCACTGCAAGATTGGCAGCGTGGATTGACTTTATTGCGTTGGCAATCTGTACGACGTAGCCCCATAGAACTTGTTCGGCGACTAAGGTGGTGGCGATACGATTTCCGTATCGATTAGTATTGGTGAAATGGGCTTCGATTAATGTTTTAGACATCGGGTAGTAGTTGTAGACGAAGATCAGGGAACTGTCTCCAAAGGCGCGGGTCGTGAAGGCATCTATGACCGATACGACGCTGGCGTTGTCAATCCTCTTCCAATTCTTGGCAACTGTTAAGGCGAGGTGATTGCTGAGTCGGAATCCTTTTTCGTCAGCGAGGCAAAAACTGGAAAACGATAGGCCTACCCTCAACCCGTCTCAAGATATAAGTAACGCCATTCTTGCTCGATACCGCTTTGTACACCCAGCTCGGCAGGCCAAAGACAGTAGCACTTCTACTATTGCTTGTATCTAGTGGTACTAGGGTGTGGTAATGTTCGACGGCTGGAAGTCCAGTATCTATATCCGTCAGTGCTGATGTATCAGTCGAAGTGTAGGGAACGTACTTGGAATGACCTGCCGCGCCGCCTCGGATTTCTTCTGCAAGTCTTCTCGGAGGTCGTTCGGCATAAAGAAGTCATGAGTGTGTCGCTGATAGGCTAGTAGGTCCTGTCTGTGTGCGCCGATGGGAGCGTAAAGATGATATTGCAGCTATTTCATCGATGTCAAAAAATGAAAGCATAATTATTGTTTATGACTTACAGGTTGGGCAGGACTGGCGAAGGCAGACTGCGTCTGGAAATAGCCCGCTGTATTGGTTGGAGCATTATTTTCTTCGAGATATGGATTGTACGGAGCCGCAGGAATTGCCTGGGCCATAGCTTGCATAGAGAAAGGATCGAATTGAGGCTGAACATCTGGTGTACCTCCGTTTGCAAGAAGCTGTGGATTATTCAGCACAAAACAAAATGCCTTGGGGCCATCGACTTACGCTGTGGGCCAAGTCATAGTTTTGCTGGGGAGTGAACTCTTGAATGAAGGCGGGATTGAACATTTTTGGCTCGCTCTCGGGTTGATTTGGTGTGGTAGTGCCCCCTCCGCGTGGAGTGAACGGCGCGGCAGCTGCAGCTTGTGATGAGATGGTAGAGACCTTGCCGGAGGCCGGTAGGGTCGAGGGGGTGAACGCCGGGGAGTCGAAATTCAGTGACTTTTTCCTGATGATTGTCAGTTTATACTCTCATCATAAAAGTGCGGTTATTGCGAAGCCTGGACATGATGGTATCTCTGGACTGGATGGTCGAAGCCCCACCAACTGAATGGTAACAGCGATGGAGGCAGTCGTACATCCTTTGACTGGTGAGCGCATTTCGAGAAGGAACCATTAACATCGCATCAGAGATACCACCAACGCGACAGAATTGAGGAGCCCAGCAGCAAGGTATTTCGATTCGAACAGCGGCATCTCGTAGCATAAAAGTGATCCGCCGATACCAAGTTTGCAGGCAAAACAGGGAGCCGCAATTAATAGCTTGATATGCTGGGAATGAATGACCTTCGTCATAGCAATTCATGAAACTCTCAGATGGTCTTTTCAGAGGTTCTTTTGTACCTGGGCCTCCGGTAACGTGTCTCTGGCCGAAAGACCGAGCAACGGACCCAGCCTTGAAAAATCTGGTCTTATTGACTGCCCTACTGATGCCTCCGTAGGACCCCAGGACTTGTTCGAGCCATGGCTGGGCGTATGGTCATTTGAAGGCCAGGACGGAGACACGATTCAGAAGGCGGAAAAGACAGCTTGAGATGTGTAGCCGTATCGTAGAATCATAGAAGCAGAGCTCTGGTAGTGCCACCAATGGAGATGGTGTACCCCACCATGTGTTGTGAAACAGGTCGCAAGCCATTCAGGACGAAATTCTAAAGTAGAACCTCCAGATTTGTCTGCAACATCGCCAAAGTCCTGTACGAAATGCGCGTCCAGTATCAGACTGTGACGCCCAGTCGATCGTCTCCAGATGCTCCAGGTAATCCATGGCATAAAAGAAAAAAGGTACCTACGTCTCGGCTTGAGGATTCGTAGCTTTATTGGGGTCATGAACGAAGGCACATCCAGAGTCTTCCCACCTGCAATGCCCGTAAATAGTGACATTTCGGCAAAGCGTATCCTTCGAGTTCTCTACACCACGTCCTATCAGCACTATGTACCACTCACTGCCTTTGCCCCGTTGTATCGCGGTACACGCACCTCGTCCTTTTGGTCGCGGCGATCCTGTAGATTTGCCGGGCGGATTGAACCGGATAGAAGACATTTTATTTGGAGAGGGGGTTGTTGATTCTCCAGCTTCCTATCTGCTGCCACCCATTGACACGATTCGAAGACTGGCAACCAAAAGTCAGCTAGGTTCGGAGTCGCATGCTGGGAACAAAGACATATGCAGCTGCATTTGTGCCTGTTCTATGGACGTATGGTATTTCAACGCGGTCAAATGGAGTGGACGGAGATGAGAGAAGGGGAGGGGGAGGAGAGGGGAGGGGAGGAGAACAAGGCTTTGGGATGACTAGAAAGGAGTGACTGACGGACTTCAATCTGATAAACATGGCCTTGTATTCAATTTTGTGGTCGAGGGAGGAGTTCCCATCAATGAATAAGGGTTAATTGATTGCCGCCAAAAAGAAAAGCAATTCCATAGTCTCCAAAATGATGAAACGCGTATAGTGTAAAGTAACTTGCAGTCGGAGTGATGCGCGTGGGGTTGAAGGACCGGTAGAGCTCAGATGCTCAGCTCAGCTCAGCCGCTGGTAGGGCTAGGCTTGGTGTGGCTTGCCTGTCGGAATAAAAATATCCCGGTGGTAGTCATTGCGTAATCTGTCTGTCGGCGAAACCAGTGCAGCCCGGTCCAGTGACCTCTCTCTCCTCGGTCTCCTCGGTCTCCTCCCTCTCCTCGCTCTGGTCCTTATTGTCGGGCAACCGCTCTTTCTCTCCCAATGTTTATTTAGCAAGGACTACCTACACCTACCATCACACTGCAAAACAAAATGGCTACACCAGAGACGGATGTCGACGAGCTGTCAGAGTCGCAACAACTGGCCTTACAGCAATACACGGCAGTCACAGATCAAGATGTTCCAGCCGCGATACCTCTTCTCCAAAGGTCGCAATGGAATGTACAGGTATGCGGCCCATTCTGCAGATCCATCACCAGCTTTATATGCTGACTTAACTTCAGATAGCAATTGCCAAGTTCTTTGACGGTGAGGGCCCAGACCCAGTGGAAGAAGCGCGGGCAGCGCAGAACCTACCCCCACCAAGAGCAGCAAGGCATGAGAATCTACAACACAGCTTGCTTCGAGGATCCTCGCGACCACTACGATCAGAGTCCCGACCAGACGCCGCGCCTCGGATAGTGCCACAACCAGAAGACGATGTCGCCCCGAGTCCAAACTTTTTCCTCTCTCTCCTCTTCACACCTTTCAGCCTCCTGTACAGGGTCTTCTCCTCGTCATTCGGCAGTCTCTTCTCCCTAATCTTTCCATTCCTCCCACGAGCACTGCGCCCGAATCCCACAATCAGAACTCCACGCAGGGCAAACACAGGAGGAAGACGATCGCTAAAGCCCAGAGATTCAGCGGCCAGAGTCAAGCGAGAGTTTGAAGAGGAGTACGGAAGTGACAACATCCCATTCTATGAAGGTGGATATGCGCAAGCTCTAGACTTGGCCAAGAAGGATCTCAAATTCCTCCTGGTCCTCCTTCTTTCCACCGAGCACGACGACACCTCCTCTTTCATCCGCGATACTCTCCTCTCCCCCGAAGTCCAGACCTTCGTAAAAGAGCCCGCCAACAACATTATACTCTGGATCGGCGACGTGCGAGACTCAGAAGCATATCAGGTCTCTACAGCCCTGAATTGCAGTAAGTTTCCATTCTCAGCCCTCATTGCCCACACACCAAGCGTCAGCAGCACAGCAATGTCGGTCGTTGCACGAGTAGTAGGGCCCATGGACTTCTCGACCTATCTGGCGAAGTTACGAAATGCGATTTCGACGCACGAAGAGCAACTAGCTACAGTACGCGCCACCCGCTCCGCGCAAAACTTTGAGAGGACCCTTAGAGAAGAGCAGGACTCGGCCTACGAGCGCAGTCTTGCCCAAGATAGAGAGCGCGCAAGATTAAGGCGTGAAGCGGAGGCGGCTGCTAAGGCAGAAGAGAAGAAGCAGAGAGAAGCGGAAGAAGCCGCAGCAAAATTGGCGGCAAACAGACTGCAATGGCGGAAATGGCGATCATCAAAGATTAAAGCCGAGCCCGGCGCAGACGCTAAGGATATCGTGCGGATAGCGCTCAAGATGCCCGAAGCTGCACGCGTGATGCGAAGGTTCAGAGCCGGCGACTCGATCGAGGAGCTATACGCCTTCGTCGACTGCTACGAATTTGTGCAGGACGGCTCAACTGCCGATGATGAAGTCAGCGAGCCGGAGGGATACAAGCACGAGTTTGGCTTTCGGCTGGTGCAGACGCTGCCGAGGGTCGTGTATGGCGTTGAAGACGAGGGCACGATAGGGGAACGTGTGGGCAAGAGTGGCAATCTAATTGTAGAGAGTATCTCAGATGGAGATGAAGATGATGAGGATAACGGGAACGAATAAGCCAATCCGGAGAGGGCCAATTGTAGAAAGCTGTCTAGATATACCAAACCATAACACTCACACCTTGGGTTGCCAATAACTGCTGAGCCAAGACCTCTAGGTATATAGTTTCCCAAGTGGGAAAGGTTGGTTGAATGTTCTTGCTTAATTTTTTGGCTGCTGATCCTGCCTTCGTCTTCTTCCCTCCTGGGTACCATCATCTATTTCCTGAATCATTCTTTCAATACTCTGTGGACTCTCATTGACTACATACTTTTCGATATGTGTAATTCTCTCTGCCAAAAGGATCTCCGCTTCAGAGGTGAAGATAGCGAGATCAGGTGGATATACCGGTCGGTACCTAGGGGTATAGCACATACAGGTACCAAATACTACGTAGTAGTAGTACCGGTAGTAGCATCGGCCAGCACTCGAGGTTAAACCAGGGTTCATACTTTACGACAGAAATGCAAGCGCAAATGCAATGATCCTACCGGTATACTACGTACTACGTATGCACGCTGAAAGTACTACCGGTACTACGTACCGTACAGAGGTAACAGCGGTGAAGTGTTGTTCCCGGTCCGACAAGGGCCAGGCTGAACCTAGCTCAGTCAGGTACGTAGTAACGTGATTTTCCAAGAACTTGTGCCCAAGCTGGCTACGTACTTGTTTGGATGATCTGTACCTCATCAAGTCAAGTTTGAGCTCGTCATCCTCTTCCTCTTCCACACCCCGCCCTGCTTTGAAAGAACTTGGCCGCTGTGCCTCTGTGGGAGTACCGGGTAGGTACCTAGGTAGGTAGGTACATCCTCACGTTCTCCAGTAATCCGCTTCGCAGCTCCTCTCGGCTAAAGTCCCTTTCTCCATCAACAAACTTCACCCACCACATCTCTTACGAAATCTCTTAAATGAATACCTAGTAGGTAGCGCTACGTAAGAGCCCGAAGTTTATTCGAGTAGCCTTCAAGCTCACCTGATGTAGTTTGTGGCCACGGAAATTCGAGAAAAAAATATATATATATAGGTATATATAAAAAAATACAAAGACTCTCAATTCGGATGAGCTGAGAGGAGAAACACCTCCGACTGATAGGGTTGGCTTTTCATCCGCTATAGCCCAAGGATGACCGCTGTCGTTGTTGTTGTTGTTGTTGTTTCGATTGCATCTATTAACATCCGGCGGGTGGCGGGCGAAGCCTCCGCCCTGGGATCGTTCATGGATCTCCCATGGGATATGCCGACATACTAAGCAAAGAAGTTACGTATAAAACAAGGTTGCCCTCTTTTCTTCGCCCACTTTTCGGAATGGTCACGATATGGTGAGGTCGATTCCCGCTATAATCTATCAAGCCAGGTCTTCAACTTATACACTTTGACTGTCTCAGAAATGGCGCAACAAGTTGACCCCGAACGTTGGAGCACTCCCTACCTCGTCACAAAAACACTTCGTCGGGATCCATACCCCGCTATCTCCCCATACAATCCAGCCAACTCTCAAAAAGACAAGATCATCATCATTACAGGAGCAAGCAGTGGTATTGGAGAAGTAGACAAGGATCCGATCCTTTCAAGCCCGCGAACCTTTCACTTACACACATCTAGGCCGCGGCAAAAGTCTGGGCTCGAGCTCGCGCAAAAGGCATAGTCATTGCCGCTCGCCGTCTCGATGCCCTGAACGAAGTCGCCGAGGAGCTCAAATCCATCAGTCCCACGACGCAAGTGCTCGCCGTCAAAACCGACATCGTCGTTGAATCCGACGTCAAGTCCCTCTTCGATCGAGTCCAGGAGACTTTTGGCAGAGCTGCGGACGTGCTGCTGAACAACGCCGGGTATCTGAAAGACGGTGCGATCGCCGAGACGCCCGCTGATGAGTGGTGGACCGGAATCGTGAGGCGCACATACATCGCTTCCTTCTGGCGAGAGCGTGTTCTGGCTGACCCGCGCCTCAGGAAATCAACCTCAAGGGCCCATACCTCATGAGCCAGTACTTCATCCAGTCTCAGCCTAATCCTAAGGAGTCGACGGCGACTATCATCACCGTCTCTTCCGGTCGTGCAGGCTTCACCAGTGCACGCGGCTCGGCCTACAACATCAGCAAGATCGCCGAGCAGCGTCTCAACGAGCACATCCAAGTCGGTACGTCGCCCTTCTCTTTTCACAGGTGTACGGGTCTCTTTTCATCCCTGTCCCGTACACCTGTAAAGAGAGAGAAAAAGAAGCTCACAACCGCCCAGAGCACCCCAATCTTCGCGTCTTCACCACCATGCCCGGCGTCACCTTGACAAGCATGGTCTCGGAGGCCTTCGCTCCATTCGCCAAGGACCACATCGATCTGACCGGCATGCTGGCTCTGTATCTCGTGCAGCCCAGAGCCGACTACCTGAAAGGCAGTATGGTTGGCGTCAACTGGGACGTCGATGAGCTGGAGCAGCACAAGGAAGAGATTCTGGAGAAGAAGGTGCTCCAAACGTCCTGGTTGCCAATTCTACCATTCTGTGGAGGGAAGGGACTCGGTGCTTAGAAATTCACCGCGGGATCAGAGTTAGGGGGAAATTTCGAGGATTCGATGTCAAAGAAGCGGGTTGTAGCGCTCCTCAGCGTCCTGATCCGCGGCCATAATTCCCCCTTATTTTCTCTCTTTTTTTTATTTTATTTTGGTTGACTCAAAATATGTACCGGTATTATCACATGGCGTGGCCAGTCCCAGATCGATCGATTCACGATCCTAGTCAACACTCGAGAGTTTACTCTAAAAAATTTATTTTTTTTCAGGACCATCCAGTCGTTATTGTGCGAGCCGTGCTGGAGATCTCCAAACCAACCGTGAAGTATGTGTTTGCTCCTGGCACTTTCTTATCGGGCCGTCGTGCGTCTTAATTGGTAGATATCTTCCCGAGACACGCAACCTTGATTCGCAGGGTGATGTGATCCATGATCAGTGCTGTCTCTACTGTAGCTGTGCCGTGGCAGGTAGTAGTAATTGCAGACGGAGTTTGCTTAGGGGGCCAGGACGACTGGCTTTCGGAAAGCTAGGCTGGGCTGGGCTGGGCTGGGCTGGGCTGGCTGGCTGAGCGAGATCTATGTCGCCTTGCTTCGAGAAAGGGGCTCGCTCGCTTGGTGATAAACATCCAGGAGTGAACCACACGATCTTCAATGTTTCTGCCAATCAAGCCATTACTCCATGCCTGACGAGTTGTTCATGTCTCCGTGGAAGGCAACCCAATTGACCCATGATAGATCCTCCTCAAAGTTACCGTCCATTATCGTTGGCTGGCTGTTTGCGATAGCCATCATGGGGTAGGTACCATGTCACCGGGTATCGTTTAGCCAAATTCCGGTCAGGCAGGTCTAGATCAATGGCCGTGCCGTTCAAGGTTGCGTTGATGTCAGATCCTGCCAATGTAGTGAACTCAAATCCGTTCACTTCAGGAGCTTCGGTAGCCAATGAGCATTGACCAGGCACTCCTCTGACCACAGTCCCTCTCAGCCTCTCTACCCGACGCAGCAGCTTCGCTATGGGCCTCCAAAGCACTCCAGACTCGCTGTCGGCCATAGTCTGGGAGTAATTCGCAAAGGTTCTCTGCGCGACGAGGTCAGAGTGATCGATTTCCGGGCCTTGGCCAGGTCCACCAAGCTCAGCTAGGAACACCGCGAGAACATACCATTTCACCCAGGTAAAGCATTGCCAAGGGGCGAACTCGATTCGAGCCCTTTTGTTTATTGATTGCTCAAAGATGTCCGTTGTCGCTTTCACGACGTCGAAATCATCCCAGGGAGGCACAGGAGCTGTGCCGTGCTGAAGTCGGTATAGAGAGCGTCTTAGCGTAAGCTGGATGTTTGCCAGTGATCCTGTCGCTGCCGCTTGTGTAAACTGCTCCAGAGATGTTGATGAGTTATTTCTCAAACAGGGAAACGGTAGCAAGTTTGTCTTTCCACCTGTTCCATATGTCTCTGCTGGCGAGAGCGTTGCACATGTTGGTTACAAGTCTGAGTCGTTGATGATGGCCGGGAAGCTCGTGAAGTCTGAACCAGACAGTAGAGGAGGGATACCTACCCCTATCTAGAGACAGTTGAGTGTCCTTTGCACCGATGGCGAGCCACAATCTCCTACGAATCCCTAATTTAAATACCGAGTATTTTGCGGGGTCTTCGGAACCGAGACCTAGTGCGCTCGCAAGTCTGACAACGACTGACTCAGACCTCGCTTCGCCCTAGTCATGGTGCAAGGCTGCCTTCCGCATTAAACGATACATCAATTTTCCATCAGAAATAGTACGCTTTGAAAGGATGAGCAAATGATGTAAAGAAAATGTAACGCTTTAGCCCGGCCGCAAGCTAAAACTTTCGGTCCTCCGCAAGCTCTGAGGTAAATTTTCCGGACCTTGCGGTATAATATTCGTAGCTATATAATCTACAATAACAGTTTCTTTTAGCGCGATGCATTTTATCTATAGCAAGAGCCCCTTTTAAGGCGATGCAGCAAGCAGTCTTTCGAGCGTTTCTCCTCCTTTTATTAATTAGCTATCCGTCAAGTATTCGGGAGGAGAAGAGTCTATAATCGTAGTTCTTGACCGCCAAAGGTGGATCTCAATTGCAAGAATGCAAATCTAGCTTATTAAACCGGCAAGATTCCCCTTTTTTCATATCAATAAGGAATTAGTCAAGTTTTTAATAGTCTTCGATGGCCCAAGCTCAAATGGATGCACCCAATCACGTAACGGCCGTAGGTCAGGACTCAGGCGACCGGACTTTTAACAGTCTACAGGATCCACATTTAGCTCAACATTATATTAGATATTAGATTTTACTTACACGAGTAGCGGGTTTCGGAACACGAGGTCTTTGAGGAATGTTCGGATCTTGAACTGGCTGGGCCTCGCTCTATGTACATGTAAGGAAAATATGTATATATTTAGTAGGACTGAACCTCACAACTTTTAGGGCCATTCGACAAGCTTCATATGTCATGGGGGAGTCAGTAATTACCGTGTACATAACATAGTTTTGGGGAAGGAAATGACCACGTCTCGGGACCAAGATCTGGAGACGATCCGAAATAGGAAGCTATCTATTTGCATAGGGTAACGAGCGATTGAGGCGAAAAAGCGCAGGGAAGAGTCCATTAGAGTTGCTATCCCCGGCGGACCGGCGAAGCAGGATGTTGGTATGAAGTCTTCCCCTCAAAGTGCGTGCCATCAACATTGATTCGTCCCCGAAAGTATCATATAGCCTATCAAACTGCTTCTGTTCCTTTGGCGAATGGTATTTGAGTGCTTCCGCAGTCTCCTGCTCCGTGATGATGAAGCTTGGGAACATCTTCGTGAACCGTAGCATGGGTTCCTCCGCCATAATTTGCTTGCTCCGAGGAATCTCGACTAGAGCAACAAGGCCCTGGTTTCTGCTTCCATAACGCTGGACTTTGATGTGATTATGGACACCGCTGTCCTGTGGCTCAACTTCTGACATCGCTTTCGCCTTTCGGTCGTCTGCTACGATCTGTTGGAGATGGAGGACAGAAATGATTATCGACGGGGGATCGGACCTAATCCCTTGCTAGTAGTATCGGTATCTACGGGAACGTGAGCTTGAGCTTGAGCTTTATTATGTAGAAGGTCTAGATCAAAAGAATGCATTTCATAAAGCGAAAGTCTCCATCATGTTCACCTGTCACTTCTCTTAGTTCTTTTCCTGTTTCTAACTTGAATTCCTCTGCTCCAGGAACGAGCCGGAGAGTGCACGTGTGACAGATTATGGATGAAGCCCAAGCAAGAGTTGCAAGAAAATAATAGTTGGCACGCATTCATCCACCACGTCTGGCCTCAATTGTTCGAAGACCCGGATGAGGGCTCTGATGACTTCTTGATGAGTACTTCCCCGATCGCACCTACAGTAGATGCAATCTTTAAGTCATATGGAAGGGAATGTGCCCCCAAATGATGGCCGAACGTGGAGAATTGCGGTAGATGAGCCTGCTTGTTAGACCTTGCCCTGCAAGTAAAAGCTGGGCCGAGAGAGGGTCGACTCTCCTTCAACAACAGAATGTATTCAGTCTTAGATACAGATCCTAACAGCTGATTATTGTTGTTATTTTATTTACTCATGTCGGGCGGGTGGCAGGCAAAAAAAAAAAAAAATTTGTATATAATACCTCCGAAATTGTTCCTAAACATATTCAGAATCTCCGTCTAGCTGGTCTAGTGGTTCATCGTCTGCCTGCTCCGATCTCGAATATCTGGGTTTTCGCTTTCGTGCGACCAAGGGGATTCTGAATATACGAAAAACGGGTTCAATCACGTTTGTATTCCAGAACCTCGCAAGTGCGGGCTTCTGGAAGATTTTTTGCTATTTTTTCGTATTTTGGTTGTTTTGGTTTAAGCGAGCTCGCTTCGTTTCTTCAATTTGCTTGGCGACGTATTTCTTCAATCCTCAGCTTCAATATGTGTCTTTGAATAACCGTTATATTCTCTCATACTTCCAGCTTTGAAGAGACGACCAAATTTCCAACGCTCAGGTCAGTGCGCATGTAAATAATAAGTCTCTGCGAGGAATCTTCTCCGCTTCAATTTGGACCTCTTCATTCTCCAATGAATGGCAGCAAGAATTTCGCCACCAGCCGACCAAGCTTTGATTTACGTACCCCTCTCGTCCGGAATCGTAATCAGGCGATCGGTTATGCTCGTTCAGCATGTCACCTGCTTTCGTCAGTTTATTTCGAAATACATCAACCAACGGTATCCTAACCACTGCCTAAAACCTTCTCCCTGATCTCGCGAACCAAGTTCATGGCTGCATCATCGAGCCCAGAGACGTCATCACGGCTCCCAAATCCTTGCGCAAATGGGCTCAGCCCACCAGTATCGACCTTGCCAATACGGTAGAGAGCATGGAATAGATGCGCCAACTGCGGATATGGCCCATTGTCTAGCGCTTCATGAGTAGTAATGACACGGTTCCTTCCTATGCTCAGCATGCTTACCCACCTCGGCTATTCTAGCTGCTTGTACGTGCTGGCCGGCCAGGGTGAGCATTTGCTATATACAATAGCACAATATGAGCATTTGCTGCAAAGCAAATTGGCCACATGCCTTTGTCCCGCCTCCGCATGACTTTCTCGAGCTGAGCGAGAGCCTTGATGATATATTCCGGGCAACATGGAAGCAGATGGCTTGTGTTTGAAGGTTGAGTAAGCAAGAAGTATAGCGCCTGGAGGTAGAATTCTCGGTTCGGAGGTGTTCGAGAATCCGATTGGCGGATGACGGGTTCAGCATTATTGGGAAATTGATCGCTCGCATGGCACCTGCCAGCTTGAAATAATTGTGGAGAAACGTATCTCTCTTTGCATCTTGAGGTGCGGAGCAGCATGTGCCTCAGGCTCTACCAAAGCTGGTTGAGTGGAGCAGCTACGTAAGCCTGAGGCTTCATCCACGTGTTGGCTCACATGACCTCGCCTCAATGGCGCACTGGCGCGCCGAGGTATCTGTATCGTCAGTCTCCTAGGTAGAATTACATAAGCTTCACTCAATCTACGGAATCCCCTCCTCCTTCGGTGAACCATTTGCACCATACATCTGTGAGATCATGTTACGACGTTGGGGGAGAACTTACTGAGAGCATCGCTTTGTAGCAGGCAAATACGATGTTGAATACGCTGTTTGCCAAACAGGAGCTGGTTTCCCCTAGGACACGCGAAGGAAGTTCAGGCCCTTGCATTACCATGTCGACTTTCTGTATCCCAAAAGCGGTGATTCCCTTGATATTGAGATGGAGGATGCCCACGGGAAGGGACTCGGCACCTGGAGCTGATGACCAATACTTTCTTTTTCTCTCCTCCTCTTCTTTGTCGAACGAAGCGCGATACGATAATCATTATTTACGGAAAAACACTTTTCCTTTCGGCAAAGCTCCTTTCGATCTGCTTATAAAATTGCTTCTTTTGAGAACCTCAATATGTAAAAGAAAAACCGACGCGTTCGCCTTTTTGAACGAAGCTAAACACACGATCATATCTCCTTCGAATTCACGCTCAATTCAGCCTTTTGTTACTTAGAACGAAATAATCTTTAAGCTAGCGTAGTGCTTGTACGAAAAAAACCGACGCTCCGATAGTAATACGTAATATCGACAGCTTATATTAATTTAAAAGCCTTGGCTAGGGGGACGGAGGGGGGGTTCTTTTTTTCTTTTGTTCATCTTTAACATATAACCTAGCTAACCTCAATCTGGCCTCGATTCACGTAGTTTTGCGGCTTTAAAATACGCCAAGCTTTTAAGCTTGCGAAAATATACTTTACTTTGCCTTCTAAATCTTTACTCCGATTTAAAGTCTTCGTCTTTGACATGCTAGGTATATTAACTATAAGAAAAAGATCACTATTGATAATAGGTCCGCTACATGACTTTTGAATTGCTTTCTGAAGCTTTTTATATATGAACCTTTAGCTTAATACGTCGCACTACCTAGTAAAAGGTCTCTGAGCGGCAAGCTACGCAAATAAATACTACCATTATTACTATTACCAGCTCTACTAAACTGGGGCGTGAAAACTAAACCTCGAGTCTTCTCTTTATTACTACTATAATAAGAGAGATAATTGGAAGACAGAAGGAAGTAAGTGGGACCCAGAAAAAGAGTTTGGCCTGATTCATAGCTTGATGATACCGGTAGTCAAGTCGGAGCCGCTAAAGGCCGTCCCGTAACCTTTCCGCGGACCGTATCGCGGCGGCAGAAGTGGCTTCCCCGAAGCAAATCTCAGGGATTAATCCTGTGCTACCACTCGATTCGAAGCTGCTAGTACCGTACGTACCGTATCAGGCCAAGCTTTCGATGATTTTGCGTTCGTTGGCGCTTGACTGACGACTACCTACTACCTAACCAGTCTGCCATCGCGCTCGAGCCCTAATTCTAGGCATGGGCCTAGAGAGAGGCCGCCACTGTAAAACGTCCAGACCAGAGAAGTATGCAGGTCCGTCCAGAGGGGTAGACATCATTAGCCCCCGAGCTTAAGACCAAGTCAAGATACTGCTGGCATGGGGATGTTTTCTTTAAGAAATCGCTCCCACTGCTGGCCTTATTACTCAACTCGATCCTTCCAGCTAGCGCAACGATACCCTCTTCGACTCCGGCAAGATGAATTCTTCTATAGCGAACGGACTTTGTTATTTACGATGTTTGGCAACAATGCCGGAAGGCATCTTGATATCGAATTTCGTTCATCCCCAGCCCGACATTTTCCCGAATCCTATTACGAAATCGCGAGACCTTTTGTGGAGTCCTTCATTCTCATTTGAAGGGACCCCCATCATACTCATCCTTCCTGGATCTCCTGCTAGTATACGGTATTGCGTGCTTGCAAGAAAAAAAAAAAAGACTTCGTAGCTGCCTGTGCGTGGGGAGGCGCATGTGTAAACATGTAAGTATTGCTGGTCGGTCCTCAGTAGTGCCCAGCTCGAATATTTCAGCGTTTAAATAAACTCTGTATTCTCTTCGCCATGTTGCCGAAAGGTGATGCCGTCTCCGAACCTCATCGCTCGTCCTCTGACGCTCAGGTCAAGCGCGATGAAAGTCAAAAGGGAGCTTTGGGAAGCGAAGGCGAGGTCGTCCAGTCGGCTTCGGGAACTCTTGACGCAGTCTATGGGGTCGGTGGAGTCGGCCGCACGCAGCGAAGGTTGAAGGCACGACATGTAACATTCATTGGGTTTGGGGGAGGTATCGGAACAGGTTTATTCGTTGGTACGGGAGCGGCATTGGGCAACGCTGGTCCCCTCGGGTTGCTTCTGTAAGATCCTCTTCAAGAGACATTTTCTTACATAGATGCGGAACTTTGGATGCTCTTACTGTATATGCTAAGAACGTCAGGGCTTTTGCGGTGGTTGGCGCCATTCTGTGGTGTGTGATGGAGTCCGTTGGCGAGCTTGCGACTCTGGTAAGCTTGACCAGATAATCAGTCCCGGACAACATCCTGACCAGATATTAGTTTCCGACTGCCGGCTCATTCCCACATTTCGCCACTCGATTCGTTGACCCAGCACTTGGATTTACTCTCGCCATTTCTTATGGATATTGTTACACAATCGGAACTGCCTCCGAAGTCTCGGCCGCGGCAGTCGTGGTGGTACGACTCCTCCGTTTCCCCTAGCTCATCAATCTTCATGTTCACTGACCCTACCTACATATAGTCTTATTGGACCGACATCACTCCTGCTCTAGTGATAACTCTCGGTCTTGCCGCCATTTTCGCCATCAACATTATGAATGTCCGCTTCTTCGGCGAGACTGAGGTTATCACTGCCTCCATCAAAATCCTCTGTTTCCTTTGCTTGATCGTGGTCTCCTTGGTCATAACACTGGGCGGGGGACCAAATCATGACCGAATAGGCTTCAGATACTGGAAAAATCCGGGTCCATTTACCGACTACAACGGCATCAAAGGAAGTACGGGACACTTCCTCGCTTTCTTCAGCGCCATGATTAACGCCAGCTATTCATTTATCGGTGTTGAGACAGCAGTCGTCGCTGCTGCCGAGACGCTTAACCCTCACAAAGCGATTCCTAAAGCTACCAAGCGAGTCACATATCGGATCATGTTCTTCTACATCCTGGGCTCCCTCCTTATAGGATTAATCATTCCGTCCGACGACCCGAACTTGCTCAGTGGATCTGGAAACGCCAACTCCTCACCTTGGGTCCTAGCTGTCAAGAATGCAGGTATCGGAGTCCTTCCCCATATTATCAACGCATGTATACTTGTCTCAGCCTGGTCCGCTGGAAATAGTTACTGCTATATCGGTGCCCGTATCCTGGTCGCGATGGCAGTCGACAATCAGATGCCTCAGTTCTTCGGCAGGACAAATCGCTGGGGTGTGCCCTATTACGCTGTTTTGGGATCTTTTGCTTTCGGTCCTCTCGCATATCTCAGTTTGGGTTCTGGCGGCGCAACACAGGCATTTACCTGGCTCTTGACTCTCAGCACTCTGGCTGGTCTGCTGGCATGGATGACTCTGTGCATTGCATATATCCGGTATCATCACGCCTGTGTGGCTCAAGGTATCGACCGCAACGATTTGCCAATGAAAGGTCGTCTCCAACCTTATGCCGCCTGGTTCGGTGCAGTCGGTTCCGCAATCGTCGTTCTGTTTTCCGGCTTCAGCGTATTTTTATCTGGAAATTGGTCGGTGTCGGATTTCATTGCGAACTACATCGGGATTGTCATTTATATCGTGCCGTTCGTAGCGTGGAAGATTGTGATGAAGACGAGCTTTGTTCGGTCGAAGGAGATGGATTTGTTCTCGGGCCGCTTCGATTCTACTTATGCGCCTGAAGAGCCAGTACCAACTACCTGGTGGGGGAAGTTCACGGCTTGGCTGTTCTAGGTATCATTTTGGAAGGCGTTTGAGGAGGCTGATTGTAAATCAACATTAATATATATGGTGTGAACTCAATAGCTGTGCCCTCAAATCTTGGCTGTATCGCGCAAAACTCGGCTTTGACCCAAGCACAATCTATAAGGGTGCCAACGACTCTACCTCAGTTCTTCATAGCGAAGCTCTGACGTTCCAGAGTCTTCGGGAACACGAGAAAGAGCTGACGGCGTGCTTCTCGGTGGCTGCGGATATCGATATCGCCACGCTGAGTTTCGCGCGATACAGCTGAGCTTTTACGAGACCATTGATCTGGCGAGCCTCAATGGGAATTTTGCCATTTTTCACGCAAACACAGCTCTGATCAAGAGAGCTCGTTAGTGAAGTTGCTTCATGGGAGCATTCGCCGCGCACATCGCATACCGATCCGACTATTATGTCTGTCAGCAAGCGGACCGGTAGAATAGATGGATACATACGGTACCTACTTCGTATACATGTTTTCAATTGTAAGGCTGACGGCCCAGCGACGGCTGGGGTGATTGCAGTCATGCAGCATGCAGAGTCCCGCCCGGCCTTCATGGAATCTGAATCCTGGGTTGGGAAACGGGTCTAGGTGTTCCTGATGTGTACTCGGGGGACGATGACCTGTCAGTCAGAAGTGCCTCGAGGACTCTGAACAATGAGTAGTATAACGAGACTGATGTGAAGCAAAAGCAAACGCATACATGTTTAGAAACGAAGTCTGAATATGCAAAAAGATTAGTCTCTGCCAGGGTAAATTGAAGATATCAAGACCACCCAGTAGAGTAGATAAGAAAAAAAAAGAACAAAAAGAATACTCTTGAACAGAGTGGGACTCGAACCCACGCCACTTTCGTGACCAGGAAATTGTTGTTAAGGAAACCTTAACCTGGCGCCATAACCAGCTCGGCCATCTGTCCTTTGTTGTTGTGATGTTGATGAGATTGCAAGTGGTATTAAGTTTAGCATCGAAATTTTTGAGCTTACATAAGCCATGTGACGTGAATGATCCAGGCGATCCGATCCCGCAATCCAAATCCGGATGTCGCTTAACGGAGTAGAAGTGGCAGGCCAGAGCAGTCAGTCAATCAAGTCATCTTTGCAGTCAGTCTGGAGCACACATTGGCAGAAGAATTCTTGCACCCATATGATTAATGACATTTCTGGCTGGCGGGCTATGGTATAAAGACATGGTGCAATCCAAGTATACCCGATAATGAAAGAGTCAATCTGCCTGCTTATGATCGAGATGCAGATCGTTGTCGACGCCTTCATATACCGGTACTTATGACATGGAGCGCGAGGAACAGTGTTCGCTGTTCGCTTCAGTCACGAAGCTGCATCCCATATCAGAGTCGATCAAAGAAAGCTTGTCAATATATGTGAGCCAGGACCATGGCACTTTACCTACGTGAGATATAAAGTCAGATCAGTACAAACTCATTCGCTACCTTGTGAGTAATATATAATTAGTCACCCTTCCACTTGACCATATAATCAGTTTGTAAGTCTATGCGCCAACCAAGCTCTGAACTTCAGTAGTCTTGCAATAGTCTTCAATAGTCTAGAATTCCATCTCTACATACTTCGACTCAAATCTACTTGCGTACGTCAGGTTATCTAAAGTCACGACGCATCGAAGAAGTCAATAGAGAAACAAGTCCAAATCTTTGGCAAATTCAATCGATTTCTTTACACTAAGTGTCGCTCGCTTCCAATTATCAGCTTCTATATGCTAGGTTGTATAATCGATCTAGGGTTTGTGTAACCTGGGTTTTACAATCAGCTTTTACAATCCTGTGTTAAACGGTAAACCCAACGAGCCCTTAGACTATGAATTTTCACTCACTCAAACCAACGAATGAATGAAATGACTCAACTCCGCTCAACGCCAGTAAACTCGGACTTCATCCTAGAAACAAATGGAAGGGACGGGAGGCTACGTGTGAGTGAGTCGCCCACCTTTGTCATAGCCTCTTCGCTCAGTGAATGCCAGCCTGAACCGCAATCGCAAAGATACCTACTTAAGCATGCCTTCCTCTCGAAGAATTTCTCTTCTCTTGCTATTCTACAACCACAACAAAACCTCTTAGCAATAGCAAAACCCCTCAGCAACAGCAGGCATGGCAACTCCGTCTCCATCAGGCTCTTCACAGGGCAATCACCAGCGTCATCCGTCGCAAAAGTGCTTCTCCGTGGCACGGAAGGATCCCCAGGTTCTCTCCCTACCTCCCAGACCCTCTCCTCCCATCCCCCCCAAGTCGACTTCTGTCACTCCGATACCCAAACCCGCTATTCCAAGCCCCTGGACAACATTTCATGTCCAGCCAGACTCCCATTAAAGTCACCAACCTCGAGTTGCCACTCAAGCTCCGCCACCCCGATGGTAGTGTCCGACGGGAAACTCCCGCTGAGCGGGATTTGATCCGGGAGATTTTCCCAGCCATGCGAAGTATAGGGTAGCAACATCCGTACCTTGTCATAGGTGTCAAGGAATTGTCCCCCTTACCTTGGCCAGTGACCCTTGCTGGTCTGCCATTGTGGCTGACAGATAAACCCGACGGAGTCCTCCGGTCGATCTAGGCATGCATGGTCGTGGATTAGGCATCAGTGTCGACGGCGAAATCTGCGACTTCCAAGTTCCCAGTCGCACGACAATCCTCGAGATATTCCAAGCCATCATCGTGCTTGGAGGGAAGATCAATAAGATCAGTTGGGATGGTGTGATCTTCCGTGCGTATGGTGTTAAGTAACCCAGTCCAGGATGGAGAGAGAAATTGCCCGCCAAGGTCAATGGCTTCCCGATCAATTACTTCTGGAAACCATCAGATATTGGCGCAGAAATGGCTATCAGAAGGATCACTCCCGCTCCCGGTATCTTGGATGACTCCAACTACCTGGTGGGAGCAGGTCGGCTGGACTTGCGACCAGGAGTCATGGTCGAAGGGCTAGAAAACGATCTCACTTCCTCTTCGGGCACGACATCCGGCATCTGCGTTCAGTCTCTCAAAACAGGCCAGCAATATGTGACCTTGGCCGCATGTAAGAACAGAGTTCAATTTGGCATGGGACTGTGACAGCGAATTCAATGCGCAAGAAAGCCATGAAGTATCAATCTTTTCACCTATTTGGGAGATGTTGATGAGCAGTTCCTAGATGGAAGCTGTGGAGGTGTTATATGGGAAGAGGATTTGGATGTTCTGGGGCAATTAAGATATCAGAAGAGGGATGGGGATATTACTGCAATTGGTTCGACATTCGATAAATTGATCGACGCAGGGGTGGTTCTTGCTTAGGTCGTCCATGCGCAATGGAATTCCCAATCGTTGTGCAAAAGCAGACCTGCAATTCACATTGCAGTTTCTAGTATCATCACCCTATACCGCACGACACCAATGAAAAGAGCCAGAACATGCGCGAAACGGTCTATCGCAATCTACTGGAGAGCTCAATCTTTATCGTTGGCATCCTGCTGAGGCTCAGGAATCCTCGACACCTCACCTCGTGAGGAAAAACGCAAAAATAATCGCTCGTCGCGACTATTTTCTAATGGGGATAGGTCTACAGTGTCCAGCCAGGCTGGATGGAGGACCTCACTTCAGGGAACCCCTTAACGGCGGGATTGCGTACAGCCCGGCGCCTTAGCCATTACGACCACACGGCTAACTTAATTTACATCAAGTCAGCTACTTATCTAAGAGTTACTATACTTGTATAAACCGCCGCGCTATTATATATTGCCTATCGTGGTAATTGAGTATGTATTGCAAGTAATCATTAACTACGGGGTCGCTTAGTAGTAAGAGCTGACCTCACAACTTTGAAGGTTCTTTCCTAAAGTAGACTTGAAAAAAAAAAGGTAGCTACCAAAATTGAGCGAAAATTTAATGAAAATCAGCGGAAAATTCACGACTCTGATCGCGTGCATCTTGGTAAGATGTTAAAGCCATAGTAGTAGAAACTACATATTTAAATAAGGAGCTTTTTAAAGTATCTATATATCCGGATTTCTATATTTTCTATATACATATATATATTTTTTTTTAAAAAAAAAAGGAAATTAAAGAAGACATGGTTTTCTTTAGAGAGAGAGAGAGAGAGAGCCTTTGCAAACTCCGTTTTAACGATTTGATTGATTAAGCGAGTTTTGGAAGAGGTCAACCAATACCTCCCCATCAGATCCACAACTTATATCAAGTGATAACTACAGACAAATATTTGGGTGTTTAAAGGAACCGAAATCAATGAGTTGGGTGAGATCGTGTATGCGTATTGAAATATCGGATTTTTTATAAGTCAGCCAAGTCCACTTTTCTTGAGGAGGGGGGAGGGGGCCGGGGGGTCAATGAATTTTTTTTTTAAAAAAAAAAAAACAAAAACAAAAACAAAAAACTCCCCAAAAATCACTATCCTACTTAAATCCGTTACGGGAGACAGACTTATTTCGTGGTACTAAAAAACTTATTTCGCCTACTTTATCATTAGGGAAAGGGTCCCAACTCCCACTATTAAGTGTTGCAGCGAGGAATGGGGAATACAGTGTACCTACGCTCGTCCTAAAATTCAAGATGTAGATTTAGTCTGAGAGGACAATTTCCCTGCTCTGAATAGGTAGCCAAATGAACCACAGGAACGAAAGTCAGACCTCCCGCCCCCTATCCTGGCCTGGCGACTTTTTCAAACTCTTTACTAAGCGAGGAGAGGAGATACATCCATGGTGTTACACGAGTATCTATCTATACAATGTAGGTGCCATATCTATTTCTCGTATACCACCCAATGCTATGCACCCGTGTTCCCAGCTTTTGGTATTTTACAATGTGGATATACAATATGCCCTTCCCACATGTCCGGACACAGTAGCCCTGCTTAATACCGGACATCCTCGATCCTGCTCAGATCATCCTCAACCTCTTTCGACTGATCCTCCAACACGGTCTGCTGCTTCTCACCGTCAGTATTGATCTCCAAGGAGTCCGAAATTTGAGTCCCATCAGCCGTTCTCCCCTCTTGTTCACCTTCCTTGACCGCATCCACCTCCACCTCACCCTTGTCCCTCATCCCTCCAGCCTCTTCCCAACCGGTGGACTTTTGAGATTCGAGCCTATTATCAACAACCCTCCTCACATAGTTCTCTGACACACCGCTCTGATGTAATTCCAGACCATCACCCATAACTCTCCGGGCCACGTTTTTATCCACCACTGGTCTGATCTGCGCCTTCACGCCACCCGTCCCTTCACCCTGCTCTCCGACAATGTGGGCTATTTGGTACGCCATATCCACAAACTGGGCTTCATCCGCCACTTTGCCACCTAGAATGGGTCGCAGTTTAAGTTCTGCGCGACGACCCCCTGCTTTGCCGGCTTCGATGCTGGTGTACAGCAGCCGCCAATCTTGGTAATTAAAAGCGATCGAGTGGCGGACTTCGAGGCCGGCAAAGAGGTACTCGACCCCTCTGACATGTTCGTCCGTCTTTTTCTTGCTTTTGGTGTTATCAATATCAGCCTTTTGGAGGATTTCGAAGCCCCCGCCACGAGTAAGGTGCTTTGCGATAGGCAGTGTAACCGCCGGCGGAATTTGCAACATCTCGGAGCCTTCGAATGATAGACTACATTTCTTGATGTAGTCTAGAATCGGGTCGACGTAGTCATGGTATTGGGACTCATGCTGTAGCTGGCTTGTGGTGCGTTGCTGGAAGCGAACGTCAATGTTGTTATGCGGAAGCATGACGTCCGTCTTGCTTTCTTTTACGATAGCTACGATGTTTTTGAGCGCAGCTTTCTTGGAGACGCCGTCGATTGTGAAGCGCATTTCGATGGCTGGGAATGCGGTAAGAGCGTTGGCGCCGATGGGCCGGTGCTTGTAAAGTTTTGCTTTCCCGTATTTTACACGCGAGGTAATGACGTGGAAGGGGTCTGGCAGGAATCGGAGGACGAGGGAACTGACCCTATCTCCTTGATTTAGGACATGGGCATCGTTGACAAGTCGAGAGAAGTTGGAGACTTGAGTTACAAATGTCTGGATTTGATTAGGCCCTCCGAGCGAGAGCGGCGGAGGAGAATCTGAGGATTCAAGGGACGAATGCAGAACCTTGCCTAGTACTGCTGAGGTATCTGTGAAGTAATTGTGATCCCAGCAAGTCTCTGATATCGGGTCAGTTGAGTTTTGCATTTTGATTGCAGCTTTGGCTTCTGCTTTCGATTGTCCCTTTTTGCCCGTGGGCTTTATAATGGGCTCAGCAACGGGTGTCCTGGACGGTTCCTGTTTTTCTTTCCCAGTCGGAGCAGTCCATCGACCCCAATCTCGTTGTTGTTCCCTCCAAGGGAGAGCATTAGCCACTGGGGTGTCAACGAATCCCCCCTTTTTCGTACTCGTCGTGTCGCGAGCCAATTCGTGTTTATTTCTACTCGAATTTTCACCAGAGACCAGCAGGAGACGCCGAACAACATCAACATTGGAAACCACGGCATTGGGAGTTTTGTCAATGCACGAGATTTTCAACTGGATTCTATCAGCTTGCTGTTTTCAAGTCCAGTTTCGGCCAATACTTACAGTACCACTAGGCCCCTGAACGATGCTGGTGTTTGTTAGACGACTCAAGGACTGAAGGGTGGTGGCATCGAAGTGTTTCTGAATCCACCTGTCCACCTGTCTCTGGGTCGGTTTTTTTGGCCCGACGGGTATCAAGCTCGCTAGAGATAGAGTCGCAGTCCGACTGCGTTTCAGTGCGTCGTCAAGATCCCGAACAACGAATGGTTTCTTGACATGAGGACAAGTAACCCGGATCACATTTCTTGATCGAAACGCTTCCAGCTTTTCGCCCTCACCGTGTAGGATGGCCGCATGTATCTCGCTCAGAACCGAAGGATTTCCCACTAGGAACGTCAGGATGTTGTCTCACAAGTCAAAATGCTGGGCTTACGGAGGAGAAGGTCCAAGTCTTCGTAGCTAACTTGAATTTCAAATTGACCAATGCCATCCACTAATTCCGGCAGCTCCAACATCCAGCACTCTCGCAGCAAGCGAAGGGTCAAACGTTGCTTGGCAGTATGCGATTCCAGAAAATAGCCTCTCAAAGGATCGTTGTCAAAATGATCTTGTATTTCCGAAACTCCTGGCAACCAAGGTGTTACTTGTAGAATTCTGGCATCCGTCCTGATCGTAGTCCAAGGCCGTTCTGGTGCCTCGGGCTCCCGTCTGCCTTTGAAATTTTCAATATACTTTTGCAGTTGACCTGATGTGAAACCCTCCTGCAATGCCTGCACGAGCTCGTTGATCTCATCCCAAGTCTGACGCTCGCTCGCTGGCCTGAATTCATCGATATTCTTCTCCACTTCTGCCCAGCCAGCCAGCCCTCTTTCCTCGGCCAGCTGGCCTAATATATCGATGTGCGCCGCTTCTTGCGGCTCCAAGTGTTTAGAGTCCAGTTCGTACCAGTTCACTATCGAGTCTCGAAGCACAATGACCTTTGCCGTGTCCCCTAGAGAATTGTGCTTCAAGGTCTCCTTGAATTCCTGCTTCTTCAGGCCACGATATCCATGAAGTCGAGACGGCTCGCGACTACCCGGCTCCTTGGGTCTATGTATATCCAGGCCCGCATCGTCGCCCTGGTCATCTCGGGCATCGTATTCGTTGGTAGTTTGTACATGCGAATCGGTGGACTGGAAGGCGACTCGAGCTACGGCAATCGAGCGCTTTGCCAGACCTCGTTGACATCTCAAGCATATGTGCGGCGTCCTTCCTGGTCTGACAATCATGTAGGCGACGTGGACTGGCGTCTGATCTGCCGTGTTGTGAGGCTGAGAATGTACCGTTCATATTTCAATATAATTTTTGGAGTCGGAGGCCCAGGCCGGCATTTCCCCGAACTCAAAGCCTTGTCAACTTTCACGCGTGGGCGCGTATAGCAAATCGCGTCTCTCTCGTTTCAACCCCTCCACAATTTCGGCACGACGCGATTATCCAAATAAGTCGACCGGATTTCTACCAAGTACTTGACTGATTGACTACTTGCAATCGATAAGATGTCTTCAGTTGCGCGAAGACATCGGACTGTTTGTTCAACTCCTCCCAGAATCGCGTCTCAACTAACATTCGCCAGGCTCAGGCTGAGGAAAGCTCCGAAGAAGAGGCACCTCGAAATACCCAACGGCGCAGAACGCAAGCAGATTCTGAGGATGAAGAAGAGGATGAAGCAGAAGAGCCTGTGGAAGATACGATGGAATTGGACAGCGATGAGGGGCACAGGCAGGTGGTGAAGAAATTGGTGAGATATGCACTCGCATGCGAGTTCCAGCGAAAATATATCAGGAAAGCGGACATTATGGAGAAAGGTGTGTTAAAGATACATTTTCGACATCTTGTCATTGCTGACAAGTCAGTAATTGGGAAACAACAGCGAGGCGGAGCTTTTAAGAGGATATTTGATGCGGCGCAGAAGGATCTGAGGTTGAAGTTCGGGATGGAGATGGTGCAAATGACTTCCAAGGAGAAGATTACCATGAAGGAGAAGCGAGGTAAGAAATAATTTTTACCGATCATATTCCTGGCTAATTGTGCCAGCTGCGTCCAAAGCCAAGGCAACGTCCAAAGCCCCCGATTCGTATATTCTCACTACGATCCTCCCAAGCGAGTACCGCATCCCTGACATTATGCCCGCCTCCAATATCGAAAGCGAAGAGAAAGAAGCCTCGTATATAGGCATCTGTACCACAATAGTCTCACTCATTGCACTCAGTCCTAACGACTGCCTTCCTGACCACAAACTTTTATCATACTTACAACGATTGAACTTAGATGTCAATACTGGATTTGGAAAAACGGAGGTTTTGTTGGCAAAAATGGCCAAGGACGGCTACATCTACAGGACGATTGAAAAGACTGTAGATGAAGAGCAAATAGACTGGCGAGTCGCTGCAAGGGGGAAGGCCGAGATAGGGAATAACGGGATTCAAGGGCTGGTGAGAGAAGTCTATGGTGAAGAAGCGCCGACGGACCTGGACAAGAAGCTCCAGAGAAGTTTGGGGATGGAAGTCAAAAAATTGGATGAAAATCGGGATAATGGCATCGAGGAGGAACAGCCACAGGAGGAAGAGGAAGAAGAAGAAGAAGAAAACGAGGCGCCAGATCCAAGACCTAGTAGGAGGCGGAGTGAGAGATGAGAACGCAAGCCTAGCTATCTTCGTCGATTTGCTTGGTTATCTGCGGAAGCCTTTTCACGTCTGTAGTAACGTAATGCTTGCTATGCAAACATGAAAGACCACCTGATGATACTTGTGGTCAGAGAGTTTTAGTTGCTCCCGGCTTACTTATGCCAGGGCTTCCCATTCAAGTCGGCTGTAATGCATAGATCCTCGGCGTGGAACAATCCCATGCTGGCAACAGTCTGAGGCCCTTCATCTGCTCCTTTGCGGTACAGTACAACGACTGACATATCCCTACCCACTCATCATTCGTAATTCCCCGTGCCAACCACCATAATGCAGCCTGGCCTTTATTTGATCTCTCAATCTTGCACCTCGGGCGGCTTGCCAACAGGCTGTATCATTTTCTATTCACTATCAGCACATATTATCTCCAATATTTTCCCAAAGTTCTCCTGGCAAAAGAGCCACTCACCTCAATCATTTGAGCCCGGACCTTTTCCCTGCACTCCCCCATCCCGATCGCCATATAACTCAACAGCGGCGGATGTCCCACATAGCTGGCATAACTATCTCTCTGGATGTTGGACGTCCACTCGAACTTTGTGGTGTCGGCGTGCCCAGTGCCTACGTAGCGGGCTTGCAGAGCCTCAAGCTGTTGTTGCGCACGGAGTTTGTCTGCCTATGGAACTGGTGAGTAATATTCAAAGAAGGAGAATACGTGGGATTTACCATCTTGCGAGTTTGTATCAATGTGCAAGTGAGAGGTTGCGTAGGAACGGACGAGGCATGTTGGAACTGAGTTGAGAAGGCGGGGTTACTTTATTCCGGGCTCTCGTAACTATTCCTTGTTATCGGTACTGGTGCTTGACAATAACAACAATAACTATAACAACAGGCAAAAGTTTCTTAGTGTATTCTTCTCGTCACCACCAATCGAGCACACATCGGCGTGAGCTTTCGCCATGGCGGCTATGACAGAGTATGTACCTATCTATTATTATTCACGTGATACTACACGTGACAGAAGGAGGTCCTTTTCCCATCTTTCCCGCTACTATCTGCTTGATGGATTCTCTGTTTGATTATTGCTTCTCGTTTTTCATATATAACTAGCTACTGACAGTCGACAGAGGCACTGAGACGCATATCCAGTCTCAGCAACCACAGAACCTTTACCCATTGTCCCTGGACAGACGTCTCCTGGCCGGCGATGCCTTTAGAGAAGCGAAGATACGTCTCGAGAATACTCTCAACGTGATTGAGCGACACTACTCTACACCCGAATCAGGTGTCCACACCGGATTGCCCTCCTGCCCGCGTTGCCAAAGCAAGAAACGGGACATCCACCGCGCCTACTGTGACTACTACCTCTCCAACGACCAGCGAAGCTGGTACGCCGAAAACCCCTGGTACAAGCAAGAAATGAATCGGCGTCTCCAGGATCCAAACATTCCCCTAAACGAAATCCATCAATTCTTCAATAGTGCGTTGAGGGAGCACATGAGGCAAGATTTGTCTGCGGTCCAGCCCGGTGACAGCACTGTGGTCAAGGACTTCAAGAGAAAGACGTCAGATCTGTTTACAGATAGCTACCAACCGCGGTCCATGGCGGATATTCTTTCAGCGTATCTCCAAAATATCAATATCATCACCGGCCACCAGGACGCTACGGACCTGGTCAACGTCCTGCAGCTGACAACTACCCCGCAGGAGAGAGCAGACATCTACATCCGGTACTATTGCACCAGCAGCTGGAATGATCTGCCGATTGTCAAAACCTTCAAGTCAAAGTACGCCCGTATGTTCGAGTCCGGTGCTCCCCACGACGCCGTGCTAGCTTCCATGCGGAAAGAAGGCGAAGAAGCGCAAGCGTTGAAGATTGCAGAGTTGCAAGGCAAATTGAGTGATATCAAAATGGCTCAAAGCGCACATCTGAAGAACAAGAAGCGCAAGGAGGAGAAGCGTGAGAGGCTCCAGCGCCTGCGCGAAAGGCCGTCAAACTCGGAGATGGCACTCTGCGCCCTGGTAACATGTGGTGAAGAAATCAATATTTCGAGTGGCACGGTGACCGAGTGTGCCATCTGTGAATGGCATGATCGAAAGGGTGGGGACAGAGGACGAGTGTTCTACTGCTCGACGCGTTGTGCCGAGGAGGATTTCGTAGGTTTCTTCTTCCTCCTGATTGGGATCTCGGTTTTGCGTGCGTGCTGACCGGTGAACAGAAGGCCCATGATCCAGACCACACATGCATGTCCGAGAACTGTATCTTTGCCCCCGAGATCGGTCCACCGGGTGATTCCGACCTGCAGCCTGGCGTCTGCCAGTCTTGCTTGCAGGAGGACCATGTTGAGTACTTTTGCTCCCTGCCTTGCTACCGCGCGAACTATGTAAGTCCCCTCTGAAGCGACGCCGTAGAGATCTCTAATGTGTGCAGGCATTGCATAAAGAGCAAGTTTTCGAGCAGAGGGGATGTCATGACCATGTTGAGATGCTGGAGTTTTTCCGCCCGGCTGAGGGCATGGAGATCATCTCGTGACTCTACCGTGGGCGTGGATTTGAGATTGAATCGCAATCGAGAAATGAACATATTTTTCTAACATGGGTATAAATAAATGTTTGATCCGCCCGAGTTCATTAGTCTAGCGTCAATGTGCGTTCTTACCGACGGGACCTTGGTTTGGCATCGTATTCAATGCTGTGTTTACGGACAAATGTTCCCAGGCGCTTTTACGACGATATGACTTGTCTCCCTCTTAATATCCCTTCTATCCGCAAACTGCTGGATTTTTTTTTTATTTTTTTTTTCTTTGCCTTGTTTTTTCTTTTTCCTTTCTTTTTCCGTTCTTTTTCCCTTTTTCCCTTTTTTTTTCTTTTTTTTCCAATCTGCTTCCATATTTTTCCAACACATACACACACAAAACACACACACACGCATACCCGTGTCTCCTTCGCATACGTTGACTTGAGCTCACTCAAACCCCATCCCATCCCATCCCATCATATCATTTCACATCAAATCACCTTCTCCGCAAACGTGTACGAAGAACCGTCAATTACTAGCCATGCTCCTACGCATACTCGTATCGTACAACCAGCCCCCTTTCTACACGTCTCGTCTCATCCATCCCAGCTGCAAGCGAGGTACTGCCCGTATGTAAGCAGATAGCCCAGTCCGCTTGACGCTTGATATCCAAGTCTATGGCGGGCAAAATGGCAATGGAGGCAAGATGGTATGATATGATACGATGTGATTCGGACCAGTAGCGGGCTAGCTACGTAAATGTTCCCGGTGTCATCATATGATAACAGTGAAGGGAAGAGAAGTAAACAATATCAAGAACCCACCTCAAGAATCTGGGCAAGTCGACTGTCTTCACGCTTCAGTGCTAGTGTTTCAGGTCCCTGCCTAAATAGGCCGACTCATCTCCCTCTTTTTAGGTGCCTGCTACAAGTAGATACGCCTAGCGGCGGTCAGGGGTATGAGATCTAGATTCAAAACATCGACCGACACAAGCCACTAGTGCAATACAACAGCCTATGCAATACCCGCTTGCCCCTGGAGCCAGAATGATCTTCTCAACGAGGCGGAGAACCCACACATACTACAATGTCAAATGGAATCCCTAATCTTCACAAAATTCAGATACCGCGTCAGCGTCCACCGCCGGCACGCCTTCCCGTATACGACCATTGGCACCGTCAAGGCGATGAAGAAGAAATCCAGCACGCTCAGCGCGATAAAGCAGTCCCTCACCCCGCTGTTAGCTAACCACGTGCTGGCCGTGAAGGTGAAGATGCAGCCGATGGAGTTGTTGATGACTGAGACGCCCACCATGCCCTCGAGGACCATCTCCGGGTAGGCATCCATCAGGTACGCCATGGACAGATCCCCCGCGCAGCCCCAGCCGAACCCAATGAGGCCGAGGCCGACGTACGGCGCAGGCCACGCCCAGCCGTAGGCCGTACCGATGCCGAAGATGAGCATACCACCCGGCGAGCACACGGCGCAGGGGAGCATCATCCACAGACGGTCCTCGGCTTCGCGGATGCCGTTGCGGCGCTTCGCCATCCAGAACACAAAGCGGTCGGACATGTAGCCGCCCCAGAAGCAGCCTACTATGGCGCCGATGATGCACGGCACATTCATCAGGCCCGTGCCGATTGTGGAGTAGAACCACGGCGCTCCGTACCAGTTGTCCTGTTCGAGGGTGATGTAGAAGGTGAGCCAGGCGTCCTGGGCGCCCCATTGGATGCCCGAGTAGATGACGGCTGGGAAGCCGAAGATGCGCAGGGTGTGCCACAGGCGGGAGACGTACTGCTTGAAGCCCGTGCCTTTGACATTGGGGGCGAGCGTGATGATCTGGATGCGCTGCCAGTAGGTTTTCGGCTTGTCGTCTGCGCCGATGACATCGGACGGGGATCGCTGGATCCAGCCTCGGGCCGTCGCCTTCTCGCTATCGGATACGTCTCCGGAGGCTATGGGACCGGTGGTGTTGCTGCTGCTCTGCGCGCCGTCGGTTGTGACGTGGGCTGCACGGTCGAACATGGTCTCTTCCAGTCCGAAGTAGAGGACGACGATGGTGCAGGCCGAGATAATGACCGACAGCCAGCCAATCCACCGCCATCCCAGACGATCTGCCACATAGGCCGCAATGAGCGGGCCAAGATAAGTCCCGATGCTGGTAGCGAAGACGTAGATGCCGATCACACTTCCTCTCTGGTGCTCAAAGAAGATCTCGGATAGCGAGAGTTGGACATTGGCTTCTGCGGCACTCTCTGAGGCTCCCACGAAGAGCTGGTTCCATATCGAGTCGCTCGCATTTCTGACCTTCGACATCCAGATTGCGCCGATGAGCCCCCAAGTCATACCGATCAGATACGGCACCCGTCGCCCATACAGAGAGGCTGCCGGAGAGACCAAGAATGTCCAGTATCCGATTCCGATAAACAGAACCCCCGCGCCCGTGTTCATCACATCGTACGAGATGCCGTACTCAGCGTTCATCCCATCCTGGGCAGATCCAGCGTCATTCGCCGTCCCGGCGGTGAAACCGGCGACGAAGAACAGGAGGATCGCGTGCAGGTATTTTCGGGGCAGAGACCAGTTGAGAGGGTCGTTTGGCGACTCGGTCGGTTGGGGCGCGAGGACAACGTCACCGTCTCTCTTGAGGTGGGAGATGGCCGCATGCGCATGGTCCTCAAACAGACGCGAAGTGCCGGGCAGCATCTCGACTTGATCGTCCATCGTGATGATGGGGTGTGTATATGTATCAGTATCCGGCCGGCACTCTGCTTGCTTGCTTCGCCACGGGAGGCAGAATGGGACCGGTGCACCCTCCGGTCAGCAAATGTTGTCGTTCTACGTAGTATATCGAGTTGCGATTTACTACTTGGTAGAAGATGGGACATATGGACTGCATCCAATTAGGTAGACAGAGCGACAGATAGGGCACTGACACAGCTGCTGCATTAGCTAGGTTTCCTGTCACGGGTAGCGATAAGCTCTCTCCCCGTCCATACTACTTACCGGTACCGGTATACAGTAGTACTGGTACGTACAGCACTTTAGTGGTTTAGTGCCCGCCCGATGGAAGGGGTCGGAGAGGTCAGAGAGTTCGAAGAGGTGGATCCGCCGAGATCCATCCTGCCTCGGCCTGTCCGACACCGACGTTGTCAGTCATACCGGTACTACACCACCGTAAGCAGTAAGCTGTAGCCGATGAGTATATCGTTACGGACTTACTGATCTACCTCCACGAGGACGGGGACAGGCCTTCTCGTCGACGACATCTGCCTGCTCTCGCGAGAAGTATGAAGAATCTGTTGATGTACCGGTAGTGAGTGTACAGAGTTATGGGAAGATGAGATGGACAGAAAGCTTGTCTACCCGGTCTATAGAGTGGTGGTTTCTGAATGGCTCAAAGCCCTGTCAACTCCATTGCACGGACTAAACACTGACCTAAAGATACTTTTCAAGGCTGGATTCTTATACTACCGGTACGTAAGTTGATTGGTTTCAGCCTTGGTAAGATCCCTTGCAAAATTATACTTTCGACATGTATTCATAGGGGGGAATAAGATCTGAAAGACGACCGGCCGACGAGGTGAAAGCTTGTGCATCCCAGCCCAGTCTAGGCTGCTACAGGTTAGTATCATAAGTAGTGTGATCGGAACGTGACGTCCGAAACCCAATAAATACTTTTACTTACCTCTCTACCCTTTATTACTCAGCAGTATTTTTAGATCTGGGAAACAAAACACTTGACACTCTTACGCGGGGCATGGGTGAGGTGGATGAAGAAGGGAGTATGAGTATCAGAAGAGATCTTCCGACGATCTGCAGAGATCTAGAGACCTTCAAGTGAAGAGAGAAGGGCATGGCATGAGCCCGAAGATAAAGCAAGTACGGAACATGATGCAACGTTCCGGATTGTTTCCAGTCCGAATCTCTGGAAAATTACTTGGAACATAAACTGACTGACTGACTGGCTTGTTAACCAGCCTGGCACTGCCTATGAAGCGGGCTGGACAAGCCTCCTGATCTAGCCAAAACAAAGTCGCATTTTCAAAGGATGAGCGGCCGTGGACGTATGCTGTCTATCCACGACCTGGCCCTCCTCCATACGTTATCGAACCCCTTTACCTTCTGCTCGGCCCAGACTTCTTCGAGCAGAGGTACTGCGTCGCGGAACATATGATATCGAGTCCAATCATCCCCAGATGGAGCAGAGTTTGACAAACTGCGTCTCTATTGATCGATCTCGCAGCTCGCAGCCGGCAAGGAAAAGTGGCAACAAGGCCTGCCTGGACATCATATTGACGTCGCGATACGAGAGTACGTGCTCCATGATAAGCCTTGCACGGTACAAGATATGTGTCGGGACGCTATTTCCAAGTTCCCACTTAAAGACCCTGAATATGTAAAGAAGAAGGCCATTTCTCCATGCCTCGGAGCAATGCATAACATCCTGATCTTGGTGCATGGAATCTTCGTCTCGGAGAGCTGTCGCAGCGGGGACGTGGCGCCAGGACCCAAGCGACGACTCAATGTCCGAGATGGATATGTTGTTGGATGCCAAATCCAGTGTCCAGGACTCCTTTTGCCTCTCTGCGCTGAGACGTGCTATCTGCATTACAATCTTTGCGAGACTCGTTGAACACCCACATCGTCCAAAAAAATCCCACTCTCATTTATGCTGGCTGGAAAGTACAGCATCGAAGTATGTGTAAGAGAAAACGCAGTGTTCACTAGACAGAAGACCTGTTATAGCATCCCACCTGGCACGTTAGCTAGCACTCAGAGACAACTATTAATCAAGCTTCGCATACCAGGTGAGTATCCCTATCTGAGCCTCGATCCTAGAGGAAATGGTTAATGTTTTGAGACTACCAAGATTTCGGGATGTTATATGCTCCCACGAGATGTGTGCTCCAATCTCCAAGCATGGACTTGGTTTTCTAATATCCACCATTAATCTGGACATAGTTTTAGGCAAACGTAGGTTTGACTAATATCCTGCGAGAATAGAATTGCGATTGTGTCAAGAATAGAATACATAATTTCTGCATCACTGAATGCGTGAAGACTCTAGCGAAGGAGTTGAAGCGCTTCATAGCGATGACTCAAAGCTGAGGTACTCTTGACGTGATGGCCCGCTAAAGCCATCACCGCATGAACTAGAAAGGTCGGCTCCAGATCGATATCTGTACGGTATATCGAAACGGATTTATCCGTAGGTCGAATGTCAATGGAATGATGCAAAACTCCCCGTTGTCTTAGAGTTAATAGTCCGTGGTGGGAAGATCGATGATGCGCCCACAATGCATACACCTGTCGAGCACCGGCTTGAACCGTTGATTAAGGCTGATATATTCTATAATCGGTGGTATAGGTGTAACAAGAGGATATGGGGTGTCAGTCAAAGCCCAAATCGCCCCGGCATTCGGCCCCGAGCCAGCAATATGATGCTCACGGGTAGCGAGCTCGGGTAAAGGCGAGGATATAGATTGGTCTTCGCTACTGCAACTCCACGGGTCCAGGCTCGGTTCGGTCGTTCTGTCAACTGTCTCAGGAGATACTCCGATTGGAATTGATCGACCGTTATCCAAAGTCCCGACTGATAGGTCGATGGTAGGTTCATTTTCCTCAGCAGCTTGCCCGTGGGGATAAGATCAAATGGGGCAAAGAGATCAGAGCTCGCAGTCCATTTATGAAAGAGGACATCATAGTCCGGCAACGAGATTTGGGTGTTGCAGCCAGTGTATGATTTGATAGCATCGTTTCTGCTTCAGGTTCTGTAAGTTGATCAACTAGATTCTAGATCGACCATTCCATTCGACGTCTCTTTGAAGTAGGTGTATGGTTTTCTATCCTTGCGTCCAACGTCAAACGTCATAATCATATTTTCTTTTTTTGTAATACGTAGTTCCATATACGTATGCATCCATGGTTTCTAGAAAACTGACTGGTCAGCGATAAGAAAGAGTGGGTGAGTGATAAGATGCCGGGCGATAAAGCTGGCGATCAGTACTTAGTTGTAGCATAGATTGTCGTCGTCGCCAATGATGATGATCAGCATCCCCGTAAGACCTTTCTTCCTCGGCATCGATAAGTATGGAGTACCGGTAGTAGTAGGTATCAGCATCGCATCGAGTACGTACGTTCGTTCGTTTACGTAAGCCGATCAAATGATCTCCATATCCCTTCAAGCTTGGCAGTTGGTTCTTGTACTCACTCCGGAGTCCTGAGTGCTGCGTCCCGACTTCTTATCTCAAGCTTCTCTTCCATTATCTACCTACCTGTCTCCCCCATCAAACAACAAATACATCAACACACATCGAGATTTCCATTCAACTCCGAACTGCTGAACCAAATTGATATACATCTCTCTCTCAACATAACACAGTATACTTCCTCTTTCTTCCTCATTCCCCCGCCATCGAGGCCCGTACCCTCACTACCTACGCAGATGTTGAGTCAGTATGTCAACTCTATCCATATCAGTTCATGGCGCTTTAAATCAAAACCAAGAAGTAAACCGTCATCGAATTCCAAATGGAGTAATTGTTGGGGCCCAGATGCCCAACAATTCCCACTCTGCCAAATTATCGGCCGTCAATGCCACCAGACCTGAGAAGACCGCCATCATCGCTTCTGCCACTGCCGATCGAGCAGCTATTGTGCCTCCCACGACTCCCACGAGTCAACAGCAGGCCTCGAGTCAACGGCACGTCGTGGTTGTCGGCGCCGGCATCTCCGGACTGCGTGCGGCCTCGGTTCTGCAGCGGCATGGAGTCGCGGTGACCATTCTCGAGGGACGGCCGGACCGGATCGGGGGACGGATATCGACGACTCGCGAACCAGGCAAGGCGGCGAAAGACATTGGTAAATATACCTAGACTAGGCAATATCTTCAATTGTGGGTGGTTGGGCCGTCACGGCTTGACCACACAATGTGGGTTGTTGATCCTCTCCCCGGCAAGATTGTGCTTACACTCGACTTCTAGGAGCAGCATGGATGCACGAGACCTCCCAGAACAAGTAAGGCAGGCAGGCGATGGGGAGAACTACCCACATCCATATCCATATCCTTTCCCTTCCCTTCCCTTATCATCCGGTCTGATCCCGAGGCATTGTCAAAACCCTCCTTTCCCAACCCGAAACATCATCCGCTCATGGCAAGGATACTGACTGACTGATCTGTCTGTCATCCAGGCTCGTCCAACTGATTCCAAAGCTCGGCATCGAGTATTACTACGATGATGGTGCAGCCCTTTACTATACTCGCGATGGCAGGGCCGGATCTCAATTTAAGGCGAAGAAGGTTGCTGACGAGTTTGCCGACTATGTCGAGCATTTCTACACAGCGAATCCGAACGCTGCGGATCGATCCGTGAAGGCTTTCGTCGACGAGTTTGTTGAAAAACACCCGCTCATCACTGCCTCGGAACGGAAGTGGGCGCCGCAAGCAACTCGGGAAGTCGAGCTGTGGATCGGAACGTCCATCGAACAAGCCTCATCCAAGCATCTGAGCTATTTTCTGACGGAGAGAAATCTCTACATGAAAGGTGGCTATGACAAGATTGTCAATTGGACGGCAGAGCCTCTCCTGAAGAATCCGGATACGATCCGGTTGGGCGAAGTAGTGAAACACATCAGCTGGGGAACAACTGATGGCTCCGTGACAGTTCACTCACAAAAAGAGACCGGCCAGAAAAGCACCTGGGCCGCCGATGCCGTGCTCGTGACGGTGCCCCTTGGCTGTCTCCACCGCGATGCCATTTCTTTCTCGCCTCCAATGCCGGCCTCAATCCAGGCAGGAATCCGGTCTTTCTCCTATGGTGCCCTTGGAAAGGTCTTCGTCGAGTTTTCCGAAGTCTTCTGGCCCAAAGACAACGACCAGTTTATCTACTACCCTGCTCCTCTGGCTCCTGGCACGCCAATTGATGACTCCTCCATTTTGTCCTACGCGACTGTGACCTCGAACCTCTGGATCATGTCTGGCACCAAGGAACTGTGCATCCAAATCGCAGAACCCCTTACCCAGCGCATCGAGGCCATCTCGGACAAAGCAGTCCTCTTCGCATTTTTCGAGCCTCTTTTCAAGCTCATGCGTACAGAACCCTACAAAGATCTTCCTGACCTCTTGAGTATCGAGACGACGCACTGGACGACGGACAGATTCGCGGGCTACGGCAGCTACAGCGTCGAGAAGACGGGAGACGATGCCTCCATGCTCGTTAATGCCCTGGATGAGCATCGTGGCAGTAGACTGCAATTCGCTGGTGAGCACTGTATTCAGACTGGGAACGGTTGCGTCCACGGTGCTTTCGAGACAGGTGAGATTGCCGCAAGGAATCTTCTGGCTGTCTTTGGGAAAGACTGGGATGGCTTGGACACCACTGCTAGGAGCGTTTCTCCTTGAAGAGGTGAGTGAATGGTATATTTAATGAGGGAGGGACAGACTTTGAGATTGGCTGAGTGAGTCTTTCGATTTTTTGGCTACGTTGCTTTGGCTACGTTATTTTGGCTTGGCTGCTCCTTGCGCTCCTTACACTCGTTTAGCTCTGGCTTTTGATCAGTATCGGTATTATTTAGTCGTGGTTTTAATTATGCGTTCCCTAATTCCGACGTCCGTCAAATATACACGTATTTCCCTCATTACCGAGAGAACAAGTTTCTGAATCTTTTGTCCTGCTGAAGTGAGGAATAGACGATGAGATGTAACGAAAGTGATTCCAAGGTCCTGGCTTCTCAATATAGCTGAACCAAAGCTCTCGCGAAAACCTGCTTCACTTCTCTCACCTCGTGTTACATTTCCAACGCCTGGAATAAGCAGGGACCTTGCGAAAGGGTTGAAGTCAAACTGCTGGATCAGAGAGAAACCGAGCCTAGAAAGAAACCAGGACGCGAGATGGCTGCTCGCTAAAAGATGGGATGCAGCGAGTAAAAAGGCTCTTATCCTGTAGGGATCATGCTCTCCAACAGTAGAGCATAATAAGCCATGCCTCATAGCCTTTAGTACCAGCGTATCTCAGCTATAGATCTCGGGTCCTTGTAGTGACGGTGGTGGTGAATTTGGATAGGGCGCTAGGCGCACAAGCCACCCGTTTGGAAGGATACACGAAGTAATATTAAACCATCAATCCACCCATCTCTCTCTTCTCCAGGACGATACTAAAAATGATTTTGGTCACCTGCGCAGGGAGGTCGATCTGTCGATTTTCTTCTTCACCGAAGGCTCAACCTTTTTTTAAGATTCATTTGTCTGGACACCTCTTCTGGTTCTGTTCATACGGCTAGGATTGAAAAATTGAAGGTTACTTACCGGTAGAAGAGAGAGCACTTGATGATTGATCGGGGCAGATGACGGAGTGCTTTAGTTTGGATGTATGCCACGACGTTTTTCGTGTCGCGTTCACCGCAGGATCGAGAGTGGTAGCAAGAGCTCGTAACTCTGGTGTTGGGAGTTTCGAGGTCATGGAATCAATCACTTGTCAGAGAGGGGATAGGGGAATGTCTTTGGATATATCGAGCGACGGGGATTCCAGCGCGCATGTTTTTTTTTTATAATGGGGTAGTTAGATAGGTAAGTAGGCAGGTAGCCTTCGATCCACGCTCCTTGGTATCCTATCTGTCATTTGATCTGCTTAGCACCCCTCTTTAAGCCTCTTTCTCATGTCTATCCTTTCCGTCGTAATCATATCTAGGTATGCCAAAGCCGGATTTTAATATGGGATCCTAGTGTGATATATCTATCCCCTTTACATATATATATGTTATACGTGTGTGGGTGAGGATGTATAAAGATACACTTTCTGCAAACCCACCGCCACATGAAGAAAGGAAGGACGTGATTTTGCGGTGTTTCAACTCCCAAGACCCTCGGTCAGGGTAGACGAACAGGCTTCCCTCTCTCTTTTATGCCAACACCACTGAAACCCAACAAACCCGTATGAGAGAACGCATCGGTCGGAATGAGCACTCGACACCGAGTACCAGGCTGGTCGCCATTCCCGACCTGTGTTACTTACTAGTGTATTGACAGTAAAGCGGATTCGTCGTTTTCGCAACCCCCGTTCCCGCCCTCTTCTCAATCCATTCCCGCCATCCATCCATCCATCCATCCCATGCCACGAGAAGTGACACACATGGGATAGGACAGCTAGAATGAAATCCCGTAGTTGGTGTTTTCCGCTCATCGCGATCCTTCTGCGTCTTCATCTCTTCCCCGTCTCCATCAGATCAGGGCGGGCCCTGAAGTCGTGAGGTTGTTTCCTACTTATATATATATATATATATATACACCTACCTATCCACCTATCTATCTATCATCTAGACATACATACTATCGACACACTTGAAGCGAGCGAGAGAGATCCAAGAGCGGAAGTCGAAGCAGATCAATCACACAATCAAACAAACAAACACACACACACACATAAATACACACACCCAAACACAAAAAAAAAACAAAAAAAACAAACAACAGAAAACACCTCGCGCACTGAAAAAAGATGTATATGGGTGAAAGGCATAGAGCAGTACAAGATACAACCAATTTGACAAGTCCGCAATATCTCTCGAAACCAAGGCCCGAAAATCGGTAAACGACGCCCAGCCGAGCCGAGCTTCAGCAGACCACCAGCTCCGAGAAAAATTTCCACCCATCTTTCTTTTTCAAGAACAGAAACCCTTCGGCCGGCTCCGGTTCGGCCGTGATACTGGTCGCTATGCGAGCCCGCACAGCCACGCTCCAAGCTGGCTACAGCAGTCTGTACCTGCCTGACTGACTCTTTCTCTTTTTTTTTTTTGTGGTTTTCCCTTGACGAGAGATTTTCTCTCGCGGTGATCCATCCTAGCCGTAGGGAAAGGGCGCAGACGAGATAGTAGTAGCTCTCGCTGCAGCACCTTGGATTGCGTGCTGGGGCCTTCTTGTATGTAACTCCTTAGCTAACTAAGCACGTCGCCGTACCCCATGGGAGGAGGTCCCAGGGCGGCGGCCGGCAGGCTTCGCCTGCTACCCGCCCGACGTAAATAAATACAACAACAACAACAAGAACAGAAACCTCGTCCTCTCGTAAGCCTTTTCATCACAAAGCAACGCGTAGAGTCGTGTTTGTTACTGTGGAAACTGGTAGGGGAGAAGAAAGAAAAATTTGCTCCTATATCCGACCCGACCCAACCCAACCCAAGCCTGGGTACTACCGATCCGAGCCAGCCTGTCCATATACCCATCACTCCCCCATCACTCCCTCCATTTGGCCGTTCCAAAGACAAGAGATAAAGACAAAGAAAGAGACCCTTCCATGATATCCAGGTACACCTAGCCCACGCCACCTGACCACCCTGCCGATTCGTAAGCTATGTCGCGAAGGAAAAACAAATTTGTACAGAGCTTCCCGCCCATGAGCACTGAAATAAAACATCAGGTACCACCGACCCGATTCATCCAATCATTTAGACGTGGATCTCGCTGCCCCTTCTCCATGCATCTCCCCCTCTTCCTCCTCCACAACCTCAACCCAGCCCAGCACATCCCGCTTGACGTCCATCACCCGCGCATACTCCAACAGCAGCCGGTACATGTAGATCTGCATATCTTCCTTCCGCAGCACCTTCAGCGCCCACGCCCTCCCATCCGCGCCAATCTTTTGCGCCAGGCGATCCCGGCCCCCCTTCTTCGTCCGGAACGTGCCCGTCTCATCGCTCCTCTCATCCAAAGGCGCGGACTCTGGGTGGAAGCCGTCCGCCGTGCCCGTGCCGACAAAGAACTCCATGATGCCGTACAGGTCCATATAGCGGTTGTCGACGGGCACGAAGTGCTTCCATGCGACGAGCCGGCTGTCGTGCCACTCCTTGAACAGCGTCGCCTTGAGCGGCACGCTGAACGACTGCAAGAAGTCGCGGTAGCGCCCCGAGAAGGAGTTGCCGTCCACGTCGGGCAGGTACTTGTGCGCCTGTTGCTTGAGCAGGCTGATGCTCGACTTGGGCGCGAAGAGGTGGTCTGTGTACTCGCAGCCTAGGGATGGGGGATCCTGCTTCGGGAAGCAGGAGAGGTCGATGAAGGAGGCGTCCGCGAAGGAATTGAGCCATTCGCCCATGGCCTGGGCGCGCTCGTTGGGGTCAGGAGATGTAAAGGTGGAGAGGCTGTAGGGTTCGAGGGGGAGTGTAGCAATGTCTATAAAGGAGGAGGAGTTGGGCATTAGGAGGGCCTGGGTCCCGTTCAGCATGGACACGAGTCTGTGTCGGTGGAAGCCTTTCCAGTTCTCGGCTCTGTTGCGGCCACCTGATGCCAGGCCTCGCCATATCATAGTCGACGTCTTCTTGTCCCATGGGACGGCAGCATCTTCAGCTGACGTGAAACGTTTATCGCCTTTATAGTACATCGTAGGAGGGACTAGTATCTCAGATCCCTCGGCAAGCTTGCTGCTCCCGAACATGGGGAACAGCTTGTCGGTTGTGGCTATACTGATGCTCTCGATGAAGAAGCCGTGCAGACCTTGGAGATCTGGTTGATGACATATCGACATCGAGAGTGTATAGTTGGAAACATAGCCTTGGTGCGTATGAGGTCCCGTATGCGCCAAAGTCATGTTCGGCGGCTGTGAGAAGTCGGTCTGAATGGGACACGTCCTCGCCGGACTACCAGGCGGACATGGAGCCACGACTCGAGGCCAGATGGACCCTGCTGTGTTCCACGGAAATTGTTCTATGAGTTCGGCGGTCGCATTGTATTCGACGAAGTCTATACCCATTAGCACCCGCCCGCCATTGAGCAGCATTCCATTGCCGCATCCATCCATCCACTCACCAGAGAACTTATCCGTCAGGACACTCTTGTCCACCAGCTTTCTCCCACTCCTCTCATGCTCCATGTGCTCGCCCATCTTCTCCCACGGCACCCACATCCTCGGTTCGTCCATAGTATTCATAGCGAGATCCATGTCCGGCAGCCCCTTCGCCACAGTCTGGATCAACTCCTGCCAGATCGGCATCCAGAAATGATCCGTCTTCTGGCTGACCTTCCCCTTCCTGACCTTCATCTGGCTCATCTGCATCCTCACATCTCTCAACATCTGGACCGGGTCCAGCGCCCATAAGGGATTGAGATCATGGTATATCTGGTCCCAGAAGTCCTCCACGATGATCGCATGGTGGTCCTTCGCATACTCCCACCACTTGTCGAAGCCCGGTGGCGGATGCCGTCCTCTGCGCTCGCGGTAACGCTGCGCCGCCGCCGGCAGGTCAAAGGTCTCCTTCACCAGCAGCTCGTCAAATTCTTGATCAGCGCGCGCTAGCAGTCCGATAATCGGGTGGTGGTCCTCCTCGGGCGACGGGAGCGGTATGTCTGGATTGTGCAGGGCATTGCCGTCGGCACCTGGCCACCACGTCGGCGTGGACAGCCGGTGAGTGTGCGCGAACTCGTTGGAGTAAAGGTACGAGGTGAGGGTGAAGAGCGAGAGCACGCAGGCCACGTAGGGCAGGAGCCTCAAGATGCGGATGTCGAGCATGGAGAGTCGAGCCGGGGAGAGAGATGCGTCGACACCAACATCACCACTGACGGAGGAGCAGAATCATAAGGACTGGAAGGAGGGTTAGAAGAGGAGAGGAGAGGAGAGGAGAGGAGGGGAGAGGGGAGAGGCGAGGAGAGGCGAGGAGAGGAGAGTGGGAGTGAGCGGCGCAATGTTGGAGGAGGGGAGGAAATAATTGAATAATCGAGAAGTTCCACACCACATCATCCTTGTAGAGACGATACTCTTCCCCCCCAGGAATACATGTCGAAAGTATCATTTAGCAAGGGATCTTACCAGGTCTTAAACCGATCAACTTATATAGTATACAGTACTCAAGAATTCATTCAGCCTTGAAAAGTACCAGTAATACAGTATCGTTGAGCCAGCATTTAGTCTGTGCAGTGGAGTTGACAGGGCTTTAAGCCATTCAGAATTCACCGCTCGCGAATCTATGGAGCTAAACTGGGTCTGACATTTAGAGAGCTAGATGAATTATTATCTTGTTATTACTACATTTATTACTACATCTATTACTACATTTATGACTACTACTATAGGGCTTTAGGCTGCACGCTTAAGCACGGGGTCTACCCAAGAACGACTGTATTACCGTAGGGCCGACGTTTCGGACCTTATTAACTGGGCAGGACAGGCCATGCATCACGTGGCTGCACGCACTACAACAACAACCAACTACTACAGTACTACGGTATAGGTAAGTACCTTATACAGAGATCTATAAATACACCACCTATTGCCTTTTGCGATATGGAATGAAACCAACCCCCATAACACTATTAGTACTAGTACGTACTACGTAAATCTCGATCCTCAAACGCGAGCAAGGGAAGCCTGCAGCAAAACCACGAGGGGACCAGCCGGACCCGGTCGACCACGTTTCGGCGGCACTGCGTGCTCTATTAGACTTTCCTAAGTACCTTAGCCAGGTCGGAAGTCAGATCAGATGCGTCGTTGCATGAACTCTCGCTGGTTGAAGTTGTTCCGCTCCGTAGGTAGCGGTATCTCCGTCTTCACTCCATCAACAGACGACGACCGACGACCGACGACCGGTACTGAGGAGCCTGCAAACTACGGTACTACTATTTCTCCCCCCTTTTTTAAGCTTCAGCTTTCAACAGCCCTTCTCCCAATTCTCTCCTCCTCTTCATATCGCGAACCCCGCTGAGCAGATCGCTACGACGACTGCCTCCAAAAGAGGCTCACAACGGAGATACCCGATTAGTCAACAGCCCCGAATGCCTCTTCGGCACCGACCCAATGCACGACCTCGAACCTACCTAGTTCCCCGTCAACGGCACCGCGCCGTCATGTATTCATACATACGTATATAAGTGACCAATACCAATAACTTAAGGGTATCTAAACATTACTACACAACAATGCTTTCCTTTCGTACTCCTTTTCATCCTTCCTTCCTTCCTTCCTTGCTATGCCATGCCACGCCAGCCAGCCAGCCAGCCAGCCAGCCATCCAAGCCACCACCCTGATAATTGTCGCATACTTCTCATCTCGTACTTCTTAATCCGTACCTCATAAACTCCCCTTCCCGTTCCCAGTCGCCCCATACCTCACGCAAGTCTCAACACAACCCTCCAAGCCAGCGCGCCGGCCTCCCTCACAGCACAAGCGAGACAGCCCCGCCCCCTTCGACTTATCACAGCATTCCACCCGCGTTCCGCACAAACCGCCCTGGCCAGCATCTCCAAATCGCTACCTCCTTTCGCCTTCTCTTTCTTTTCTCTCTCCCGCATACTACTGTGTGGGCTCGCGCTTCCGGATCGGGGAGGGAGCGAGGCCAGTGACGCGTCGGTACAGTCGATGATCAAGAATTGGGGTGTACCAGAAGAAACGGCGATATTCGTGTGATCAGGGGACCTAGGGGGGAACCCAGCCGCGATGAGATCGATGGTCTTCAGATCCTGCGCGGGCCCAAGGGGAGAAAAGAGAGAACAAAGAGATGTCTTGTGGAAAGTATAGTTCGTGTGGAGAGGGTGGGCTGCGTACTTATCAGTCCTGAAAAGAAGCCTCGATTAGTACGAGGAGATTGGAGGCAAGCATACCGTTGAACGCCCCGTCACCCAGCTCTGTGGGCTGGCTTTTACTACTAACTGACAGCCTCAAAGACGACCGCAAGAGCTCCACATGCGAAGAAGGGATACATGGATGCGCAGTAACGAAATGCACATCGTGATTCAGCGCCACATTCAATTCCCGACTGGCCATCTCAGTTCCCAGAACCATAAAGCGCATCATTGCGGAATAAGTCTTGACCGTCGGAGCGAGGCTGAGCCGCGAGAACGGGGTAGGCTCCTCTTCAGTGGGTGTCGAAAGGATAGAATCCTTGGCTTCGAACATGTCCAGAGACTCGAGGTGAACGCAGATATCTATGTCGGTAGGCTCATCTGAAGGGACGACAAAGTCTCCTGGAAGCACACCAGAGAGTCCTTCTGCTCCTTTAACCACGTGGCTATCGTGTTCCACTGCTTGCTTCTGCCAGAGTCTTGGGTTGTTTTGCTCCTCGTTTGAAGATAAGACTGGAATCATGTCAGCATTATGCGTGCCAAGTGTTCATTTGCAAGTAAAGCATACTAGCCAGCTCTCGAGTCTCCTCCAGCTCAATATCCATCCAGCCCTCCTTCGCTCCCCTCGGCAATACCTCAGAGTAAACCCAGCCCATACAATCCGTCGCACCCTTCCCGGCGGCCAAAACCCGTCCAACAATGCACGCTGTACTCCAGTAGCTTTTGCCCTGGTAGATGAAGCCACCATAAAGATTCGCCTGGTCACCCAACCGCGACAATGCAATCGGATCATTCTCTAGCAACGTGGAAATCAGAAAATGGCTTAGTCCTTCGCCTGGTAGAATTAGTCCGCTAATATAAGAATTGGAGAGCCATCCCGCAGGGTAGATCATGGTCGGAACGTGCCTGGAAAGTGAAATCCCTCGCTTCACTTGTGGTCGTCGATTCGCGAAGTACGAGGACCGGTGTGTAGACACCGATAGGGGTGTTCCGACGGGAGTGCTTCGAATGCTGTCGGAAATCGTAATACCATTCGCCGCCGCTTTCGCGGTCAAGCTGTCCAGATCTGGCCAATGAATGTTCCGCGCAAAATGGAGAAGTCCACTGAGTTGCCGACTTTGGTGCCTCCCGGTAAAACGGATATCCTCAATTCTATCAGCTAACATTGGTTCGGGATTTGCGGCTGACGAGAAAGCCGCTCGCCATCCTGGCTTCTTGTCCGCAATAGTCACAGCCGGCCTTTCGATGGTGATGTTCTCTAACCAGGTACGAGCCAGTAGAAGCGACCATTTGATGCTCGTCGTTGCCATCTGCTCGAAGTCCCGGATCTCCATGGGTGACGCTATCTTCACGCCATCGTCCATCTTCACAGATATAGCATCCAGCCGAGTTAGTAGTTCGCACGACAGCAGAATTTGCACCAGCAGCCAGTATCGTTCGGTTCCAGGGTCACGAGCCATCTCATTGTTGATAGAAACTCCATCTTCCTGATCCAGATCAAGGGCTACACCCCAGAGTATTTGGCCAAGTCTAATTCGCCATTCAACCAGACTAAAGTCCACCCAAACTATAGGCGCAGCTAGCACCTCGAGCAAGGCCTCGACTTGAATGACGAGGCTGTAAGGATCGTTGTGATCAGTAATTTTCGACGGAGGAAATAAAATCGCTGCGAAAAGCTCAGAGTACAGCTGAAAGCTCGGCCTCGGGTTCTTCTCCGGATCCTCGTGGTACACCCTACTGATGTCGAGCAAACGGTCAATGAGAAGACTATCCGGAATCGGTCTCAGCCCATCCTTGCCATTCAGAAAATGCTTCCTATGTTCATTAACCACCTCGGGACTCGTGTCCACATGCCCATCCGGGATCTCGAGCGCATCTGCAACCCCCATCTCCAGCGCAGCTTGATATCCCATCGTGCCCCTTTCAATCCCGTGCATGCTCAACATATTTGGTCTTTCGCGACACCTGGGCAGGTAATGCGCTTTCCGCTTCTGATGGTGTTTCTCTATCGCAAAAGGATTCCTGCTACTTTGTATGGTAATATGCGGCCACGCCGTGACATATCCCCATGCCTCATCGTGAATTCTCCAGTGATCAGTGAGATCCCGTACCTTTATGTCACCATCCCATGGGAAGCAGACAGAAGGATGCGGCGCGCCTGTATAGTGCCCTTCTGCCCTGGCATAGAATTGAGGCGCTCCAGAGAATATCTGATGCAGTTCGTCTCTTGTGATAGGCGAGATGATGCGCTCGAGTTGGACGGAAGCCTTCGCCGGAGGCATGCTTTCCGGAAAGCCCAACGAAGGTGGGGGGGGCAGAGGTTTGTCCTTGTCCATGGGAGAGACTGGGGACTCTGGCAGTTTTGCAGGAGATGCGACTGCCTGTTCCGGTTCCGGTTCCGGTTCCGGTTCGGATCCCGGTTCGGAATTCGTTTGCCTTGGGCGCAGCTGTAGATGATGTCAGCTGTTGCTTGAGTAAGATGTCAAGCATGCCAACGGACAAGGTATCTCTCTCGTACCGTGCTCCGCCCACTCGCACGGCGGTCGGCTCGGGATTCGTGGGATAGGCTGGACAGCCTCCAGAAACTGCGGAGATAATCGCGTTTGGACTGTCTCCGTTGAGCCTTCTGATCTGTGCTGCTCTCATGGCTGCTGTCGCGACGGGAAGGAGCCTTCTGACGATCTCTTTTGGCATTGGCGTTGGCGTTGGCGTTGGCGTTGGCGTTGGCGTTGGCGTTGGCTCTGGCTTTGGCTTTGGCTTTGGAGGGACTGAGGAATGAGAAAGAAGGCATTGTTATGCCGCGGAGTAAGTAGCGAGACAGCAGTCGAGGGCATTAGATGTCGAGTATCAATCTAACGAGTGTTGCCGACCAACGGGCACAATAAAAAAATAAAAATAAAGAAAAGACCCTGCGAGAGGGAAGAAGAGCGAGCGAGCGAGCAACTGAGAATCAGAGGATGAGCGAACGACGCAGACCGGCAGATGCCTGCGGATCACGGGCGAGCTGGGGCTTTTGATTGGGCTTGCACGGCACGGCATGGCCAGGTCGTGGATTCCTCCGAAGAGTGCTCCCTTATACTAGTACTAAGTACTAGGTAGCATTAGACGCCGTCTGCAAGATGAATCTGGACTTTGGACTGCGCCATGGGAAGTGAAGGGAGAAGAGCGCAATCCTTGTTTTTGTTTGGCCCTGGCCCTGGCCCTGGCCCTGGACCTGGACCTGGACCTGGACCTGGACCTGGACCTTGACCTGGACCTGGACCTTGACCTTGCACCCCTGGTCGACCTTGCTTTAAGCTACGGCCTAGAGCCTACGGAGTAGAGCGGGATGCCGCTTCTGCAGGTAGAGCAGAGGTCGGTATTTGGTACGTACTGGTACGTAGTAGTAGTACGTAGAGCAGGTGCAGGTGCAGGAGCCGTAGCAATACCGGTAGCCGGAACACCACACTGCGAAGGTATTAGTAATCGGAGGAGATGCCGATTTGCTTGCATGAGGTCGAAGCTTGGAAGTCGGAAGATGGAACCAGTAAGATGGAAGTTGCACGTTGCACGCTGCAACTTGCAACTTGCAACTTGCAAAAGGCATCTTGATCTAGTAGTACCGTAGTAGCTGCATCAGCGGCGTGAGAGAGACTTGGCTGCCGTGCCAGGGCAATCCTCTGTCCTGTGCTCAGAGGAAAAGGAAAAAAGCAGAACAGGTACCCACCGTATACCGGTACGGTACATGTACTACTACTGTACGTAGTACAACTACGTAGTACCTACCGGTACTACTACTTGCATCTGCACATACTACGTACATACGTAGTATAAGACCAGGTACCGAAGAAGCATACCTAGGTATAGACTCGCTTCGTACAACTAAAAGCTGAGAGCTCGAAGTACCGGTAGTAGTAGGTGCCTAGGAGTGCGAGTCTGCTAGCCAGGCAATACAGATCTAATTATAGACGTGTTAAATATACTACCTACTATATACATGCATATGGTTTACGAAGTGCGACAAGGTCCTCTACGTATACAGGAAGAGAGTATCTGATACGGTACCTACGGAGAGAAGGAAAGAAAGATTCCCTGATCCTTGTCTTTTGCACCCGGTGATTCGTGAGACGTCAGGTCGGAAGTCTTATCCCATATTCGGCTGGAATGCTCTGCCATCTCGTCGTGCTATCCCATTCGAACCTCCCGGCCTCATGGAACACGTAGGATTTACCTAGGCTTGTAATGTTTGGACGCGGGTCATCCGACTTCCACTATTGTCCCCATCTCTAGTCGAAGTGAAGATGTGATACGCCTGCCTTCTGAATGTGGAGATTGGAGGTTGCGGTGCAGCTCAAGCTGAGAGCCGAGAAACGGAATCTTGAACTGCACTTCAGAAGCACCATCACACTGCATTACGAGTTGGAAACCGACCCTTCACTCCTCGAACCATCAGATGAAGCTCGCACAGCGCTGCAGACTTCTGCAGCAGCTCGAACCCAGTAATTTCAACTCGATGCCGAGCTCAGCTTCCAGAGCCGTACCCATGGTGTCACCGCAAAATCCCAGCATAGATATGGAGAACGAAGATATTGCCATTATCTCGTCTCAAATCCATGTCCCCAGATCCGTGAACTCCTGTCCTATGTAGCACTAGGGTATTCGCTCCAGACCAAACAAACGCCATGTGCAACCAGAGAATCACCTGCTATCGAACACTATGAAGGAACGTCATGAACGACCACGAAAATGTACTTGGGGTCCGGGACAATGACCAGCTCATGCTTCTTCGTTCTGAGTCGTAATAACTTGACATCGTCCTATGCGCACACCAATTAGCTTACCATCCGCCTTGGAAAAGAAAAGGTGGGGGGGGAGGGGGTAAGTGTCCAGGGGTATATCTGCATACTTCAGAATCCATATCGTGCACCAGCTCTCCCGTCGAGTTCACGTAGCCCCAAACCATCTTCGCGAAGCGCTCAGTGGCCCGATCCTCCGCGGTTCCATCCTTGGCCTCATCCTCGTTGATCGCTGTTGCCCCGGGTAGACTGGGGGAAGGTGAGGTCAAACTTGTTGAGCCAGCGGCTACCACCGAAGGCGCTGTCTCCATCGTGTAGGCAGCCGCGGAGGTACATGAGGCTGGGTTGGGGGGCACCGCACTCGAGGCAAATATAGCAGCCAGTGCCCCCGTACCGTGGAGCACGCACGCGGTAGTCCTGTCGATTGCAAGCGCGGCACTCACACCGTGTTTGGAACAGAGTCTCGCCAGTGTCTCTTCGACGGACAAACAGGGTGACGAGATGGTTGCCATGGGAGTCTGTGGGGTGGGGGTAAGAGCTGTTGTTAGTAAAGAGACTCGAGATCGAGGCTGAGGCCGAGGGATTGTTTGTTGACTTACCAGTGATGAGAAAGTGGTCTTCGGTGAAGGGTCTCTCCGGAGTGGAATGTTGAATGAAACTGATGAACTGGACTCGAGTTGGGCAACGAGCAGGAGTGGTTTTGATTCTGAGCAATTTCCTCAAGCTCTTACGGAAGTGGCAGGTAAGGCCGATGATGATTCCTGCAAACAGCGAGGTGAAGAGGAAGATCGTGGTGAGAGTGCGAGACTGAGATACGGAGAGAGAGGTAGAGATTAGCAAGGGTTAGCAAGAATTACGGATACTCTCGGCCTCACTTCGGCTCGGGGATAGGTTCTTCCAGACCGTTGTAGCCGAGAGGAACTAGGAAATAGGAAGTAGGAACTAGGAAATAACTCTTACCTTGCAGCCCGGGTCGTCAACAGGACCCACCATTGTTGTTATTGTTGCGGTTGTTGTTCTTGTTCTGGTCTTCTCTGTCACGATCTGTGTGTGGTTGTTCAAGATGGGTTCTTCTATGCGCAAGAAACGCGAGAAGAAAAAGGATTTTCAGGTTAGCACGTGACTATTCCAACCCTCTCACGTGTTATATCCTCTCACCCTCTCACCTTCTCACCTTCTCACCTTCTCACCTTCTTACCTGTTCACCTTTCGCATCCTCCTACTGACATCCTCCTACTAACGTCGCCACACAGAAAGCGAAACTGCGGGTGGGCAAGACCAAGGCCAAGGCCGATAACTTCACCGATACCAGCTTCAAAGCAAAGTGTGGGTTTTTTGGAATTCTTTCTCTTTCTGCTATTTATTCTTCTTCCGCTATATTTTGACTTCTTATTTGTCTGTTTCTGCAGCTTGGATACTTCCCACATTTTACCGTGTTGTGCTTGATTGGTATATATTACTGGAATGCTGAGTTTGATCTGGGCTTGCAATCTGGGCTTGCAAGTTGCAACTCTTCATAAGCTCTGGGTGGTTGGTTACTCCGAACCGAGAGCCTGGTTCCCCCTGACCAGCCTCGAGATTGATGCATTTGTTTGACTCGGGCTCCAATCGTCACCCGCAAAGCCTGAGACCTGGGGCGTTGATGCGGATCCAATGTACTGGGGGACGCCGGGCAAGCAGACCTGTCCATCTGGATCATCTTCCTCTCATATTCATATCTCCTCAATCAATCCTGTTCCCATGTCCTACATAGACACTAAGACATTCAAAAGACTGACATTCATACCATCATAGCCATCGTCCTGAACCAACAATCCCTGACTACGGTCGCTCCATCCACCACCCATCAACTAAACCACTACTTGTCTCTCGCCTCCTCATCCAAATCAGACACTCAGCGCAAAGATGCCATGGCATATCTCGTCTCGCGACTTTCCAATGCACCCGCCGGGACACCGACCTTATCAGCTGCCATCCTCCTCCCGAAGCTCCTCCCTCTAATTCTCGATGGCTCCACCTCAGTCCGAACCCAACTCCTCAGGCTCTTCCAGACCCTTCCTCACCGCGATGTTTCCGACCGCGCCGCCTCTGTCATCCTTTACACTCGCGCAGGTATGACGCACCTCGCGACCGAAATCCGTGACGACGCCCTCAACGTCCTCGAATGGCTCCTCGACGTCTCCGGCGACGCAGCCGTCAAGTGCCCCGGCGGCTGGGTCAAAACCCTCAACTCCTTCATGTCGATGCTCGGCTGGACGCTCGATAAATCGGTCAGCAAGTGGAGCGCGGAGAGCAAAGTCACCTTTAGCAATAAAACTAACCGCAATTTCGCTCGCCAGCTCGTTGTTCTTTCCAAGTTCCTCATGGCTGGGCTGGGCGAGGAAGCCGTTATTGAGAAGCGCACTCTCGACGAAATCAAATTCGACGCCAGAACCTACATGATCCCCACGGTGTCGGATCCTTTTGGGTATCTGAACCTGTTCGGGCCGCCGAGAGATGAGGACGGGGCGGCGTACATGGATTCTGATGCGAGGAGGAGGGTGTTCCACCAACGGTTTTTAGGGACTGTCGAGAAAGGTGCGGAAGATGCGCGGAAAATGGGGGGCGAGACGGGGAGAGCCGGCTCAACTCTTTTGAAGGTCACCACTGAGGGTATGGCGCTGTATGGAGGGTTATGATTTGTACATCAGCCCGGGCAGGGCAGGCGTGGCGTTTGGACGGGGCGTTTGGTACTTGTAAGTGTACCCACTGTGATATTGGAACGTGAGACTCGATTTGCTCACGATAAATGGATTCCTGATAGAGCAGCCCAGTCTGGTTCTGCGTCGGCTTTGTCTGGGTGGCCTGAATTTCTCCACAAGGGGATTGGCAGAACGGCCTGAATTCCCCTGTACCTGATCTCATATTGTAGAAAATCCTGGGGCCTTCGTGCCCACGCCACAACGATTCAATATCCCACGGCCCAGGCTTGGGATATTCAATGAAGTTCGTAGACGCCATCCTCGATAGGTCCCAATTTTCGTCAGCCTTAACCACGGTCTTGACACAATCAATTCGAGGCTGCTAAAATGTCCATAATTTCCTGCCCCCTCTCTAAGGGAACATATTTGAAGTAACGACATTGCTCAAGCATCAAGATGGGAGCATTTCTCCTTCTTCTCCCCCTCCCCCCTTCCTTTTTTCTACCTTTTTTTTTTGGCAAGTCCATATGCATAGCTCTGATTCGCAGCCCGGATATTATCTTCTGGATATTCGGACAGACCAAAGGCTAAATAAAGATGGTTCCTTCTTGCCAGTTTAACGCTCAAAACTAATCAGCAAGGAAATCGATAACGATCATACAATTGACAGCCACTCCTCCAACTACCTTACAAGCACATATCCAAGGACGTGTTTAACCACCTGCACTCAATGAAGAAAGAAATACTGTTGCGCAAAGCCCTCCCTCCCCCCCCCCCCGCCATCTGCACACTGATAGCAGAAAACGTATCATCAAGGCCAACAAGAAGGCTGCGATTGGGCGGGTCATGTCGTAATCAGCTCTTTAGCAAGTTTTGCAAGAAAGATGATATCCAAATGCCTAGTCTGAGGCACACTATATACGCTCTTATCTCAGACCCTCTTCTACAAAGAAGATGAGAAGCGCCAGCCAGCGTCCGCCGCCCATGCGCTTTTGCTCCAAATACCAAAGTACGAAATCTATTATAAGACGACTGACAACGTTGAACTGAAGGGCTATGGCAGATGTAGAGACTACCGTCCTCAGGAAAAGGCCACTTCGGCTTTCACCTCACTAAAGACTGCTAGCAGCAGCAGCAATCGGAAGTAGAGATCTAGGTCTATTATCAAGACCAGGATTCAATTTACCAACCACCACGGCAAGTTTTTAGTACAGGCGATGTTAGAGGAATGGTTTTCTCTTTTTTTTCAGAGTACGGCTTCCAATACTGCTGTCAAAGTCAATAGTGCTGGCTGTTATGGATTTCTTGCCGAGCATTCGATTCTGTCTCCCACCAGCTCGACAGGACTCCAGCTAGGTTCACGTTCGTGTGTTCGTGTGCGTGGGAGCTTTGAATAGGTCAAGATCTATCCAGGAGATATGAATGGATATTCATCCATTCCGGACCTAAGAAGAAACACTTCTTGTGTCTAGCGGCGTGGCATCATTATACGCTCTTGAGAGATAGTTGCGACAAGCGATTATGTATAGCATTTCGCTTGTATAGTGACTTGTTCTTTTCACGAGGTGCTTTCGGTCGTTGAGTACATCTATATTACTCCAGTCGCGGTGTGTACGGTTGCGTCTATTCAATCTCTGTCTCAGTCACTCACTCCTCGGAGTCTTCGCTTCAAGGCCACGGATCTGTTATCTGGCTACATAATTAGGTAAGGACCACAGTGATCTCCCAAGGTGGTGTCCCAACATGGTAGGGAAGCAGAGGGAGGCATTCCCTTCATTCATAGCTGCCTTGTGCAGAATCGGATACAAATGGACACCTTAGTACCTCTGAAGAAGCATTACATAAAAATTTGCGCTGAGTTTTCTCGCGTCAACTATTCAATAGGTATAGCCTTACGAACGGCTTCGATCCACATAAGTACAAACATCGTTCTCGTTGTCGTAAAGCTTTGGAGGCTCGTATTCGTAGCCTATAAAAGTACGAAGAAGCCCGATATTTTTACCAATAACCGGAAGAGGTGATTCCTGTCCGAGCTCTTTAAATCAATGGATAATCAGCTGCATATTCTTAGCTGAAACATTGATGGCCTGAATCTATTCAGCCAGAAAATTTTATATCAAGTCAAGTTTTAGCTGTCGTAACACAAGAATGGAACCCAAGTTACCAATACAGATTCCATTGAATTTGAATAATCGGCAAATAATAATAGCAATGACCTATAAGCGGCAATACTATCCGGTATGGCAACACAAGCATGTCCCGGAAAACAGTTTCTCATTTGAGACCTCAGTTCAGGTCCGTAGAATATCGTATCCCTTGCGCATTTCCCACCAATAGGCTGGACAAGGCAATTCGTCTTTATTGATCCGATCTTAGCTCTTCAGTATTTCTTCTCATCAAACGAGGGGGCATGAAAATCTGGGAATTTTGACAGATATTTTAAGTCGAAAAAAAACCCGTTCCGGCACGTGGTTTTTATAAAGTATCGTATTCTCCCAATTTTTCGTACACTTCTCAGCTCTCAATCGCATCCCTGTTTTGTTCGTACTCTTGTTCACCTATGATCTCCCGCATTCCTATCCACCCACTTTAGCTAAACTATTATAGAGCTGTAGGCTACGGTGGCATAGAGACCTTAGAAAGATTCAAACACCTGGTCCGGACACGCTTTACTCTATAAGTCTGTTAATGTCGGTAAATTCTTTTCACCCACTGCCTCGTATCCTGTCTCGACGTCTCTTGCTCCCCTTACCCTCTCGAGCTTATTACTCCCCTATCTCTTCCATGCAACACCTTTGAGTAAATATGAGCTCCTCAATCCAAATTTTATTAGGCCAGCTATATTCTAAAATCAGTCCTCCTATAGCCTCTCCTTCTTTTTCACTATCATGCTCTTCATCCTTGTAACACAACTAATTCACCGTCGGATAATCCGGGACCGGCTTCAAACTCTTGTAAGGCTTACTCCATTTCCTCAGAATCTCAGATGTTAGCCCTGAGGGATGAGGTTCGTGTACAGTTCAGCAGAAAGAAAAGCTATAATTTTTCTCGAGACTCAAGGCCGTCCCAGCCATGAATGCCCTTTTTTTCAGCTTACCCAAAATCCCAACATCAAACAAACGAGTAAACAAACAGACCCACAGCTTCTTCTCCGGCCTCGCTTATCATCCCATGTGCAGCAGCCCCTCCATGCCGCCCCCACTATTCCCTTTCCATACTAGCCTCCCTATCACGCCCCTCTCACCAAAGCGGCAAGGCTCAACACTCGGCTCCACCACGACTACTCTGCACAGCAACATCACGTCTCTAGATTACCATCAACCACCATTATTTTCAACGACGAGCTTCATGTCACCACTTCCGAGCCAACGTCTCTTTACAGACCACCTGACGAAATCGAGAACACTGCTGCGGAGGAACCGGGTACTGTCTTGAGAAGAAGGTACGTGAAGACGCGCATTTGTCACGGTGCACGTCTGTTTGTCGCATAGAGTGTAGAGGAACGGAGTGTTGAGCTACGGAGATGAGATATGTACCAGTGTGCTTATCAGATGTTGGGGTATCATAATAGGAAGTTTCCTGGTGTTTAAGTCATGTTTGGACTACTGGCGCGTCGAGGCGCGTGATGCGCTGGCTACTTAGCGAAAAGTGGACAGGTGCGACTTTACTTTGCTGTTTTAATTTTGATATCGGATTTGAAGTTAGAGATTGGGACATTCTGAACGGTTGTTTTGCAGGTTTACATGGCCAGCTATCAGCTCTTACTTGCCATCATTCTGTACCCCAGTATGGCGAAGTATGGCCTCTGACGAAGTATTGCCTCGGCTTCTATACCTCCTTGTGTTGGCGAGGCGAAAGAATTTGTTTGCACGGGCTCATGGCATTAACTGGCTGTTTGGATATGATCTTCTGCTTCTGAAGTTTGTTAGCAGTACATTTGTTGTTGGAGAAGAAGGAGCGGCCCTCCCAACGAACGGGCTTCTGTTGAGTCCTTACAATCGTCGCATCCTGTCATCTACATAGATCCTTTCAGATCTATCATTATTCGACCTATAACTAATACAACGAACAGTAATATCTCTAGATGATGGAGATGGCGGCGGAGCTATCCACGACGCCAGTTCTAATAAGAGACGACACCAAATCCGAGGACGAGAAGGAAAAAATCAAGGATGATCCCGATGCAGTGGAGCTCATCAGCGAAAACAAGACTGGTCGCAAGATTCCCGCGCCCAGGAAGATCAAAGAAGAGCCCACCGAGTATGTCAAGATTGACCTTACTCTTCCTGATGGGGAGGATGACATGTTCGAGGACGTGGATGAGCTTGACGAAGATGGCAATGAGATTGTTGACCTCACGTACGAAGGAATTGCTCATGTCAACGGGGTACGGCATTTCGTGTGCGAAGGTAAATTCGAGATGGTCTAGCGCTGCAGATGGAGGCTGACCCTACCAAAGGCTTCAAAATCCGCCAGATCCCCGAGCCTTTTATTGTCAAACGAACACTAATTGACATTTTCCGTAAGGCTCGACTCAACCACGGTGAGATCTTCGCTTACCGGTGATGCAGGATGCGTCGAGAGCAAATCCATTGTTCTTGACCCAGATTACCAGAGAGAGGAGGTATGGGACGAAGGTCGAGCTTCTCTGTTGATCACTTCCATGTTGAGTACGTTCACCACCAAACCTCTCACCACACCATATTGAAATCCGCAGTGGGATATTTTATCCCTCCCATCATCTTCAACGTCAAGAAGAAAATAGTTCAGGTCGATGGCCGGGACGAGGAGCGCTTCCTGCGTACCTGTGTCGACGGCAAACAGCGCCTGACTTCCATCTATAAGTTCATGAAGGGCAAAATCGGGTTTCTCGATACCAATACCCCTCAGAAGAAGTGGTTTTTCTGCCACCCGATCATCAATGGCCAGATCCAAATTAGCAATCGCAACGTCCTACCCAACGCAGTCAAGAAGTTCTTCGAGAAGCAATTCTTTTGTTGCTACGAGTACGAGGACTTGACGCCCGATACAGAGGAGACCATGTTCCAGCTCGTCCAACGTGGCATAGCTCTCACCCCGGCCGAGAAAATGCGAACCATGTCCACCGAATGGGCAGCCTTCACCCGCCAATTCGAAGACGACTACGCTCTCATCGTCAATCGTACGTCCTTCCTGCCTCCATTCGAATGTCGCTCGCTAATTAGTTTTGAAGTATCCAAACAAAGCCGCGCCTCTGGCTTCCGCCTCATCCTAACAATCTTCAACATGATCCGCGAAATTTTCTCATCGCCGCGCCGTAAGCGCTACTCGCGCTCCTCATCATCCCACCGTACCCTATCCACCCCTCCCTTACAAGCATCTCCACAGGCCCTTTTGCGGCTCCTTGACTCCAAAACCCCCATCCCCTTACCCTTGAAAGCAACACTGAAAGCAGTATTTACACGCTACGAGCACCTCGTCAAGCTCTCCTCCACCCAGATAACAGCCACCCGCTTCAAAGTCAACACGGACTCCGCCTTCGACCCCGCGCCCAAGTACCTGCGCGCCAACATCCTGATGGGCGAAGGCACCGGCCACGTGCGGACCTTCAGCCCCCTGGAACTCGTCTCCGCCGCGATCTTGGTCGCCGTGCACATGGAGCACCGAGACGACGACCAGCTGCTGGAAGACGTGAAAGAGATGCGCACCTTCATGCGCCGGAAGCACAAGGACCTCCGTGTCAACGCCCAATGCTGGGCCACCGGCTGGACCTTCATCACCAGCGAGATGGACGTGCGGAGGAGCTACAAGGGGAAGCTGCATCGGAGCATCGAGGGCAAGTCGTCCGGTGCGCGCATGGACACGGATGGGGATGAGAGCCCGTTGAGCTCGGTGCCTACCTCGGACTCGGAGTCGGGGTCGGAATCGCAGGAGGAGCCGCTTTTCAGCAAGAAGAAGGCTTTAGGAACGAGGTCGCAAACTCGTCGGAAAGTGAGCGGGAGTGGTGGCGCTGGTTCTAGTCGGAAGGGAAAGGGGAAAGGAAAGGGGAAGATCTTCAAGTCGGGTCAGGTTGCGAAGCGGCCGAAGCCAAAGAGGAGGAGGAAGACGCCTATCGAACCTGTGTTTGAGAATCTGGAGTAGGGCTTGTTTACAGACGGGTGGGTTTGTGGCATGGGCGGTGTTTGGTTGGGATTGTGTATTGTGAGTGTCGTGCTTGTTGTGGTATTGACGCTTGGGCATTGCATTGCATCGCGTAGAGGGCGGGGTATTGCTGCATTATTGCACCTGTAAGTACCTATTTGTATCTGAGTAAGGATGGCATTGGTGAGGATCAGGGGATGTATGAAGCTGGAGTTGTGACATCCACACATCATTCTAAGCGGTCCAACATGGGAACGGTCTTGGCCTGGACCTGGGTATAACATTGCTGTACCCAGCTGCTTTCACGCGTGTATGCTTATATGTATGTGCGTACATCCATTCTCGCACTGCTCAGGTATTAAAGAAAGGAAAATCGTCAACGCGCATTATCGCTTATATCATCATTGTGACATCCCTCCCTCTCGCATTCTACCCATTCACATCATCATTATCATCATCATCACATTCAAGCATCTACAGCTCCCCTCTCAGCCAGTCCATCCACCCCTTCCCTCCCTTTTCCTCTCCGGGCAACCTGATGCCCTCCCACTCACTCCTCTCCACACTCTTCCACTCCTCAATAGGGATCCACCCGATGTATGCACGATCTCCGAAGCCGCCAATCCAGTACACTTCTTCGACAACCAGTCTGACCCACGTACTAGTATGCACCGGATTCCCTGGGAGCCAGTACTTTGCGTCTGGGTGCTTATTGGTAAAGCATTTCGCCAGCTTGAGCGATTGGACCAGGTCAGGAGAAATTGGCTCTAGCTTCCCGATGAGCGAGAAGCGCGGGAGCGAGGCTGCCGAGTAGGGCAGGGGCCTAGGGTCGTTGGGCGAAAAGTAGGAGAGCGGGTTGAAGTAGGAGGGCTGCGGTGGAGACGGCGGTGTCCAGCTTAGGGACATGGAGATGTTGGACCCGGCCGCGACGTTCTTGAAGGACGTCGCGATGTTGATGGCGAGGATGGTGGGGTTTCCGGTGGACTCGCAGTCTGCGAAGTAGTCTGGATGGGCGCGAGTTAGTGTTTACTTACTAAAGTGAGTACTGATGGTTGTCTTGTTGCCATTCTTCGGTAAGGGCGGATCGATTTCGTCCAGCTTGACTTGGCCTCGATGTCCCGACAGCGCGTATGCTAGAGCTCTGCCCAACTATCGAAATGAGATGGACATACCCATCAGTCCAATAGGCACACCTCCCAGGCCCTGCGGTCTTTGTTCTGTCGTCTCTGCATCATCCTGGGAATGCGATTTCTCGGATGGGAAGACGGTAGCCAGTGTTGCCAGCGGTGTAAGGTGAAGTATTCTTCTTGCTTGGACCGCAGATTCCCTAGAGGTAGGGATCTTGAAGCCGGAAACAGACACTGGATTCGTGAAAACGGGGTTTGGGGAGAGGGCGTGTGCTGCTACGAGGGGTAGCAGGACAAGGAGAGAGAGCTGCTGCATCTTGCTTGCTCGAGGATCGATCTTTGGCAGCCGAGAGAGAAAAGGGCAGAGGGAGAATCTTTTGACACGAGAGAGAGAGAAAATATAGCAAAAGTTTATTGATTCAATATCACAGATAGCCAGCGCGGACACGTCGGGACTCTTGTCTTGGGAACAGAGGAGGAGGAGGCGCAAGAGAGTAAGCCAAGCAGAGGAGGCCAAGTGATAAGATTACTTGGAGGCGGATCACTGACATCGGAAGACCGAAAGCTCCGGCCTCGGCTTCGGCATACGGAGACAGGGAAGTTGGGAAGTCGGTCGGCTCCGATAAGAGCCCTTATCGCACGTGCAGCGATGTGTATTACTGAAGCAAGAAATTCGCAGGATCGTCAAGTTAGATTGAAAAAAGCCGAAGAATTACCTGCGGATTCTTGAACGTGCAATCATATTACTTTGTGGGGACCTGCAGCTATATGATGGTATGGTCCTGAGTGTCCACGTGACTGGCACTCAAAATGCCCTACCGGCCTAGCGCCGCTTAACCGAGAGTTTCAGTCCACACTCACAAATTCCAACTGACGACAGCCTCTTCCACGACATCGACAACAACAAACAACCTGTAAGTACCCATCGATCCATCATCTCTCCGAATCAACGCAACCCTGCCCTCCCGAATCTGCAATCTGCGAAACCTGCGAACCTGGGAACGGCGCACAGCGCGAAGGAGAGGCAACAGCAGCTAATCTGATATCGCCGCCCAGATCGGAAATTCACATTCAGCATACCGATAGACCGCAAATATGGGAAAGGTTCACGGATCCCTCGCTCGTGCCGGAAAGGTCAAGTCTCAGACACCAAAGGTACGATACACGATATTTCTTGATGGGGGGCAGAGTGGCGGCATGGGAAATGAAGAGCGCATGGATGCGAAACCATGTGGCGATGGGTCACTGCTGGCGGAGGACTGCGTATTTTCAATGCCAGAGGAACGAATGCTGATGGTCTACGCACAGGTTGAGCCCCAAGAGAAGAAGAAGACCCCCAAGGGCCGCGCGAAGAAGCGCATCACATACACCCGCCGATTCGTGAACGTCACGCTCACCGGTGGCAAGCGCAAGGTTTGTCGTTCCTATACCCTCGACAATCCAACAGTCGACTAACTCCATACACAGATGAACCCCAACCCCACCACATAAGCAGCCAATTTTCGGTATGGAGGGAGGCTCGGGCGTTTGCTTGTTTGTTGCTTGGACTGGAACGGAGATGCGACTCATGCATTTGGGTCAGATTGACGCTCGGCTCTGGGGGGGAACTCTCGGAATGCCGCTGCAGAGAGATGGCTGGCGTCTTTGTGTATATTTGACACCCGAGACGAGATAGATGCCGAGGTCTTTTTTTCGCTGGGTCATTCGCAAATGCAGTTTGGTCTTCTCCGGATGTGTGTCACCTGCAATGATGCGGATCTGTCGTGATGTTCGCTGGTTATAGTGCCCGAGGAGTGTTAGTTCACGATTTCGGCTCTAGCAAAGCCATGTGCCGTCTTGGATCCTTGACGTCGCTTCTGCTCGTCCAGATGTCACAACTCCCAAGCTTCAGCAGCCGCCCCGACAAGCCTCATCTCCTCAAGCGCATCAATTGCCTCAGTATTCTCTCTGCCCTTGTGTATCTTCCGAGGCATTTACCGTTTACTTTCATTCACCTTCACATTCAGTTTCTATCACAGCCAACCAGCTATCTGTTGAGAAGTATCCACCCGCCTCCAGAGTCCTTCCACACCTCGTTTTCGCCTCGACTTCGATCCGACCTCGTCTACTCCTCGGGCCCGTCAAGCAGCTCCTCTCCCACTCACCCACCCAATCGTCATGGACGGCCCACGCTGTATTGGGAAAACACGGGGGATGTCATGCAATGCAATGCAATGCTGTGCTCTTGGCTGCAGCGTGACGGTATTTTTTGGACCCATATATATATATATATATATATATATATATAAACATATGTGCGAGTGTTCGATGCTTGTTCATCACTTCTGCTTTGGAAATTCATCTCGCTCCAAGATACAAGCTATTTGCTCACTGGGAGACGAACTAACTATCTCAGCTTTGGCACGAGATCTTCCCCTCAATTCCGCTCGTCAGACTCGACTCAGTAACTTCATCTCCGAATATCACAAAATCCACCACTCCAGACAGCACCGACCACCATGTCCACACAAACCTCGGCTACCACTACCTCCTCTTCCCCAGACCCAGAGAAGTCCCTCGACTCCCTCAAGCCCACCATCTCGCAGCACGAACTACACCACGAGCACGGCATCAAGACCATCGATTTCGCACCCGGCTCCTACGTGCAGTCCAACAACGCGTCCTCGTCTCCGTCCCTGTCGTCGTCGTCGTCATCGTCATCGCCGGGAGACGAGGTCGAGTTGATGCGGAGGATGAGTCTGGGGAATCGGGTCCAGAAAATGTTGTGGAATCCCAGAGCCAAGTACACGCGCCGGGGAAAAATTGCAAGGGCGTTGGAGAGAGACCGTGTCATCTGAAGGGGTGAGGCGTAGGAAGCGTGGATGGGGAGAATATAGCTAAGCGAGCGTAAGTGCTTCACATGTTATTCTGCGGAGATCTTTGTTGACAATCTTCTGAGTATTTGGCTGTAAATCCACGATGATAAGGCGGAGCGGGGAGCTCGGGCTTTGGGCAAGCAGTCGCCGTGCATGAGCTGGAGGCCTCGCTCCGGAGATGGACTCCGGGACGATCATCTATTGTGCCTGGCCCAGAAAGCGGTCGGTGGGTATTGAAGGGCGAGGTGCGGCGATGGCCATACCATGCTACATTCTGGCTATTGCCTTCTGATTTCAACAAGCTCTCGTCGGCATCCAGAGCCTGTCGCTCGCGGTCGGAGGTAATCGCTTGCGGGCAACTGTCCCAGGGAGGTTACGCTGGAGCCGTTCAGCTTGGTACCTAGCACCGTGGCCACGCGAGCAATTCACTTTGAACATATACAAAAATCAAGTGCCGGTCCACGATCATCAGCTATGCCCAGTCAGTTGATCGCAATCGCCCTACTCTCTTTCTCGTTTCCCATCCCACGTCAACATTTCCACGCTGCTCGAGACGACTCTCTTTCTTCCCCACTTCTCCACATTGTCAATGGCATGAGATGACCCGTACCTATAGCGGTAGCGCCATCACGGTCTGTCAAATCGATACACACCTCGCTATCTGTCTATCCACTTCTCAACAACCCAAGCCCTTCCATACTTTCCACGTACTTCAAAAACACAGCGGAAACAACCCAATGTTTCTCCATGCAAAGGATGTGGACAAGATTTTTCCACCCTCCATTAGACCAATCAATCCCCTACGACAGGAAGTCAAGCTCTCCGTCACAAAAGCGTGGGAAAAATTGTCGAGCTATGCTTAGAACTTTCCCGCGCTCTTTTCATGGCGCCGGCAGGAGAATGCTTTGTATGTAAAGTGAACTGAAGTGAAGAAGCTCACGAGTGGTTCGGGTCTCGGTGGTTTCTGTTCTGCGATGGCGAGTTGGCAGGTAGCTCGTGGTTGGGTTTTTAGGAGGAGTTGTTGACTTTTTTTTCTTTTTTTTTCTTTTTTTTTTTCTCTAGCTAAGCTAAGCTGGACTAAATACAGAAGTATTGAGGCAGCCTTGGTCATGCGCAGATGAAGCCATGTCTTCGGATACGCCGTTAGACGCGGTCGTCTCGAGCGCGAACTTGTCTTTGGAGGATGTTGCTTTATTTTCAGCTAGCAAGCTGTATATTGTTGTCAAATTAGTTTGCTGAGTTACGATGATGAGCCGAGCGTTCATCTGCTTCTCTTGCGTTTAGTGTTAGGGGTGTTTGCTTTCTCTTTACAGCACAGGATCTGAACCGTTTTATATCACCTTTTCCCAGCACGGCATCTACTAGGTACCTCACTATTGTTTCTCTTTTCTTTTCTTCAATCACTGTGTTTGAAACCAATCCGAACCTAGGATTTTATTCTACGGGTCTAGCTGCTGTGAATAGTCAGCCCACGATCTTGGGCATTTGCTTGCCGTAACCTGCGATCGCGTTTATCATTTTCTTTCCCCGTCACCTCGGGCAGTCAAACCAAGCCAGGGGGTTCTTTCTACGCACACAGGAGAAGTCCTCGACCGCCTGTGATGAATCCGTAGCCAGGAGGACTAGAAATATGGAGAACCAACAAGCTATTCCCGCATCATTTCAGTTCGGGCCTGGACCCCTCAGCAAGGCCAAGCCCACCAAATCTTCTTCATCCAAATGCGATGGAGCTCAACCACGCGTGCATACTACTCAGCCAGTCCTTATTCATCCCGGAGACAGATAGACATGTGTATGTATTCCTTTCCTGCCCCAGGCCGCCTTCACCAAGTCGCGAGGACGTCACCAGCGCGAGTTACTATCGGGGAATACCTACTGCGGAATTCGTTCGAGTCATTGTGTGCTGTGCACAGTAAGGCGTCAGTATGCTTACTTCTAATATGAACTGTGAAATTCACCCACCTCAAGGTTATATCTTGCGATGATACAGTGCCCACTTAAGCAAGCACAGCAAGGTATTCCTTAAAGAATCAAGGAAGGCTTGACTTCGCCCAGAAACACAAAAGCTGCGTGCTCATGTCGTCTTGGAGCAGCACGACAGGGAAATTTGATGATTCTCCCCATCTCTGCAATCCTTTTGTACTCTTGAATGTTAGTAATTTGGCTGCGGGTACCTGGCGCTGTTCTTGGGATCTAGTTATCTCTTTGCCATCGTTTCTTTCACTCTTGTCGAGGACTTCTTGTCGTGTCTTGCCTCCAAGCCTTTGTGGTTGATACTTTAGAACGATAGAATCCACCAAGTCTGAAGATACACCTTCGCCGAGCCTGTAGAGCTCTTCTTGTCTTTAATTCATATACGTTATATCTTTATATGTGAACACGGCCGCTATCACAATTCTTTGATCTCTTCTTTGCAGAGTTGATGCGATTCTAAATGTTTCTTTCTTGTCTTCATGTTTTTTTTTATACTTCTTGGGGGGTTTCAAGCCTCGAGAGAATGGTATGTGCCGCTTTACCCGATTCGATTTCTAGGTGAACTTCTCGGTGCTTCAGATATTCCACGTTTGCGTAATAATACGCTTCTGCTTCTTACGCCGATGCGATGAGAGATACCCTTTCTCCCACAATAGAATGGCAACATACGTCGGTGACGGCAGTCCCTGATTGCTTGTGATGGCCTGAGTTTAAGGTACTAGGTGTACCTACTTTAACTATCCGAAGATGATAGCAAGGGAATCCATCAGCCCACTGTTGTCATTCTACCGCCTGCTTGTCCGAAAGCAAAAGTTTCGGTACACCCCCCGTCGGAACCAAATACCTCTCCACACAGTTGCTCAGCGATACCGCCAGGTCCTCGTGCGTGTTCTCCCTCTGCCAGAATGCATTCTCCACCTCTCTCTCCGCACTTCCCCAGTCCTCTCCCTCTTGTTTCTCATTCTTCGTGCGAACGTCCCTCGTATCTCCCTACTAGCACTCTATAAAGGCCTTCCCTAGCGACCCCCGCATCACCCATCAGATTCACATTCACTATCATATTCTTCTCCACCCCTTTTCGGAATCGCATGAATCAAAGAGTAGGTAGGCAGGTAGTATACAAATACGCTGTCTGCTTGCCAACTCACATTCTGTCCTGTGCAGCTTCTCGCAATGAAGGTCTTCTGGAAGCACGGTCGGCACGCAGCCAGGTCCGGCAAGGCAGACAGCCGTCCTCGCAGCCGAACGTCTTTCGCCATTCCGAGAGGCGGTGGAGCGAAAGAGACGGATGCCGCTCTGTTACAGATCGGTGATCGAATCAAGTGCCATGCTCGAAACGCTGTTGTCAACCTCCTTTTTTGCTATCAGCTCGGTATTTCTTGTTGAAGGCACCGGCCGGGGTTGAGGGCTAGCGGAGACTGTGCCGAAATCTCATGGCTTGTAATACTGCTGTGAAGCGCAGAGAGAGAGAGAAAGTCATCTGAGTTCTTGCGTCGCCCCCACCCTGGACCCTCTGCAGAGTCCTCCATCTGGTGCCGCCGTTTGAGGTAGATGGGGGCGCGAATCACCGTTCCGTACCGAGTCTGAACTATAGCTTCTGAACTCGCATTCCCTCAAATCTTCTTGCTCTGCTGCTAATACCGTCATCACGGAATCTGGTGTCAGAATCCAAAGAACCGCTAACAGATGACTAGAAGACCTGAATACCAGATCTGAGAGTGGAAAAGCACAACCCACTCGGTCCGTACTGACTGACTAGAATGCGACGCCACAGCCCAACAAGGAGAACGTCTAGCATTTCGGTCTTGCTATTGAGCTTTGGGGTAGCCAGAAGGCTGTCTTGTTAAGGACTCGATGCGTAGAGGCGGGGGGCGACAGGACATTGAGCGGCGGGAATCACTTCGACCAGGTCCAATTTCCGAAGATCACCTGCTTCGCCGCTCCTCATTCACTTCTCGGACCCCAGAGAGAGAGAGAGATATATAGACTCACCGGCGGGGCGGGCTGTGAGAACCCAAACCTCCGAAAAGCTTTGTTTGGGAAAACTTCCCACCGAGAGGCGCCACGAGCGGTGGGTTTGTTGCCGGTTCTGGCTCCCTACTACTCGAGCCTTGAGTCCTTGTGATATATACCGTGTCTTCCTGCTTCCCCTTTTACTTTGATAGTGTTGATCGTGCAAGGTATTCAGATACTATGCGAGGTGTTTTGAAAGCAAGACCAAAGAGTCTGTTGACCTTTACGTGCTGTCATGGATTCCTCACTGTCATCTCTTCCGCTTGTTTTTTTTTTCTCTTTTTTCTTTTGCTAGGATACCTAGCTCGATGAGCCACCACTCATCGATATCTCCTCCTCTCAAACATTCAGGCACCAAAGTTCTTCCTTCTTCTTCCTACTCTCCCTCAACTCTATCAGCCGCCAGTTGCTTGCGCACCTCTCTCTCTCCATAAGCGACGTCTCCGAACTTCTGGTTTGGTTGTTGAGGTTTCTCAACCATAACTCCCCTCCCCCCTTTCTTCTTTCTTCCACCGTGACAAAAGCGGTGGATTTATAGCAGCAGCAGCAAGTCACGCCGGAGAGGCCGAGAACAGCCTCGCACAGGTATTCACGTCAACCCACTAAGCCCCGCCCGTCACGAGATTGATTGATTCACTCTGCACCTTACCTACCTCCCTTACCGACACCAGATCCGGGACCTCGCTTAACCAACCACCTTCACGCCCCTGCCGCGAGCGAGCGACACTTTGCACTCATACCGGTACATTCACTCCCCTACACACAGTCTCCTCCAGGCCCCAACCCCCAGAGAGATCTCCCAGCTGAACACAGCCAGCCCGCTTTCAAGCCGCGGAGAAGAGACGCACGCCGCGATATTGCAGAGTCGAACAATCTATATCCCTTCCTGGCTCACGTTCACTCACCCTCTAAGCGAGTGTGTGTCAATCTATTTAATAAACGAGTCACACTTGCCTCGCCTCCTCTACCTAATTCAATCCAATCCAGTCCCTCCTTCCCAAAAAGCATAAGAACCCCCCCATGCAACCCCCTCCCTCCTCTTCCCCAAAGAACCAGAATCTTTCGGAGTCAGGCTGGAGGAAGTCGCACCCGCCACCACCACCCCACCCGAGAGCGAGCGCTTCGCACATACATCTCCAAACTCCACACTAAGATAAGACAAAATAGATGCAGGCTCCTACCCGAAACCCAACTTACAACTAAACAAACAGCAAGAGCCCTCCTTCCCTTCCCCCTCGCTCAGAATACCTGCTCTGCTGTGCTGTGAGCCCCGCCCTACGCGCGAAACGGGAAACTGGAAACGGGAAACTGCTGCCGTTGGGTATCGCTGCTGTCAGCGAACGTGCCCTTTCTCTCTCTCCCCCTCCCCCTTTATGATTATTATTATTCTTCTTCTTCTTCTTCTACTACGACGACGACGTACGCTCTTCACTTTTTCGTTCCAGCTCTAGCTTGCAGCACGCTGGGTAAGTAATCTCTCTCTCTCTTTTTTTTTCTTTTTTTTTCTTTTCTTTTCTTTTCTTTTCTTTTCCCCTTCCAGCCAGTCGTCGACGTTCCATTCCACGCCACGCCACGCTACGCTACGCCATGCTACGCCCGCTGCCCGATCCGACGTACACATGGCCCCGCGCATTTCCAGAATCAAGAGCCTGCCTGCCTCTGGCTCTGCTTCCATACTGCTACGCCCTTCCTTTGATCCGCTCTCACAATCATTTCTCCCTGTCCTTTCCCGTCCGCCTCGCAGTCATTCCGAGATGCGTACCACGTGAAACTAGCATGAGAATATGTTCACCAATCCAAGTCGCAAAACATCCATTACTATGATCTGCTCTGCTCTGCTCTGCTCTGCTCTGCTCTGCTCTGCTCTGCTTCCTCCTCTCCAGCTTCGTCAGGTGCAGGCTGCTTGCTAGCTAATTCCCAATTCCTCATCAGATTACACCGGCCCCCTCCATCCCCATCCCCTTCCCCATCCCCATCCCCATCCCCACCTGCGGCACCACCTCTCGCCCCGCTCTCCCATACGCTCGTAGAAACCCATAATCAAATCTATCATCCAACCCAGGTATCAAAATAACGCGTCACGTCGCGCCCAGATTGTCTATCCGCAGAACCGCAATCATGAGAGCAATCAAAAAGTTGGGGTGTAAGAAAGGAGTACTAGTCATCAGCCTTCATTCGTATCCCCCCTCCACCCCCCCCGTCGCCCCGTCGCCCCCCCTTCGTTATCCAAGAAGGTCAAGCCAGACCCAAAACAACAGATGGGCAAGGCAAAAGAGCAAGCGATGGTATCAAAAAAAAAAANAAAAAAAAAAAAAACCGCAAACGTCAAACCATCCACATAGTCCCCCTATCCAAAAAAGGAGAATCTTGAGCCAAAATGAAGACGTTAGGCTGGCGAAGAAAGAACCACCCAGCCCCATTTCTATGCAACCCAGAACCGATTCGAGAGTCGTGAATCCCCAGTCGTTACGAATGACGCAGAGCAGATAAAGCACAGACAAGCCCCCCGTTCGTGTAGCCGTTGCTTCCCACCCACTTTGTCTCCCGAGGATGATGATGTGCAGGTGAAAGGAAAGGTCGAGACGGATCCAGGCAGAGGTCACAGACTCATCGTCAACCACTCCCACTCCTGGGGGCCGGCGCCCCCAGCTCCTGCTGGCCCCATGCCGGGCGGGGGCCCCATTCCGTTCATGCCGTTCATGCCCGGCACAGCCATTCCACCAGGGCCAATCGGTCTCGTGGTCATGCCAAAGGTGTTCGCCAGTCCAATATTCGTCATGCTCCCCGAGTTCACCAAGCTCATACCCAGAGAATTCGCAGCCTCGTTGGAGCCGGCGGAGTTCTCTGGGGAGTCAACGTCCATACTCTCGACGGCGCTGACAGATTTGCTGTGCCGGCGCTGGCGTTTGGGAGCCACGGCGACACTCGCTCGTGGCGTGCTCGAGGCGGCTGCTCCAGGGCCTGGAGTCGCTTTGGGAGGAGCGGCGGCGATGGGGACAACCCCCTTTCCTCCACTGACGCCACTGGCAGCAGCAGAGGATCCCGCGGAACCATGGTAGGACGTTGGTGTACCGACCGTGCTTCCCCCGCCGTTGGATCCAGATACCGAAGGCGGACTCTGGCTTTCGTTTACGCTTCTCGCGGGCGCACTCGTTGGAGTCGTCACTTGGGTCGCAGGAGCTGCACTCGTCGACACAGTTACGACCGAATTCTTCCGAGTGCCGGCTCCGCCTGTCGAGGTCGGATTGCCAGCCTTCTTCGAGGCACGCATGGCCGTACCAGCCGTGGCTCCAATGGGCAGCGAAGCACCTGATCCTCGATTTCGCTTCTTGATAACATCCGTTTTCAGCGAAAGTGGCCGGACGACACCGTGAAGCTTCAAGAACAGCCCACAAGCATTACACAGGGGGTGGCCTTCCGGGTTCCTCCTCCAGAGTGGCGTGGTTTGCGTGAAGCAGTTGGTGCACGTCGTTGGAACGCCATTCTCGCCCTGCGCTGCAGCTCCAGCGAGGTTGGTCGAAGAGCCGTGTCTTGAGCCCCCAGGAGAAGATGGCCGGCTAGGAGCCACCGAAGAGAAACCAGACATGTTACCCTCGGGCGGCGAATTTGGATTCGATTGTCCCATTGGCTGCTCGAACATCCCGCTTCGCTGTCCCAGCAGAGCGGTGTTCGGTGTCGAGGCATTCCGCGGGATCTTCTGTCTTCTGTCGCTCCTTGATCTGTTGTCCGAGACAGACTGGGCAGAGCCGTGCGATCTCCCCAGTGAGCCCCCCGAGCCATCCCAGTCCAGCGGCGAAGACATATCGGCAGTGCCTCCCAGCGTAGCCTGTTTCCTTGGTAGCCCCCCCGGATACCGAGCCGCCTGCGTATTAAATTGTCCCGGTAGAGTAGCATCCCACTGCAGTCCGCCGGGGCCCATCTCCATGTTCGGGTCATCCAGTGGCGACTGTGCAAAGTCGTGTTGCATCATGAGCGTCCTATCAGCGAAAGCCGCCCCCTCCTCGTCCTCGTTATCCGAGTCGCCTCCGAAGCTGAACATGTTCTCATGGCCCATGGGAACAACCGGTGAGCGGGCGGGATGATCAGGCTGAAAGACCTGCGTAGGATCTATGTGTTGCGACATGCTGAACGAGGTCGGAGAAGTAAACGAGCTGGAAGGGCCAGCCGACGTGACCTGAGTGAAAATCGAGCTTCCATTGGCATTATACATGTATTGAGGAGCCAAGGCATTGGCAAGGTGGGAAGAGCCGTGGTTGAATGCGTGCAGTCGCTGATGTCGCATATCCATCCCACTTTGTTGCTGTTGCTGCTGCTGCTGCTGCTGCTGCTGCTGCTGCTGTTGTTGTTGTTGTTGCTGCTGCTGCTGTTGTTGTTGTTGCTGTTGTTGTTGCTGCTGCTGTTGTTGTTGGAGGTACATTTGCTCGTTCTCTGGGATGGGCTGCGGCGTCGAAACGGCGGATGGATAAGCACTTCCCGGGGGGGAATAGTAGTTATTCGAGTTCATCGAGGACGAGGGCATCGAGAGATTATTGTACATGGCAGAGAAAGGACCGTGCTGCACGAGGGGGGACTGTCCGGGCGAGAAGGGAAAGCTGGACTGGAAAGGGCCGGCGGAGGTAATGATGGGATCGTGCTCCAGATTAAAGGTATCGAGTTGAAAGGCGACACCCGTGTTGGATGGATGATGTAGGTCAGGCGGGTGGAGTTGATCGAGAGAATACTCATGCAGCTCCTCCTCGTGGTTGGGTTCGCTGGGGATCATGATGCTGTTGACAGCTGGGACGTGGGGGGAGAAATCGGCGGGACGTTTCCGGTTCTTTAAGTTATATTTAGTCAGTACCAGCCCGGTCAGGATTCAGTCGGTGCCTATCTCGCCTGTCTATCTATTGACTTGACCCTTGTCCCCGAGAAAAAGCATGTTTTCAATTTAACCCAGATAGGAAGCAACTCACGCGTCTGTCATCTATGCTCGTCTTTCGTACATGGCGTTGAACATAGTTAAATTCGTCCTGGTGACGAGGCACCGGTACGGATTGAGGGATCGCAAACTGCGCTGGCTCCTTGCGCATCTTGATGGGGATGGCCGAGGCGACAGCATGGGACGACTTTCCAGGCTCCTTCTCCTTGTCCTCTACCTTCAGTACGCCGGGAGAAGGCGACGTGCCGAGACCAGCTGGGGTCGAGATATTATCCGAGAATATATAGTCGTCGATGTTCATCGGCGTATCCAGCTGCGGGAGTTGTTCTTCCGCCGCATCCGGCGGGCCCGAACAGTTCCTCAACTGCGCGATTCCACTGGGCGCCGACAGGGTCTGCGGCTGTTGCTGGGAGTTCCTGATAGCAGATGTTAGACCATCTATCTCTCCGTCGGTGTGGACACGGCGGTTCTCGCTCGCATACCTTGCCGCCGCCGCCGCCTCCAGCTCCTTCGCTTTCCGTAGATTCATCGCCATCATGCGCCAGGTCAGGTTCTCCATGCGCTCCGAGTTGGGTAATTGCTTCTTCGTCTTGCTGTACAGGCGCCATATCTGTGTCGCGAGCGGATCTTTCCTCTGCATCTCGTCGGGGCTGTCGAGCGAAGTGTCGCCCGCATCATCATTCCAGGTCGGAAAGAAGCTCTCGCGCAGCAGCTCTTGGCGCGCGCTACTGGCGGCCGAGAGATCGAGACTCTCCAGCTCACTCACGCTCGAGTCTGTAGTGGTAGCGCTGGGGGTGGGGGGTATGAGCGAGGCGTTCGCCGTCGCGGCCGAGGCAAAGGGCTCGTCCGAGAAGGAGGTGGCGGGCCTGCGTGGGAAGCGGTAGTCGTGCTCTGTTGTAGAGGATGCGGAAGAGGGTGTAGGTTGAGATTGAGCCTGTGCCTGAGCCTGTGCCTGAGCCTGTGCCTGTGCCTGTGCCTGTGCCTGTGCCGGTCCATGGACATATTGCTTGCTGCTCATCATTGTCATTGTGTCGGAAGGTTCAAAGGCTCGCTGCCGCAGTCCCTGGCGCTCCCCGTACTGTGCCACGCCCGACATCTCTGTTGACTGGAAAGCACACACCTTGCGACTCCAGCCGAATGGATCCTCCTCCTCTTGTTTGGCAGTACTGGACGGGGACGGGGACGAGCAGGCGGGTGGTATATCCAGGTTGACGCCACGGTGAGTGAGGATGAGAGATTCGAGTTGTGAAGTGGGGGATGCGGGTTGCGGGTTGCGGGCTGCGGGCTGCGGATGTGATCGGATGTGTGCCGAGCCTGGTACTGCTTGCTCGCTTTGCTTGCGCTAAATCGAGTGAGTCGAACAAAGGATTTCCGATCCCACCTGTTGTTCCCTTTCTTCTTGTTCTCCGTCGCGACCACGCTGTACGCCGTACGGGAGCAGCTCTCTCCGTCTTTCCCTCTCGTACGCGGGGAGGAGGGGTTTTTGGAGGGTCGGGCAGAGCAGCGCAGCGCAGAGCAGCGCAGGACAGGGCAGGGCAGGGCCGAATAGCGCCGTACGGTAGAGCCGACCGAGTTCTCCGTCGAGGGAGAGAAGGCGACGGGATTCGGCGACCTGTGTGGTGTCGTGTCGTAATAGATACTTCAGATACGAGTTCTGTCCGTCTGTGTATAGGTATAAAAAATATATATATATATATTTATATACATATACATATACTCTTGATCGTCGTCAAGCGTTGTTGAGAGGAAGTCTTGACCTCGCTGTCGGGGTTGGAACAAGACGGGAAGTGAGTTGAGTGGGTAGCAAGTACAGTAGGTAGAGTTAGAGTACGGAGCGGTGTTAGTGGCTGGTAGTGGCAGCGTAGGGTGTAGTAGTAGCTTTAGCTTTAGTTACTACAAGGATTTGGTAGTGGGGCAGGGAAGGGCACGGGGCAGGGCAGGGAGGGGCACGGGGCAGGGCAGGGAAGAGGCCAGGACAGGGCAGGGAAGAGCCGGAGACAGGGCAGGGTAGATTTTAGCCAGGGTAGTAGGGGTCGCACTGTAAATAGTACGTAGTAGTAGTAGTAGTAGTAGTAGTAGTAGACCGGACCGGACCCTATAACGTAAACTCGATACAGGCCTGTATCATGATGCAGCCGATGTTCGCAGCATGTACTTGTACGAGGTCATCAGGAGTACGTACGTACTACCACGGCTGTCATCCAGGCCCTCTAGTGAGGGTCCCGTGACGCGCGGGAATTCCACTGTTGTTAATTTGTAGTGGTAGTAGTACAATAGTTGTACCGAGCGAGCACCATGCGCGCTTCGAGTGGGGGGGGGGGGGAAATAGTAGTACTACTAGTACTACAACTACTACTAGTAGCTGCTGGCGTGCAGCAGAGAGACAGGGTCTCCCTGCCTGCCGGCCGTGTCAGTGCGGACCCAGCGGCGCTTTCAAAAGAAAAAAAGGAAAGAGAATATATAAAAAAAAAAAAAAAAAAAAAAAAGAATACTTACACCATCCGCTCGCAATCGACCAAGTGAAGCGAGACTGGAGAATGGCCACAATCGTCTCAACAAGAGCCGCTCCTTCTCTTTTCGACTTGCAACTCGGTCGCGGTACCTGCCCTGCGGCCACCTTTGCTTCCTCCAACTGGGCTCCAGATTGCCAATGGGGGCCTCGACCCGCCAAATCCTCGATCCGTACAGAGCTGGCCCAGCAGCATCGCTGTCTCGGCGATGTCGAGATCCACTCTCCGCTCTCCGCTCTCCGCGCTCCGCTCTCCGCCCTCCGCGCTCCGGCCTCCGCTGTCCCTAATCCCCTACGTAGTGCCGTCTCCAGCCGGGTCGAGCTGCTCTCCTGGCGGTTGTCCTGGTCAATAACTACGTCGTACTAGTACGTAGTAGTACGTAGTAGATGGTTCTCTCCGGCCGCCGAGGCGAGACAAGCGATAGACTTCCCCCGCCCCGGCCAGCATGGATGGGCATCCACGAGTTCCTCGGTCCTCGCCGCCTTGTTGGATCCCAAATCCCACTACAAGTATGCATTTGATTCACCTCAGGCCACCGCCCACCGCCCACTGCCCACCGCCCTCAGCCCACAGCCCACACAGGCACAGGCACAGGCACAGGCACACCCACACCCACAGGCACACCCACACCCACACCCACACCCACACCTGGCCCCACCATGCCCACCATCCCCACCATCCCCACCATCCCCTGCTCCCACGGGCCCTGGCCCCGGCCCTGGCCCTGCCTGACCTGCATCGCGGGATCAAAAAAGTGTGGGGGGGCGTCCAGGCCTTTTTCTGCATTGGCCCTCCCCTGGGTAGCGGCCCTCACTCAAGAGCTCCCCCCCCCTTCCAAGAGCCCCCCTCCCCCCCCTTCCAACCCTTCGGTAGTGAAGGAGGGGCAAACCGGGAAAAATAAGTAAAATGAAAAATGTTTAAAAAAAGGGAACAAGACGAAAAAAACAACAACAAATAAAACAAGAAAAGAAAAAGAAGAAAAAAAAAGAAAAAAAAGAAGAAGAAGGAAAATGAGAAAAGCAAAAAGGAGGTCCATCCGCATCGCTGGCTTTCTTCCTTCGGATGGCCCTCAGCAAAGAAAGTGCCCTCGCCGCCCTCGCCGCCCTCTCCGCCCTCCCCGCCCTCCGCTGCTGACTCGCGACGACGGCCGCCGCCTGCTGCTGCCTCCAACCAAGGCAGCGCAAGTGCTCCACTGCAGTGCCCTCTCTCTGCATGGCACTGCACTGCACTGCACTGCACTGTATAGCACTGCATAGCACTGCACTGCATACTGCACACTGCACCACAAGCGAAGGGAATCCATCCGCTTGCATATACGTCCAGTGTGTAGGTACGTAGTAGTACTGTCTGTATCAGGAGGTAGGACAACTACTTGCCTGTACTGTTTCGCCCCAAGACCACCACCGACCCGATCGCTTCGAGCTGGGACCCCGACCCCGACCCCGACCCCGACCCCGACCCCGACATTGTTCAAAAGGCCACAGACCGTGCAGAAAAAGTAAATAAAGAACGTAGTAGTAGTACTACGTAGTACAATCTGTACTGACAGAGTACTTCTCCTTCCGCTGTAGCTCCAAAATAGCCGACCGGCCGCGAAATCCCTCCGTGCCAGGCCCCCATCCCTATCCCCCATCCCCCCCCCCATCCTCCAATCCTCAGATACGCGGCCGGCGACTGGGCAATTAGTAGTAGTAGGTACTACCCGTACATACAGTCCGGAGTTGCAGCTCGCCCAAAGAGTGCGCGACCGGGAAGCGCTGGCTGGTCTCGTTCGCCTCCCCGAGCAGTCCATCAACACGCAGGGAGTCGATTTCCTCCTATACGAGTGTCCTCTCGGGGAAGTTGCGGCCATGTGGTCTCGTCGCGCCCTCGCGCGGGCTGATGGATTTCCTGGTCAGCCCGCCAGCATCCGCAACCCAGATGATCGGATGCCGTCTCATCCTGCCATCCACACATGGCGAGGCGGGAAGTCCTGGCACGCCCACGCCCTCGCCCTTGCCCACGCCCTTGCCCACGCCCTTGCCCACGCCCTTGCCTATGCCCACGTCCACGCTCACGCCGCACGGCATCCCGAGTATGAGGGTGGGGGTACCCTGGAGCAGAGCAGCGAATAACAGTGGTACTGTCTGTCCTGTAGCTACAGCCGGAGGAGCGTAAGCTTCGCCTCCAGCATTCGCTCGGCACGCAACTCAGAAACAGGTTGTGGTCGTACGACCGGCAGTATCGTACAGGACAGGACAGGACAGGACAGGACAGTAGTGTACAGTAGTGTAGACTGGCCCGGAGTCGGAAGGCCTTTCGCATTCTGGAAAGTGTAATTAATGTGCCCTGCCCTGTCCATACTCTTCCTTCGCTGACATCATAACAGCAAAAGAAGCAGAGCCGAGGAAGATACTGTACTTCGTAGTAGAAGTACGTAGTACGTAGTAGTAAGTAACGTCGATGTCCGTGAGCTGAGAAAAACCGGACCCCTGATTTGACATCTCGAAGACAGCCGAAACTGTGATCATGCCCGCCTCCCCCCGGATCATTTCTGTATCCCGAGGTAGTAAGTAGGTAGTAGGTAGTACCGGTAGGTACGTAGTACTTACGTAGGACGGCGTACTTCTCGAAGTAACAGGTGACAGCGGGTGGGTGTGTCGTCTCGTATCGAGGAGGAAGCCGTTGCGGCTGGGAAACCCCCGATAGCCTGGTTAGTGAGTGAGTGGTTGGGATGACCTACGGAGCGTAGTCCCGTCTCTTGTGTGAAGAGCGGCTGGCGATGGATCTGTGCAGCGGCGCTCAGAAGCCACACGACACCACACCACACCACACACACCAAACAAAGGCCGTTTGAGTCGTCCATCCATCCATCCATCCATCCACCCACCCATCCCATCCATCCTTCCATCCAGCAGTGCAGTCCGAGTTCTTCCGAGCAAGATACTGCCTTCCCCCTCCCTTACGGTAGGGCTACGAGACGGACGGTGATGGCTGACACGGCAAGTACGCGGTACCTACATTTCTCAATTGGTCCTGCAGCCTCTGTCTGCTTTGGAAGAAGGCTTGACTCGTCAAGAAGAAGGGACTGACTGAAGTCAGATCGCAAGGTGGTCTCTGCACACCATCATGGACGGATTCAGAATACTAGTAGGTCCTAGGTCCTAGGTCCTACTGTAGGTACAAGGTACTAGGGACTTGCGATGGTCTTCTTGCTCTGAACATTGTCGGACCGGGCGCAAAGTATGAAGCAGCGAGCCTCGTGGCGGTGAGGGGAACACGCCAAATGCTTCAAAGTCAAAGGTGACGACGGGGTCCCTGCTGGCCCGTTGAGGTGCCAGGCCGCATAAATCATCATCATCATCATCATCATCATCATCATCATCATCATAACGATGATCATCCAGAGTGACACCTACTGCGACACATGCTACACCGTCGTAATCCTATCCTGGTGCCGAGCAGCGAGAGTGGTACCTACTTCAACAACATAGACGTAGAAACAAAACCATGGCGGCAAACAGGAATGGAGGGCGTCGGAACTCGTGCCAGACGGCGAGTGCCGGGCCAGTCAGTAGTCCTCCATCTACATACAGTATTACGAGTAGATCGAGAATCGAGGCATCTCGGCTAAGGGGACTCGGCTCGTCAGTAACCATCCGACTCCGTACGGTACGGAGTCGTCCACACCCTGCCGACCATCCAGTCTCAGAAGGGACAAGAGCACTAACGCAACGTCGGACCCGAGCGCTGTTGTAGACTTTTGCGAGTCATGTAGAGCGCATACTGCCCTTGCCCCAGATTTCCCAAATCTGCATCGGGATCATACTACAGTAGTAGTACAACTAACAATCAATTAAGTACCTGTCACCCGAGGAGTTGTTTCGAGCCATGGGCTAGGGCTGCGGCTGGGGCTGCGGCTGGAGCGACGAATCTCCATCTCATGTCCCGGCTTCCAGAGTCTCCCGCGTTGGATGCATGTGCGATGAGATCTTGGAGCCACCACATCGTCCAGAGTCAGGAATCGGAGGCTGTCCACGGCTCCTTGCTCTCCTCTGCCGTCGAAATTAAAAGCCGCCGGTCAGACTGGCGTGTGCTTTCGAGGCGTGAGGCCGGCCGTCAGTCCAGGAGAGCCGGGGATCGGTGGTACCCTGGTGAGGAGATGCACTCAACTGGCTGAAGGAGTGGTATCCGTACGTCCTGTAGTCTCCGTAGGAATATCACTTCGCGGGCCAACTGCGGCGTGGGCGCGCCAGACCCAGGGGAAGCGAGTGCTGCTTTGAAGTCGGCGATTGGGACGTTTTAAGAATTCATTCGGAATCCACCTCTGCCGCCCCCGGCTCTCTCCGTGGGGGGCTGATGTTGCACCGAGGGAAGCTCAGCACGCACCTGGGGATAGGTATCCGGTAGCTACCGGTACCTACCGGTATTCTTGCGTTTACCTGGCTGCGTGGCACTGGCGGGAGACAAGCCGACGAGCCACTCGAAAGCATCTACTGTATGGAAAACCACCATGGAACAAGCTAGGTAGGCGTGGGGGTGAGGCCAAGCAACGAGTTGGAAGAACGGGCGGTATATATCGGCAACGGGCACCGCAACGCATCGCATCCTGTCCTGTGCTGTCTGGTCCTGATCCTGCTGAGGAGGCATGCGCGCCGAAAAAAGACGGCCTGCTCCTCCAGCTTTTTGGGGGGGGGGGGGGGGGGTGGTTTGGTGCGAAAGGGCATTTTTCCATCTTCCTTCGAGTGTGAGCGCGGTTGCCCATGGTAAGAGTGCAGAGAGTTGAGCCCTCGCATTGGTCTGGAGAGTCAGGGTAACGAAGCCCGAGGCCCGAAGCACAAAATGTGGATGAGGTTCAGGTTCAGCTTCAGATTCAGCTTCAGGATCGGGTTCGTAGTCGCGCATCGAAGAATCAGAGAGGGAAGCGTTTCGAGAGCGATCTTGTTTTTTCGTGTCGGTAGTCGAGTCAGGTGACCCAGAACAGGACGTCCTCTGCAAGACATCCCCACGAGAGGTGATGGCAACGGCCGGCAGGTACGCAACTGGCTGCGGCTCTGATTTCATCTGATGGCACGGTGGCTAAGACGGTATCATCTTAACTTGTCATCACGAAATAGCCAAAAAACATAGGATTACTTTTAAGAAGGTTTTGAAAACAAGAAGTCTCAATTAATGTGGTCTGCGAACAGCTACGTAGTACTACTAGTACTACGTCTAGAGCGACCCACGACCACGAAGCGATCGATTCCCCCCATCGAATATTGTTATTGCCTCTTGGACGACGGGATTCTGCGTAATAGTTATTACTACTACGTATATCCCACGCCAGCGACCGCTCACCCCACGGAAAGTCGGCACAACTGCAGCCAGCCCTGTAGCTGCCGACTGCGGAGGTACAGCGGCTATCTATTCCCCCCTGCTCTAATACACTACGGAAACTAGGCGCACCGAAGAATCCAAAGAGAAGAGAGTCTCGAGATCTCATTCATCACTGAAGTCGTTCTTCCGTCAAGTGATTTCAAGACGGGACGTCCTCTGCAAAACACCTACGGAAGATACTACCTACGTGATTGCCACGGCCGGCGGGTACGCAACGGGCTGCGATCCTTACTTCATCTCATACTTCTAAGTAGAGCGGTAGCTAAGACGGTATCATCTTAATCCATTACCTATTACGGCATGATTGAAAAATAAGCTTATTATTAGAAGGTTTTCTCTTCTTTTTTTTTTTTTTTTTTTTTTTTAGTTAAGAGGACCTATGTCCGGCTACAGATGAGCCACTACTACTACTATTTAGCTACCCATCACCATTAAGCCCTCGGCCCCACTGGATTCAATTTCTCTTGTTTTTGGTTTCCCTGCCAGGACCAAGGCGTAGTGGTTATTAGTATTAAATCCTAATCCCAGAGGCCGCTCTTGCCACGGAACGTCGGCACTACGGCAGCCCCTGTCGTTGCCGAATAATTGCCGCAGATGCTGCACAACAGCTGCTCTCGCACTTCGTATAGCCCCACTTGGTACTGCCGCGCACAAATAATTTGTGCGTTCTTAGAAGTATTTTGAATGGAAGTAGTAGTATCTAGGGCGTCAGTTCAGGTCCGGTGATGGCCTGAGGCTACCAGGGGAGAGTAGGGTGCACTTGCTACCTTTGGAGCTACATACCTAGACTTCTCTTAGCGATAGGAGCTGAAAAGAATACGTCTTTATTTTACACACTTTCCCTCTTTCTTTTAAAGTGATATAGTAGTACGCAAGGACGTCCTTTTGCAAATCTCTAGACTTCGCAGTCAAGTAAGGGCAACGGCGAAGACTATTAATACTTCAATATCGAAATCCTGACGAACTCCTTGCTTTATTTACACTTAGAATCCGGATCTTCTTTAGCGACTTCAATACTCGCATATCTTATCCGCTTATATAGAGAGTTTCTATACGAATGCTTTAAATCGATACTGCTTTTATAAGATTTATTTTCTTGCAGAATTCTATCTAAATCGAAATCTTCGATAGCAATAAGGGAGGGCTCTTTCCTTCGAAGGCTTGCTTATAAGTGCAAGGTTCACAATGATAGGGAATCACTATTCGAGGCTCCGATAATGCTCCGTTGATATTCAGATTGATCTCTACCTTTCTAAACTCTTGAACTCTGAGGAACCCTTGAGAGATACAGCTAGTATTATATACGTGATCGAGCTAAGCCCACAAAGCCTTCGAATATGTCATGCGTGACAATAATACCTAACAGGATTACCATATCACGCTCGACAGGAATACTTTATTCGGATACTCAGTACCCGTCTGTCAGAAGGTAGCTTTTAAAGACAGGCAAAGATAGAATAATAAAAGTGTAGAAGTATGTATCGGTAATAAACTGATCTCTGGGGCTCTAAGAAGCACTGTAGCTAGATATTTTGGGTGTGCAAAAGTAGTGTTTCTAAGGTACACATGGGCATGACTGTAACGAAAAAGAATATATAAACCAGATTTGGAGAACATGAATCTCTCGGACTAATCGTCGGTTACATTGAATTTGATTTGTAAAAAATCCCGACCTGGCGCAAAGGCGGGACAGTAACGGTATACTACTCATTAAACAACAACTATTAATATAAATATGAATAAAAAAAATATTTATATGCTTAGAAAACATTGCTTTATAAATGTAAATTGAAAATGTAAAGATGCATCCATTTTTGATGATATAATATATTAAAATATAGTGCAAATATAGCTAAAAACTGTCCCAAATAATTTAAATTTACTACTCATCTGCTGCGAATATCTCAACTACAACCTTAATTTAAGAAAACGTCTTATAGATCGAAAAAAACGATTTAATTTATTATCTTACTAAAGGTATTAATTATTAAATAAAAGTCGATAATGATGCACGTATTCTTTTGATATGTTTAAATAAAAGTCCGATTTTCGTATTCCTCGCTTATTCTAATATGTACGCGGCAATTCTGATACGTATATACCCATTATCAAAATCGAAAAATACACATCAAAAGTATTATTTTTACTACTTTAACTCAATATAATGAAGAAACAATAAGTTGTAATTAAAATTTAACTAGTTGATTAATATCAAACTCAATACAGTGCATTTTTCTATACAGAAATAATTACATTATGTTGATTGGTTGATTTTTTATTGATTATAAAGAAGCAAATTTTACTGTCCCGCCTACAGCAAGTCGGTCAATTCTTTCGAATTAAATTCAAGGAAACCGACGATTAGCTCTTACATTTTTCGGACGGACCTGAGTAGCGAAAATAGAGAGCGACGAGATAGTACATTATGCAACATTTGGTTATTCCAGTCCGCGGGATACAAAGGAATCGGCTTTTGATATGATGGAAAGAAGTTCTGGAAGGAATTTGAGCAGGCCATCTCACCTCTGTCCAAAATAATCTCTGGGGAGAGGTTCGTAAGCCCAAATGTGACATTGCTGCGAATCGGATCAGCGGCCGAATATCACACATTTCTGGATATTCCTTCCTGTCCTGCCTTGAGTCCAGCGTGAATTCGTCCCCTAGCTGAAGCTCGCTGAAGTCTCTGGCTATGCAACAGTCACGACTACGATTGCGTAGGAGGCGATCAGGGTTTCGACTTGGTAGCTTCGGGATTTGAAGTCTCACTGCCACCCTGCCCTCTCTGTGTCTGTCCCTGTCCGGCCGCAGATCCAGCGACCGTCTCCTCTCCAAGCACTTTCGATGCCGCCATGAATCTGGGTGGCGACAGTTAGCCTGGTCCGTAAATCTCATTGATCCGCCCTCCAGTCCGACGAAATCCTCCTCAGATCCAATTTGGAAGTCGCCACAGCAACGAGTCCACCACCGAGGGCCAATATCTGCAATCCGGCCTCCAAAAAGATACCCCACAGAGGGAAATGGCGGCACCACCTACAGTCCACCATGCCAAGCTCCCAGTCCTCGTACACTTTCCGCTTGCACACTCGTCATCCGCAACAGGTTTTCCAGATCTGCGAGGTTCGCAGAGAGCTGGGCGAGTTGCGCGTGGAGGTGGTTCTGTGATTGCTTATTAGCCAGGGATCTTCTGGGTATGAAATCTCTATGGAAGGAGAATCGAGGTAAGAGAGAAATCGAGCGAAGGTATATGGATTAGTTGGATGGGCGTGAATGGCATTGAAGGCAATAGAGAGGAGACTGTACCAACTGTCGCGGTTTGATACTGCTCGGGGCGGTAGACAGACGCGGCGCGTTGGTTGATGGGATGCGTGTCGTCATTGTGCTTGAGTTTGGTTCAAGCTGAGAGTGTGAAGCGATTTGCAACGATTCTCTGTATTGTCGTCGAGCGTTGGGCAGAGAGCTTGGTGTTTCTGCGCGATGTGGGGAGTTGTTTACATTGGAGAGCACGGACCATGTCGATATCAGATACCGGTATCTGCGACATCCAGTTGCCCTGCTCCCTACATACGGAGTAGAATATCTCTATCATTACCCTTCTCAAAAGAGAGAAGGAAAAAAGCATTCAACTACGCATAGCACTAGTCCAAGTGGCTCCCAATTCAGATGACAGGACTTTTGCTCTGTAAACGGCCAGGCAATACCGTCTAGGTAGGTACTTCAAGCCACACTATCACATCTATCTATCTCCCTTTCAGTTCGTATACATGCTAACAAACAATCGCCCGTAGGAGTTGCGGCAGAGGTAAGAAAGTCATTTCCACCGAGTCAGCAAACTTTTAAGCGCCGAAATTTTCAAGAGATTCGACAGGGCTCAAGCTTCTGGTCACTGTTCGGTCCAAACATCTACGTGATTCTGCAGCAGACAGAATATTTTGAGACACGATGACGAGCTTTTGAGAACTCTGAAAAAGCCTATCTGGTTGCTGCCTCCGAGAACATCGATTAATGAGGCATGACTCTTGGATCACCAGTCCAGGACTATCAAGGGTATCGTATTAACCAAGTTTACCATCGGCCCCGTAAGCCTTTCTCGCTGCGTGTATACGAGTGAAATACATTGAAACCTCGCTCAAACAGCACCTCTGTGTTCACCTTACCTCTCAACTCGAAGTCCGGTTCTGCTGTCATCATTCTCATCAATCTGCCATGCCATCTCACAAGGAAAAAGACCTCTAGCTCGCTATTGATCTCTTGTCTTGATCTTCCTCCAGCAAGCACAACAGCGAACCCATCTCTTCTGCGGAAGAATCTCAATGAGAGGCTGTTTTTACCCGGCTCTCATCAATCTTGTTCGATCATCATGCTGGCACAGGCTGTTAGTCACCCTTACATAGAGCCTAGTTCCGAATGTATAGTTACTGCTATGCACCGGAATCCCACCGAGCTCTATCGCGAAATTCAAACGTCTGTGACAAGTCTTTGACACTTTCAAAGTTATCAATACGAGATACAAGATGGCGTTGCAGAGCTGAGCTGGCTGTTGCAGCGATGGAATGAGAACTCTCTACCTAAATCTGGAGAGACCTCAATGCCTCATTCTGCATTTATTCTCAGCTAATTCTGCAAAAGGGAAAATGTCAGCTAGCTGCTGCCTAGTCTCTGGCTGTATGACCTCGGAGTCTATTCTTTGAATTGCTCAAGTGCGGATTTGACCTTTGTAGGAACGTATGAACTGTCTGTGTCTATTGATCAAACATCGATGGAAAGGTTCGGATTCCGGAGAGTCTGACAATTCTAAAGAGTATCGTCACGGAAATATTTTTTAGGAGGCTAAGCGAGATCATCTTCCTTTTGAGATGAGCACTTGGATTTTTTGGGGGCACGAAACCATATATCCACAGATCCAATGCAGGGATGGGAGTTAATCTGGTGAAAAAGAAGCCAGTCTTTATACAGTTCGTTCGTCGATAGTAATCGGATAAAAGCGAGCGCAGAGATTCGTTTCAATCTCGTAGTCTCCGCAACGACCCTTTCATTCATTCGTATTATACTACACCTGCTCATCAAACCTCCGCAGCTTCAGCCTGCCAATCGCCAGAGAACCCTCCATCATCCCCGGCTGGCAAGCGATTCCCGTGCAGCTCAACCTAGCCCGGTATCTACGAGACGCCCGTCTTACTATCCTGCCCCTAGAGCCCTCAACCACCTTCTCGCACCTTTCCTGTTCGATGGATCTACTGAAAAGACGGTAAGTATGCATGTCTACGGCAATAGCGGAGACTTCCCATGTTACTGCATCTGCTCCTGTCTTGGTGCGAACAAGGCGGTTCCGCAGCGGGTTGGATGCTGCAAGACGATGCCGCCATTCACTATGGGACGATATGTTATACACTAGCCCGAGCCTCTACATCAACCAAGCGAAGTTAGACGCCGCGTCTGTCTTTATTCAGAGTAGAAATGAAAGATATCGTCCGTCTTGATGAGAGCTTCGTGAATTATCCGGTTTCGGGCGGCCTGGCATCCTGGCTCTGGTTTCCAGCCTTCAGACGTCGAGCTGGATGGATTAGTTGGGTTAAAGGACTGGTTCCCGATTTCGATCCCGTACGCTGTTTGACGGACATGCATAAGAGGACACTTCATTATTGAGTCTTGAGTTCCACAATAAAATGACATATCGTCTTCTTATATCACCCTTCTCGAGAGAATGCAATTCTTGCACCTCTTCTCTAAATATGTTAGCAAGGGAGCTACGGCCACGGGGTTCGTCGTAATTCCATAAACCGCCTCTATTAATCACAATGAAGGACTCGTCGAATAATGAGATTTCGAGCTCCAGAGAATAGATCAGCTGATAAGCTGCATCAAAACTTGTCGGGCATGTTGGATGCTAATAAAGCCGCAAGCAGCAAAGACTTCGAGGTAGGAATGAGCAGATACGAGCTGAGAGTTGAGTTGGAACGGTTGTTGGATAGGCGGTTGATTGAAGTAGTATTCTCAAAGGTTATATATATATATATCATATACAATTCGTACATGACTTCGACCGGAGAGCGTCATCGTTCTTTGGAGCAGCTTCTCTTCCTTTAAGAATCCCGGTTCCGGATTTGCTTTCTGTTCTTCGTATCGAGATCTCTACCATGATCACAAACTCGCCATGTATATTCTACGGCAGAGATTCGAGTCGAAGTTCCAGCCACAGCCCCGACCAACAGTCATCTCCGTCTCCAAAATCTCAAAAACGAGTCCAGCTCAAAATCCCGTCTTGATCTCCCTCGTTGAATATTTCTTGGGCACAACGAACAGCGCCCTGCCCTCTACACAGACCTTCCCATCCGCAGTCTCCAGCCGTCCTTGTACCCACAGCTTTCGTCTTGCTCCCTCCATCTTCTCTCCCGCATCCACACTCGGCACAGCTCGGATGACATAAAAGCCATTCGTCTGAACCGGCTTCAAATAGTTCAACTCCAGATTCGCCGTGACCCCCGTACTCCCCTGCAGCCACCTCACCGCGCACCGTCCGAAGTTTTCGTCCAGCACCGTCGCAATGGCACCCCCGTGCGTCACGCCAGGCCATCCTGCCACCGCCCCTCCAAACCAGATAACGGTAACCACCTCCCCCGTCTCCGTATTCGTATATATCCGCTGGAAGCCCCCCAGGGCTCTCGCCCCCGCTAGAGGCCCCGTGGTGATCCTCTTTTCCCGCTCCTGTTGCGGGAGAGATGTGTATGCATCGTGGCTCGTCCAGGCCGAGTCCATCGAGAGGGATTGAACGATAGGCAGTTTGGACGCTTGCTTGTGGATGTATTCGACCATGGCATCGTCTTCCTTGGAACCCGCGGCTGGTAGTTCGGGCGGCGCGACGATCATGGACGTGAATTGGCCGCCCGCGACGCCGAAAAGGGTGAATAGAGCCGCCCAAATAAAGGGGCGCAGCGAGCGTTTGCTGATGGGTGGCGCATTAGGTGAACGTTCAGCTGGAGGAGGAGGAGGAGGAGGATTGTACTGCGAAGAGGGGAGTTGTGATCGCAGGGTCCTCGGGAGGTCAGCTGTGGGAGGTGTGGTATATAGGCGGATAGAGGACATCCGTGGAGTCGAAGCGCGGGTTCGTAGACATTTTTGAGATTGTGGTGTAGTTCTTCGAATCGCAGATTTCCCGCAGGCGCGCAAAGGGAATCGGGTACTCATTGCGATTTGTTTCTCCACGGTGATTTTTGGGCGTCGAGTATGGAAGCTTGGAATTCCGAGGCTCTCGGGAGCAGCACCAACCAGACGGCTGGACGACAGCAATTGCAACCCGGGTATTGGCTTCTCGAAATATAAAAGATGCCGTTTTGGTTGTCTTCAGCTACGAAAAGAAGTTGTTGTGCAATGGCCCCGTGCGGACTTTGAAAGCACGAAGTCCTGTTCTCAAAATCTAGCCTCGGTCTCGTTTCCGTATATATTCTCGCTAGACTTAGACCTCCCCCCTATTGCAGCAAAACAAATACATACTTCGCAGACACTTTGGTTTGAGAAAGCCACAAAGAGCGTAAAAACTGCTCTGCCCGATGCCAATGCGACGGAATTTCCAAGAGACTTTTCCTTGCAGCAAGACTTCTAAAGCCAAATTTCGGGAGTCGGTGGTCAGCAAGTGAACATCTACAAACAGCTTCCACAGATCTAAAGAAATCTCTCGCGCAAGCTTCTTTTAGGACCACAGTTGGAACGCTAGTCTTCAGCTCCTCTGGCGTAGAAGGTGGTATCAGAGAGCTCTTCTCATGCGCATCTCCCAGATATACGAATCCCCTACACATGGCTAATCTCCAAGTTCAATACCCAGGCTAGAACGATAGAAGCACTAGATATCACTCGACCCCTTCTCCCTCTCATCAATGTAGCTGTTGTATAAAAGCACAATTCCTCTCTACGCTGCTCGACACCCCAGCAAGTTCTTCTGGCTCTCACTATTGCCCAGACAGCTCTAACCTACCAGGCATCGCTTGATATGTATAACTTCTACGTTCTACACCATTTCCCATCTCCCATATCTGAAAAAAAAAAAAAAAAAGACAAAAGGAAGATCACGCACCTGCATTACGAATACCAATACCAATACCAGGTAATTTTCCCATCCATTGATTGTCACGAGAGCGAAACATCTTCGATCCCTCTATGTCACGAGCTACCCTCAAGACTCAAGATAGTTGGACCCTGGATCCTTCTCGGTTACCTAGCTAGCTGGATACATATGTGTTTGTTGACATACCGCTACCTCCACATATAATCCTCCGATTTCCAACCCTCTGTCCTCCCCTTCCTAATCCCCAGCAATAGTACAATCATCACAAACCCTCCCTCCCTTCAAATTCCCCGCCCCACTGACACTCAGTAAAATCCATATCCTAGTAAATGGCTGTACATATGAATAAAACTCACGCGCCAACTTCATCGATGCGTGTCCGCGGCAAGACAACGGTCGGCTTGCTGGGCAGGTCCATTGGCAGCGAGGGGTGGTGTATCACTGGGTATCTCTACAGAGATCAAGGTCGTGGACACGTGGTAACGGAGAAGCGAGATTGATGAATTGCAAAGAAGTAGAATGAACATGTCGTCGCTTCGTATATTTCATTTCACATATGTTGTACCTAGTTCTGTTCCCCTTTCCGTTTTCCAATGCCAAATCAACGGCTGACAAACCACCCCTTACACTTAAAGATCCTGAACGAACCTCTCCAGCCTCGTCTTGAGTTCCTCAACATCATCCTCCAGCTCCTCGGCAGTGCTCGCAGCACCCGGCGTCTTGGGCGGGACCAACACCGAAGAAACAACGTGAATCACGCCATCCTTCGCAATGCCATCCTGTACCGATACGCTGGAGAACCCGTTAATCTTGATCGAGATCAAGCCTCCCCATCGTGCCACATCGATACTCAAACTCTTGTTCTCCAACAGCGTCGGGAGATCGATATGGAAGCGACCCTTGGGGACATCCTCCGTATCCTCCCCCGACTTCTCTTTGTAGAAAGCATCCGAGTACAGGGTTTGGTTGGCAACGATGTGGTATTCCAGTAATCCTTTCAAGTACTTCTGTCCGTATTTGGAGAAGAGGAAAGCATTGATGCGTGGGCCAAGTTTTTGGAATGCCCAGTTTGAGGGTGCGAAGAGGGTACCCCCTTCGTGGGGTGCGGCAGCGATCTTCTCAAAGAGACCAGTCTTTTCGAGTGCGAGGTTGAGCGTCGAGAATTCGCCCGGGAGAAGCTCGACGATCTTTAGAGCGGGTGGCGGTGGGAGGAGGAGCGAGTCGACTCCGTGGATCACGCCGTTCGTGCCAAACTAGACTGTGTTAGCTATAGAAAGGGGACACGGAGAACACTGAGCGTACAATATCGATAGCAATAATGCGAGAGTAGAAGTTGATGTTCAGTCCCTTGGTCAAAGCAAAGCCAACACGGAGTCTCTGCGGGTTACTACCAAGCCGCTCCTCTCCCAATGCAGTAGGGATGGTATGGGTCACCAGCACCCTGCCGGCTGGATAGAAGTCGGGCGAGACGTGGTACGCCAGGATCTTCTTGATGACCTCCTTGCTCGGCTTGTGGTGTTTAGGAATCTTCTCGAACGCCTTGTCCGTCGGTGCGAATACTGTGTAGTTGGCCGCAGTGCCGTTCAGAGTCTCGACCAGGTCCGGATATTCGTTAATCAAGCTCGCGAGCTTAGTCGTGTACTTGCTGCTGGCAATCAACTCATATACGGTCTTGTTCGGCTTGTCATGTCCCGGGTGAGGCTTGTGGTGCTCCGGAGGGCCGTGGTGAGGCGGCGGCTCGCGATGGTGATGATCAAAGACATCGATGTCCTCAGCCTCTGACACGGCCGAGTCAAGCCAGGATTGCGCATCGAACTTGGTCATGGAAGCATAGCACTCGAATGTGTTCTTGGCCCTCTCCGCTGTGTCTGAAGCAGCGTCGATGGCATTGTCGATGGCGTTCTGGCCGAAGGCGACGGTATCCTTGAACGACTCTTCGACGCCAGACCAGACATCTTCCACGTTGCCTGCGATACGGTCGAAGAAGGTTTGAGGCGCGTTCTGGGACTCAATGATCTGGGTGGTGAGCTGCTCGTCAGGAATAACGAAGGCGGTTGTTGAAAAGGCTAGGGCGGCGAGCGGTAGGAAGGTAGTTGTAAACCTCATGATGGTGGTTGATAGCTGTCGATGGAGAAGAAGAGAGTAGAGTAGATGAGAATAGAGTAGAGAGATAAGAGAGATGAGAGATGGGAAGAAATGGATAGAAGGGAAAAAGAAGTTTCCGAGCCCGAGGGAGATCAGAGGAAGAGTCGCGGGAGAGGTAAGCTAGTCCGATAACGATGACGACGACGACGTTGACTCCCCTTCCCCGCAATCCGTCGATTGGGTCGGATATGAGGTCAAGATGCAACGACATCTCTTTCACAGCTGATGTCGATCCCCCGACCAACCAACGTCATTGATGGTCGTGCGGAGATGTTGATATTCTCTGCACCATCTCGGTACATCTACAGTATCAGAATCGAATGGATCTCACGACTTGCTTGGACTCCTACGAAGTACCGGTACACGTGCTGCGCATATCATGTGACATGCCAGCGGCTCAGAGCAGGCCGGAAGGGATGACCAGAGGACCAGAGGACCAGAGGACCACAGGACCCAGGGGACCCTCTTTGCCGGGACCCCGACCCCGACCCGACGACGTTCCGAGCCGAGCCGAGCCGTCGTTGTGAGAGTCGCATCGGGCTGGACAATGGAGAGTGGAGACGGAGGTGACCAATACTGTATACGTAGTACTACTACTACTACTACTGTACTTGTATGCGGATCAATATACCGTATACGGACTACTACGTACAGTACGGTACTGGCTGTATGGGGGTGCCGGCGATGCCAAGACGCTACCGTAGCTACCCTTGAGCACGGCATGCATCCGGTATGGTCGGGATGGGAGGGATGGGACTATAAGTATTGCCTTTTTCTCTTCGACCCTACCAACCAAATCGACATCAATCGCACCGTGATCCTCGCTCGGGAAGATCGCCAGATGCGGAGACGATGGCGAGGGGTCCCAGAGATACCACCGCTACCAAGGGACTAGGGTTCCCGAGGGACCGACGGAGTACTACCTACAGTACGGAGTCGGGACGGAGTTCACCAAGCCATGAATGAGCCCACCGACGGCTGAAGCGCCCACGTGGCATCGGGACCGAGATCGCTGAGCTTCCTTCCGTATTCGGATTTCGGCCTTCGGGTCTGTCCGTCTGTCCGTCTGTCCGTGGGGCGTGGGGCGTGGGGCATGGGGCGTAGGGCTGTAAACAAGCGTTGCCCTTGAACGGGGGAGAAAGTCAAAGAGGGACGTAGTACGTACTACTACGTACGTAGTACGCAGTATGCAGTACGCAGTACGCAGTACGTAGGTTAGAGTACGTTGCCTTCCCAGCTTTCTTCTTCTCTGCCGGGCCAGCTGTCCCTCTGGTTTTCACTCTTTCGCTTTTCACCGCCCAGAGAAAGTCTGCTGGGCGCGCGGATGCACCACACAGATCACAGATCGCACGACCCCCCCCCCCGGCAGCGTCAGGGTCCGAAGGCAGGAGCGGGTCGATATCCGCATCATCGATTCGTCATGGCGATCTGGGAAATGCGATCCGGGGCAGGGCCGTGGGAGCATGGGATTTGGATATGATGAGTCAGCATTGCATTCATTGCCTTCCTTATTTGCTGTCCGTACGCGGTCCGATGCTCAAGTGAGGGACGGGAATTCGAGAAGAAAGAGAGAGAAAGGAGAAAAGAGAGAAGAGAAGAGAAAAAGCGAAAAAAGAGAAAAGAGAAAAGAGAAAAGAGAAAAGAAGATAAAGAAAAGGGGGAGAAGATGAGATGGGGAGAGGGAAGGAGGGAGGGAAGAACAGGAGGAAGGAAGGAGCGAGAGAAACATGGCACTGGCAATGCATTGCATTGCTTTGCTTTGCTTTGCGGTCGTGTTATGTGTATATATGTATATATGTATATATGTATATATGTATATATGTATATGTGTATATATGTATATATGTATATATGTATATATGTTTATATATATACATTTATACATATATTTACATACACACACACACACACATACATATATATACATACATCTACACATGTCGTAAACAACACAATACAATACCTACAGTACCCGACGACGTCCTTACCTATACATACATACCTACCTACCGTACAACCGTACAACCGTACAACAGCACAACAGCCGGCGGTGAAGTAGACAAGAGGTAGGTTCCTAGGTGATGCTAGTCCTATTTGTCATGGTATGAGGGATCCTTCTTGGACGGAGATTTGTACCGAATGCGTCCTGGTGTGGTGTCGTATTATACGGAATACCTACCGTACCTGTTGTCTTCTTGTACCTCTACTGGTACTTGTCCTTGTCAGTGCTGCTGTTGCTGTTGCTGTTGCTGTTGCTGTTGCTGCTGTTGGCGTGCGTGCTGGACTAGCTAGACTAGCCCCGACCTGGCCTTACCGTGCCTCGCCTCGCCTCGCCTCGACTCGCCTCGCATCAACTTCCTCAACCTCCTCAACCTCCTCCATCCCCTATCTCACACTCTCTTACTCTCACTCAATCACTCTCACTCTCTCACTCTCACTCTCTCACTCCAACTCTTTCCACCTCTTCCGCCGAATGAACGCATGAATTGAATCTCGCATCGACATCTCTCTCTCTTTCTCTCCCTCTCCCTCTCCCTCTCCCTCTCCCTCTCCCTCTCTCTCTCTCTTCCAATTTCTCCTCACTGTACTTAACCCCCCCTCCCCCTCCCCTCCCTCTCAGACTCGCCTCCATATCGCGAACAGTTACAAGATCGAGTCAACGGCGCAAATCGTTTACGAGAACGACGTCGACGCCAGCATCTCTCTTCTCACTGTCGCTCGAGATTGATCTACCCATCTACCTGTCTCATCCTTCACCATACATCCTCCTCTTCCCTTCTCTACCCTCCTCTACCCTCCTCTACCCTCCTCTACCCTTCTCTACCCTTCTCTACCCTTCTCTCCGCCCAGCCGGCAGTCACCCCGTGCGTGCCGAACCCCGAGTCCAGTCTGACCAGCTAGCCTCCACGACGATTTCCTCCTGTGCGCCGGGCTACCGTCCTTCGAGAGGAGAAGAATAATTCAAAATTCAATATTCAAAAGAAAGAAAAAAAGACGAAGAGAACCCCCCCCTTTCCAAAAATAACAAAAAACTGACCGTCACGACGGATCACTGACACTTCCCACGCCTCCTCCTGCTGTATCCTCATCTAATCTCACTCCTACTCACCTCCTCTTGATCTCAGCGCTCCAGTCCACCTTCTTCTGTGACCGCCGCTCGCTGGGAACCAAAGAGTGCGCCACCTCTCTGACTCGTGGTACATGCTGCGTTGCCACTCTTCCCCCCGGCGCCTGGTCACATACCTATCAACCCCCTCCGCGAGATCCCACCTCGCGACCGCCAGAAACATGGTCGACTCAAAAGTCTTGATCTATCTCATGCGGAGAGACCTCCGCATCTCCGACAATCCCATCCTCCACTCCCTGGCGACCACTACCAAGCAGCACGGCTTCACGCATCTGTTGCCCCTCTACGTCTTCAGTGCCCAGCAGCTTGAGGTCAAGGGGTTCATCGCCGACAGCGACATCAAGAGTCCGTACCCCGAGGCGCGGAGTCCCGTCGGGGGCTTCTGGCGGACAGGACCGCACCGGGTCACGTTCTTGGCAGAATGCATCTGGGATGTCAAGGAGGGATTGGAGAAGCTGGGGAGTGGATTGTGTATCCGAGTCGGGACGGTCGGTGCTGTGGTCGACGATCTGCTGAGCAAGTTCGAGAGTAAAGGGGAGGTCAAAGTTGGCGCTGTATGGATGGTCGGCGAGGAGGGAGTTGAAGAGGCCCATGAAGAGTCGCAGGTGAAGAAGGCTTGTCGAGAAGCCGGAGTCCAGTTCCAGCTGTGGACCGACGAGAAATATCTCATTGATGAGTGAGTTCGCTCGGGGTCCGGAACGAATGGCTTGCTAATCCCACCAGTCGCGATCTCCCTCTCCCCAACATTGATGAGTTATCAGATATCTTCACCAGCTATCGGAAGACCGTCGAGCCTCTCCGCGACCACCCTCGAGACGCCCTACCCGTACCAACCAAGGGCGCCCTTCCACCCTTCCCAGCAGAGTCGATCCCCGACCAGCGCGAGCCCTTTACTATCCCCGGTAGCCTCGACGACCTCCAGAAGGCTCTGCTGAAGCCCCTCAATGCGGAGGATCTCGTCCGTAACCCTCCACCCTACCCGGCCGGAACGACCTCCGCCCACCCGTTTCTGGGCGGGGAGTCGCAGGCTCAAGACCGACTGGAATACCTCATTACCAAGGGCAACGTCGTCAACTACCATAGCACTCGTAACGGTCTCCTGGGCCACGATTTCTCCACCAAGCTGTCCGCCTACCTCAGTCTCGGCTGCATCACCTCCCGCCAGATTCACGCGTCGCTCCTCGCGTTCGAAAACGGCACCAATGCCGCTTACGCATCCGTCCCAGAGTACGGCAAGGGTCAGAACGACGGCACCAAGAGCATCCGCTTCGAGCTGCTCTGGCGCGACTACATGCGTCTCTGCACCCGCAAATTTGGCCCCAAGCTCTTCCGCCTCAGCGGTTTCAAGGCCGAAGGCGAGGAGCGCTGGTCGTCGCCATCTCGCCCCGGCCCAGGACTCACACCCGCCCACGTTCGCGAGCAGATCGACCGTTTCCTCAATGGCACTACGGGCATGGGTCTCATCGACGCGAGTCTGCGGGAGATGTACCACACTGGCTACACATCCAATCGCGCCCGCCAGAACGTGGCGTCTTTCCTCGCCAAGCACCTGAAGATTGATTGGCGCATTGGCGCGGAGTGGTACGAGTGTATGCTTGTTGACTACGATTTATCATCCAACTGGGGGAACTGGCAGTACCTGGCGGGCGTCGGCAACGATCCCCGCGGTGAAGCGCGCATCTTCAACCCGGTCAAGCAGGCCTTCGACTACGATCCTCACGGCGACTATGTCAAGGCCTGGATCCCCGAGCTGCGAGGCCTCACAGACTCGAGCGAGGTCTTCCAGGCATGGACCATCAAGGAGGAGCGCCGAGAGGGTCTTGGGCTCAGCGGCCTGGAGTGGGTTGAAAAGCCTCTCCTGAAGATCAATTTCACCGTCAACCGCCGCGGGCGCCATCCCGGTGGTCGATCCCGCGGAGATCGGGGAGGGGGAAGAGGGGGCAGTAGCGGGCACGGTGGGGATGCAGGAAGCGGACCAGGTCGGTATACGAGCCCCGAGAGCCGAAAATACTACTCCTCGCGTGGCGGCGGAGGCTACGGTGGCCGCGGGTACGGATCCTCGCGAGGCCATATCCGTGGGTATGGACGAGGTGGTGCGGGTGGTGGGGGCGGCCGAGAGGCGCGCGTGGGTATGATGGACCGCGAGCGTGAAGCTTACGCCGACTACACCGGCGGGCAAGACGCGAACTGAACCTGGAATCTGAAGTCTGGGAAATGTTGGAGATGATTTCACCTCTGCTTCTGCACTGGCATTGTGATTGCGATCTTCGCTGTGTCGAGACTCGACCTTTTCGCATGGCACCTCCACTTTTGGAAAACGGGATAGCATACTACACCACATCTCTGGCGTTCCGGCCTGATATTTCTTTGGGAGGGGGCGCAAAGAAACGAAATTCTCTTCGGTGCTGGACATGGCGTAGGCCGGGCTGGAATAGAATGGGATGGGATGGCATGGACGGGCGGGGGAAAAAGAAGGAAAATGGTGTGATACCCACATGCTAGATTTTGCTAGATGTTCTGGAGACACAGAGGAAAGGACGGAGAGATATAAATCCCAGGCTAGATTTTGCTAGATGATCTGGGTCCGATCTAGTTTCTCGTTTAGTGTTTCTCTCCTTTTGTTTCGCGACTGCATAGTGTTCCAGCGTGGATTTGTACATATATACATACACATACATACCTATCAGGGATCACGGCGGTGAGCAAGCTAGGAGCTAGGAGCTAGGAGCTAGGCGGAGCATGGATGCACGAAGTAGCTAGCTATCTAGATGACAAGATAGAGCTAGCTAGAATGGAAGTTGATTCCAAGAAATCTTTAGCGATTGTAAGAGACAAAACCGCTGTGATGCTAACGGAACAGCGACATTAATACCTGTTTTTATCTGAGAATTGAAATACCGGAGAGCAGGTGGTACGGAGGAATGTATAATTACAGTTATATGTATATATATATATATATATATAGCCATGCGCCAGAAAGGCAATCTCTCGGCTACCTTTTCTCAGCCAGTCTCGGGTTCCAACGAGTGCGCTCCGTACACCGACTTTTAAAAGGACTGTTTCTTCCATCGAATTTGCTTTGTCTTGAAGAAAAAAAGAATTTCAAAATTCTATCAAGGCATACGATCATGATCTGATAGGTATTTACATCTTTGATTTCGCAATGTTGAATGGAGACTGGCAATATCAACGAGCTCTGTTGTTGTAAACGTGCGAGAATCTTTTGTATTGTTACGATAATTTTGGTGTTATTTGGAGATGATTAAGTTGCGTTGGGGTGATATTAGGGATTTTTTAAAAAAAAAAAAATATTATAGACAATTAAAGATATCGATATCCGTTTGAAAGTCAGTGTATCGCACTCGTAGGAACCTGACGGCAGATTGAGAGTAATAATCTACTTACCCCTGGTCGAAATACAAGTCAAAGGGCAAGGGTTGCGGTTCCTAGTACCTACTCGTTAGCGATACGGTCAATTTTCAGCGATACGATCAATTTTTTTTATAATTTCCATTTTTTTTTATCATACGCGATCGATGAACAATACGATAATTAAATTTTATATCGATACGATAGACACACGATTGCTATAGCCATCGTTTTTAGAATATCTAATCCTGATTCCTTATATTACATCGAGTACAAGTGCCGTTAAACTCGTTGTTTTTCTTTGCTAATTCGACTCGAGATTCAAAGGCCGAAGATTATAGATTATAAAACGAGGGCGTAAACAAAGCATTATCGCGTATACAAAACGCAGGCTGGCGTAAGTAAGTATGTGTTAAATTCAATACTCATCGATTAGTTGAAAATTAGATATAAGTTATAATACATTAAATCATGACGTAAAGAGAAATCGAAGGCTTTTCGGCTGCTAATTAACGATCAATGCATCTCAAGAAGCATATAGCAAGCGCTAGCTAATATTATAAATTTATAAGACTTAATCCACTTCTTATTAATTTAGAATGTAGAACACGAAGATGAGAATAATACCGAGGCTAGTGATTACGAGTTTTGAGAAGGTTACGTGTAATTATCCACAGTTGTTAATTTGTTTGGTTGTTTCTAGAATGGAAAGCTGTTCGAAGGGCGCCGACGAGGTTAGAAAACGAATATTATTGCGTTTAAAAATCCATTGACGGGTGAACTTTTTCCCGAAACAGGTCTAATATTAAAAAGCGATATCGTTTTTTACTATTAGTTTCCATATTGAAAAGTGCCTTGGTTATTTATATTGTAATGAGAAAGGCCAAGAAGTTGACCGTACCGCTGAATAGTGTTTTAGCAACCGCAACCCTTGCCTCTTGTACTCCGACCAGGGGTACGATTAGTGGGGCTTGTTGACGCAACTGCACGATTACATACTACTAGGTATTGTACGTAGTAATTAAAGGAAAAGAAGCTTCACTCAAGTTACTACGTATGATGCTGATTTGGATAAGGCTTGCATATATGTAAATATGTAAATAAAAATCCTAAACGAAATAGCATTTAAAGGAAGACGGGGAGAAAGTAGAACGCCAAACAAACAACGCTCCAGTCTTTTACGAACACATCCATTATCCAAGGAATAGCATGCAGCATATATATCCATTGTAGGCCAGGCTTTTAAAAAGACCAATCCAACCCCTCGCTAAAAATCGAGACCTCAACACTGCGCTGGCAAGCAATGCAGCAGCTACTAGATAGACAATATCTTACTATTTCTTTCATATCCTCTCCTCTCGAGAGCTTATGAAGCTACGCGAGACTTCTCCCTGTCGAGGAATACCTTGAGCGTAAGTCGAGAGGATAGTAAGGGGGGGGAGGAGAGGGGAGGAGGGAATACTATTTGTCGGTTGAAGCTCAGATATATCAATTGGCTTATGGTATTGGCAGCTATCTTGCATGTTCAAAGTATATAAGGCTGAGAAACAAAGAGGGAAAGCATTCCGTTATATCGGTTGAGATATGAATGATAATGTATGGAAGGTTGGTTGGATCTACGAGACTCGTAGACGGTTCATGAAGGAAGAATATAATCTTACTGACCCATGAGAAGCGAGGAAAGAGAACACATTACGCACACGCATATAACCACAGCCAGGGCATCAAAAGTCCAGTTGTTAATCCCCAGAGGTGATATGTGATGCACACTCATGGGGTTGGTATAGTACATACATACCTCTCAAGCCTATTCCTACATCAGTACCCTTTCCCCCCTCACTGAGCCTTCTCCCCCGAAACGAGCAGCACCACACTCCCCAGCTGCCTCCTGACATCTTCCCGTTCAACATCATGCGTATCCTCCACCGCGCCCCACATCCCAGTCTGCCAATCGACCTCCAAACTCGCCACCTTCGCCGCCTCCTCAACCCCAAACTTCTCCCCCGCGCCCTGAGCGCCCGCCCTCAGATGCCCCAAGTCCTCGCTCCACTCGACCACCAGCCGGGCGGCGCCCAGCAGCCCCTTCCCGGCCAGGACAGCTCTCTCCAGTCCCGCCAGCTCAAAAGCCGGCAGCCCCATGACCCAGCCTTGGATGACATCCCTCGTCATCCGCGGTTGCTCCTTTGGCATGATGGAATCCTCGTCGAGGATCTCGACGATTTCCACACCGGGCCAGACCTTCTCCGTGAGGTACGAGATGATGGGCACCGCGTGGCGTTTCTGTATACTCCTCAGCCCCTCCGCTTCCCTGCTCTCGTGCCTCTCGTAGCCCGGCGGGTCGGCCACGGCTTCGGGGGCCCAGCAGAGGAGGGAGTCAGTATCGAGGTAGCGCATCAGGCTTGTGGTGATACCGGTGCGGATGGGTCCTGCGCCTGAAGAGGTGGAGGCATCTTCGTCGGCGATGTCCAGCGCGCGGGATACGAGGGATGTGAGTGGGATGAGGTGTTGTTGCAGCGCTTGCTGTGCCGAGGTCAAGAGGTCCCATTCGAGGGCTATCGCGGTCGCGAGCGCGGGCTTGGAGGGAGGAATTGTGAGGATAGTTTTGGACGGGCGACGGAGGGGACGTGTGTCGAGGTGGATTTGCAGACCTTCTGTATTTTTTGGGGGGCACAGTATCAGCACTGATAAGCATTATGATACTCTGACATCGACAGTCGTTCCACCGTCCACCATAAGGAGGGAAAAAACGAGAGGGTGTAAGGAATGGAATCTATACCATCAGCCCCCTTGACATGTACCTCTCTCCAAAACCGCTTCGTCTTCGCACTGCCACCCCCCGCGCCGCCGGCGATAGCCTTCAGGTCCATCCCTCTCTTGAGCAGCTCCGCCTGCTTCTTCCGCCGGGTAACCCTCGCGTCGACGTGCTCAGCGCTCGGGACTGGAACTTTCGGTGGCGGCCCCGAGGCCGTGAGGGGCTGCACCGTTGCGAAGGCCGACGTCGAGGTTTGCAGGCATCGTACGAGATGGGGGCAACTCTGGAGGAACGAAGAGGAGGCGCCCCGGCATCGCGAGGGCACTGGTAAATGGGCTATGCGCTTCATGATTTTGTGAACTTCAGGGTTGTAGTTGTTGATCTCGATGGCATTCTCAGAAGGATGCTTGAATTCAATTCGATTCGTACCGAGGCAACATCCTGGCTCGCTCTCTTTTAGTGGCCGCCTCGGTTACTCACTCTACAGTACTTAGAAGTACAGATTGATCCGGGCGGCTCCCTGCCAGGCGATGTTTATTTACTATTGCCGAGTGATTGTCAGATCAATTACTGTGAGGACTAACTAGAATAGTATGTAGTAGTAACCTTGGTATATATACGTTGTTGAATGCGTTTCAATTCATCGCACCGAACGTGATGCTTATTATCTACACAATCCCAAGAGTCTCATAGCCACCTACCTGCCTCTCTCTCATACAAAAATCGCTACACAAACACAACCAGCGCCTGCCATGAATACACCACAGCATCCGCCACCCCGTGGGTATCTAGAAGATCTCCTCCACCATCCTCCAAGCTTCTCCTGTCGCAGCCTTTTCTCTCTCCTTCCAATACTTGCCACTGAATTCCCAGAACTCCTCACCCGTAATCGGACACTTCGATTTGCAGAACCAACGGGGCTCAAACTCTTCGCCCTTCTGCTCACGTTCCCGCCGCTTGGCTCGCTGCTTCTCCTCGACCCGGTTCTTCTCGGTGGCGGCAAAGTCGTACTCGCCGTCTTCCATGGCACGCTGATCCGGACGCAGTCTGGTATCGGTAGGTGGGAGCCAAGGCTGGAGCTTGTCATTGATATCGTTTAGTGTCACGACGAACGGGGTGAGATTGAATGGAATGCCTGTTGGTCGCGGGTTTGCCTCCCATACAATGAAGACCTGGTTGGGGTCGGTGACGCTGCCTCGCTGCCGCGAGCCTCCATTCTTGGGCTCCTCAACAGTGGCCTCGTAGCCAGGAGTGTAGCGGGCATAGATCTTGTTGTTCCATCGTCCACCAAGACTGAAGCAGGTCTGACCCTTGGCATCATTGACTTTGCCAGTGATGTGGTAGGCACTGGAAGCTTTCCATCCGCGAGCCTTGAAGTCAACGAGACAGGTCTCCCCCGTGGTCCAATTCTGAATTTCCATGGGACCGTAATTGTCAATCGTGGGTGATCCGGTGATGATTCCAATGACGGAAGATGTGACCTTCTTCCACGTGTACATCTCTTCCTTGCCGTCGGCCGTCCGAAGCTTGAGGAACCAGGTACCGAGTGGGTTGATATCAAAGGATTTGCCGTAGAACTTGGACTTGACCGCAGACTCTCCATAGTAAGTCCATCTTGGCGATTCTGCCCACGCAGCTCCAATCGGTGGATGATGGCTGACTTGCTCGATGAAGAACCGGTAGTTCTTATCCGGTCGTACGTATTCGAAAGTCTCACCCAGCAACGGATTGAATGGTTTGGCGACACGGCCAATGGTGGAAGCGTACTCACTGGCAGCAAATGCGGCAACATAGACCATACGCTCCGTAGCCTCGGTCCGGTCGGCGGCAATATCGAGAAGGTCAGCGTACTCCATGTCCTCAGCACACCGTTGGAGCAGAGATGTGGGTTCGTTGAACGAGACGGGAAGCGTCATCTTGGTCATGTCTTTGCCGATCATAGACTTGAGGATTCCCTGCGGAAGGCGTTAGCAGTTGATCATGTGACACACCAATCACACATACCCAGAGAGAAACCTTCGGCCTATTATCAACTTCCATCTTCAGCCTCGTACGGACACCATTCTCGTATCCCCGGAACGAGGAAGCGATGTCCACGGTTCCATCTGGCACCAGATCATCCTTGGATTTCTCTTCTTGTACAGGGCTAGCAATCCGGAGTGGCAGCATCGGGGCGGCTTGGACCTCTCCGGCGTCGACAGCATCAAAGAATTCGTCATCTTCCTCCTCAGAATCCGTTTCAGATAGTTGGCCGGCATCAATCAGCAAGGATTTTCGCCGCAAAGAGTCTTGGACAGTGGATCTGCGCACCACAGCTTTTCCAGCGGCATCAACAGGGACTTTGTCGAGGGCATCAGCAAACTCCTCCCCCTTCAGCAGTTCGCCTCTACTCTCGGGTCGGCTTTCCATCACGACACTACCAGACTCAATGGCTTCGCGAAGAGCTCGCTTCGTCATCTTGCGCTTCTCCTCCGACTCGCCAACCTTCGCCTCCAGTATTTCTTGCTCACGAGCGACCTGTGCCATGCTATCCTCCCACATGCGTCTCATGTCGGCTTCGCGGTCCAGGCGGTATTGCCAGTAAGCATCTCTGTCCTTCGAGATCTTGAGCAAGTCGCCCACGAGCCCCTTCAGATTCCGAATCGACGAATCGAAGGTTTGAACAGCCTGCGTTGCCACGAGATCGGATATGAGAAGGTTCGGATTCTTGACTTGCTCGGCTTGGAAGGCAGCATTGACTTGTCCAATCATATCCAGCTGCAGCTGTGCTGATTGGGCGGTGATCTCGAATGCGTCTTTGCTGGCTGGTGCTTCTCTATCGCTGGAGCCTTCACCATATTCATCCTCATCATCGCCATCATCTCCGTTGGGCCCAACAATGCTTGGGACCTTGGGAACGTCGCCCATGTAACTGGGCTCGTACGAACCATAGTTGGGGCCTTCGTCATCATCTCCGACGCTGGGACCGCTGGCGAAGGAGACCTTGTTGCTGCTTCCCACCTTTCCAACGCTCGACTGAGGCATTAGATGGGTCGTCTGAGTGCTGGCCCGTCGGGTATCTGTAAAACTGAACGCCTCACTGTTGTTAATCTCGAGAGTAGACGCATCTCGTCCCGAGCCAGAGCCAGAGCCCGAGTGGTCGGCCTTAGCCTGTCTGAGAAGCTCGGCATTCCTCTGCGTCTGCCTCTCTTCTTCCTTGGCTTGATCCTTGGTCCACTGGATGGAGTTGTTGAGGGCCCAGAACCATCTCTTCGCTTCCACCTCGTGATTAGCCTTCAGATTGTACTTGACAGAGGATTTGCCAATAATGTCGAACTTGGTCTTTTCAGTAGGATCCATATTGAGACTCGCGATTTTCATGTTGATAGCTCCGCGACATGCCGATCCAGAATCGTCCTGGTGCTTGTAGTAGCTCATGACGCCGTCCTCGAGGACAAACCATCGTAGTTGATAGCCCTTGCGGTAGTTGGTCCACTTCTTAAGATATCCCTTCATCTCACGCCCTTCCTTACCGGCCAGAGCATCACCAGGCTGGTTGGAGGCAAGGCCTTGCTGAGAAACATTTCCCAGAACTGCCTTTTCTTGTATTCCTCGCTGAGCCGCAACTGCTGCAGGAGACTTCCGTAGTACACTTTTGATGTGATCGTCCTTGGTGATATCCTGGGGAAGCTTTCCTCTGCGATCGCGTCGGAAGGGATCGGCTCCGTGGAAGAGCAACACTTTGATAAGCTCTTCGTTTTTCGATCTCGCAGCCTCGTGTAGTAAGGTGCCTCCGGCTTGGATGATGGTGGGATCCGACGCAAACTCTCCGCCATTGATATCCAACACCATCTTGACCCTGGGCTCTTCCAAGACCTCGCTCAGTCTCTTGTAGTCGCCCTGGCTAACCAGAGCCTGAACCTGCCTGATCTTGCTATCCACAAATATCGATCGTGATAACTGCAGCTGTTGGAATATGTCCGGAGTGCGAGCCAGGTCCAGAGGGAAGCGTCCTTGGTAGTTGGCAATGGAGTCATTGATTCCAGGCTGATCCAGCAGCAGGCGCACAATCTGACCCCGCCCTTGTGCAGCAGCAAGATGCAAAGCAGTGTTTCCCTCTTTGTCCCGCGCATTTAGGTCGATGGTTCCCGCTCCGTCCGAGAGGACATACTCTACCACCGAGAGCTCGGCACATTGTATTGCCAGGTGTAGGATAGTCGTGTCTTCTAGCCCTAATGATCCAGATCCAGAGCCCGACCCTGATCCAGTCGCACTCGATGTGCTGTATCGTGTACTATCCGATTCCCGAATCGCCTTGGAGATGCCAGCTGTGTCACCACTTCGCAATGCCTCAAAGATGCGAAACTTGCGTACTGATGATTCGATCGACGCCGTCACGCCTGGTATAGATGGGGTATGGCCGTGGCCGGACATTGCTCGCGTAGGCCGGATGCTTGTATGGGAAGTGGATCTAATCAAGCCCGCAGTGCCGGTGGATAGTTTCTGGGAATGGTGTCGGTGCTGGTTGTTGTTGTTGTTGTTATTGTTATTGTTATGATTGTTGTTGATCGAGGTGGAGGAAGGACTTCTCTTGGGGAGAGAGGAGCCGTCTCCAAGTCCGAGGCCGACGCCAGCGCCAATCGCCAGTTGGTCCTCGTCCTTGCGACGTCCGAGCAACGAGCGGGTGGACTTGTTTCGCCTGTGGCTAAACATGGTGGTGGTCATGATTAGCAATGCGACGTAACATAATATGAGGGAAGACGCGAGGAGAGGAGGAGGAGGAGAAGGGGAAGGAGAGGGAGAGGGAGAGGGAGAGGGAGAGGGAGAAGAGGTAGAAGGGCTTCGGAGGTAGATGTAGACAGAAGAAGATATACGAACCCGTCACCCGCGTCCGCCATGTTAGTTGGGCAGTGGGGATTTCTTGTTTGTTGTTGGCAAGGAGAGAGTCAGTCTGTTCTTATGGTGGTATGAGGGAGGGGGAGTGGTGATGTAGGTATATCGGTGTGGAGGTGGAGGTGGAGGTGGAGGTGGTGGTCCCTAGGTGGATGTGAAGAAGTCAAATAAATGCCAATCTCAAAATCCAAGTGCCAATCAATGCCAGTGTGTAGGGCCAGGATCAGTTAATAAGTACAGTACTTACAGTAAAGAAGTAAATAAGCATTCAATAAGTAGGGAACCGCAACCCTTGCCTCTGACTTGTACTCCGACCAGGGTTACGATTATATACAACTACTAATACAGTACGTATATAGTAATATATTTATCAATCTTTTGAGTTGCTTGCTTGGACTTGGCTTCTTCTTCCTTGATGACGTCGGGCCGGATGGCATTGCGAGATGCCCACACGTGATATTTTGGTATCTAATAAGACTTTGGCACATCGATTCACCTTGGCGACATAGACAACTCATACAGGATTGCCGTATCCCTTGCTCGGAGGATATATGTATATATTTATATTTAATATAATGTTGAGCTAAATGTGGATCCTAGCTGAGATCGTAAACTATGAAAATTAAAATGCGGTCGCTTGACCCAAGAGGAAAACGTTGATTGGGTGCATCCATTTGAGCTCGGGCCATTGAGTAGCACTGAGAGCGTGACTAAGCACTTAGTAATAGAGGAGGGAAAGGTTTTTTCTTTTTACGTATTTTACGTATTCTACTTGCGTGCTTCACTTCGGTTACGTTTCGATTTGTCTATAATGTAGTCATATATTCTTTTCCTTTCCAATACTTGATTACTAGCTGATTCACGAATAGGAAAAGAAATGCTTGAGAAACAGGTGGCTGCATCGCGCTGAAAGGCGCTGAGAGGGGCTGAGAAGGGCTATTGCTATAGCTTGAATGCTCGAAATATAGCTGGCTGCATCGCATTGTAAAAGGGCTATTGCTGTAAAATAAATCCTCGACAAATAGCTGACTGCATCGCGCTATAGAGGGCTCTTATTACGAATCGAATACTCGAAAAACAGCTGGCTGCACCGAGCTGAAAGGAAGTATTGTAATAGATTGACGGCTCGAAAGACGGCTAGCTGCACCAAGCTGAGAGGAGCTATTGCTATAGACTAGATGCTCGAAGAACAGCGAGCTGCGTCGCGCTAAAGGAAGCTATCATTATGAATCATATAATAGTAGCTACGAATGTTAGATCGCGAAGTCCGGTAGCTTGCGGCCGGGCTGAAGCGTTACATTTTCTTTACATCTTATTAAAGCGTATTTCTTAGCAAAAATTGATCTTGCATGGTTTCCTACAGCTCCGTGGAATAGAAATCGAACAATAGTGGCAGAAGAGCAAGAATCATAGAGAAAAGCGAGAATGAAACGAAAATGTAAGGAGAATTCAGGAAATGATAACTAATGACATGTAGGCATTGTGGAACTTTGCAATCCATCACGCGCCCTTCGATACCAACTAATGCCCAGTCAGTTTTCCATCCCGGCCTTCAACCTTCAATCAGCAAAGATACGGCGCTCGTGGAGATTTCCCTACCATTCTGAAGCCTCAATCACTCATTCAGTCCGCTTGTAAGGCGCCAGCTACTTGTATGTACAACCGACCAACCAACCAACCTGTCCGAATTGCATCCGCATCATATGGCCGGCTTCACCAGCCCCGTAACCTTCTCCTCAATCTGCTTGTCGGAAAGGCCTACTAATGATGCGCTCTCCTCGTGTCCGAACTCTGCTGAGAATTAGCACCTGGCCCAGATCCAAGCTTCCACCGAGAGCCTGTTCCGGCCGCGGCCGCGGCCTCGGAGAGAGAGAGAGAGAGAGAGAGAGAGAGAGAGAGAGAGAGAGAGAGACG